TGAACCGATCGTATAATGGATCATTTCATATTACACCGAACGGTTACGATTTGCTATAATCATAGCAATCAATTTTAGAGTAAATCCATGATAATAGCGTTATCTGGACACGCAGACGCTACGGAATCTTAAGATAACGGTCACATCGACTACCAGCTTACCCGGACATGATAAACTATAAAAATATTACTCCATACTACGACTTGGAACAGAATAAAACGAAACGAGCGTTGATCTAACAACTATATTAAAGTCTCTAATTGCCGGTGTAGTTGAATATAGTTGTAGTTGTATTGTTACAAGTCTATTGTGTTGTTGAACTGAAGCCGCCCGAGGCGCTCCGTCATTACAGCCCGCCGTTACATCGACAAAAACTAACCCGATCTATGATTGATACGTTCCTAACAAACCCGCCTTATACAGCGTCAGCGAATTGTTCATTAAAATATCATTATCTCGTAATATCAAACCGTTTTGTTGTTACTTTAATATCAATATTTTTACCCTTTAGATTCGGCTTAAGTGACGCAAACAGTTTAATAACGCTTATAAAAGCTCTCGTAAAAAGTGCAGAGTCAAAAAGGCGTCACGGTTCAGTAGAGGCATACACAAAGGGCAGTAAACGTTCGAAATGGACCTAAACAAACAGGGGTAGCTAGGAAGCCGGCTTTGTTTGATGAGGAGCACGAGAGTCAACACGACGCACCTACGACTCGACGACGAGCCAGTGCTGCGAACATGTTACAGCGGAATCGATAATTCAATTACACGTACTATGATAACCATTACAACTCAATCGATATAAATATGAACATCACTACTCGAAATTCTAAGCCAGCAATCATCGCTCAATCTAAAATCAATTACGTATTAAATTCATTTGTAATGTCTCTAGAATGTTAGTTCTCTTTGTCTAGTCGTACATAACACAACTTCATTATTGAAAGCTGCATGATATTTGCAATTTGCTCTTAAATTACTATCTGTATCAATTAGCGTGACTACCATATAAAGGAACAGCTGTTTGAAGATAATATTTTTTGTAGCTACATGTCCATAAGACCGGTGTGTTGTACATCCAGATAACGACGTCTGAACGATCGCCGGCGCGCCTCATAATTATATTATCCGTTTGTTTTTAATGAATATTAATGTCACGTTCAGTCTTCCATTATATTATTCACGCATTCCCATTATATTAAGACTTATAAGTGCTCGGTGTCTATTTTGTTTGTACGTGTGTAGTCTGCCTAACTGACTGGAGCTCAGCGTGTTTCAATATCTATATGCAGGTTCTAGTGTAACACAGGTCTTAGTTTAAACAATTATAACCCCAGGAATGCGGTGAGCGTCGATATAATGTTGCTATCTCAATAATAGACCGTTTGTGTCCTTTGTATGCGGTTTGATAATAATAATTATTCTATAGTATAGTCGTCTATAGAGTACTGTTTAATTAGGTGGAAAGTTCGCGAGTTCAGCGGTTAAGATAAGCTGAGCGGCGTGCATTAATAATTCATAAAAGGCGGCGGTTAATGAAGGCTGGAAACGAGGGCGTCACTGTTTGTTTTGAGAACGAGATCGTACTTTAAGTTTGTTTGATGAATGTTCAATACATTGAATAATATAGAAAGTCTATAGCAAGAATGGCATTCCTTAACCTTATAGGGACGGCTCGAGATCACGATAAACCTATAGCCCGATTTAATCGCTTCACTAGTATCGATATATTAAATATATTATTTTAATATATCGATACTAAAGTTTAAAGTCATCAAACTAGTTAGATTGCAATAATGAGTGAACGAAATTATCGTTTGAAAAACTGAAACAATTTAATATAACAATATAATTTTATTATAATATAAAAAAAATAAGTATTTACTTGATCAGTATTGTTATAGAATTATATCCGAATATCAATGATCTTACGATAATTGTTATATTACGCGGTTACAAGTTATTTTTATATCAGTTATAAATGCTTTATTTATCGGTGATGTGAAAGTACAATTACAATTATCTAATATTTTGTACTTTAAATTTAATAAATATGTCTGTTGAAGATTTACATTTGATATTTTCCTTTATAGTTCGATAACAACAAACTCTTTATAATATACGAAATCTTATTAATGTCTAAAAATATTAAATATCAAAAAAATAATTTTTTAAGTTAATATTTCCTCCAATTGCTCTTTCCACTTGACTCGTCTAAGGCGAAGATCGCGTTACACGCTAGGCTCGCAATATCTGCACATCAAGTGACATACGATTTTGGCGGTTTTGTTAGAGTTAAAAGTAATTGATTATTATCAGATAGAACCACGTAAGAAAAAAAAAATATTTTTAAGACCAAAGTAGCATTAAAAACTAAGCACCGATAATATTTACAGTCATGTATAAAGGTACATACAATTAAAAATGATCTTTGTTTCGTATATATATGTAGGTCTCCTAATGATAACAAAAACTCAGCTATCAAGATAGCAGCTAAGCGACAATTGAGAGACAATAAATAGTGGGGGCTCGCTTTATTTAGGTCACCCCCGAGCAGCACTTTGACATTGCACTAATTGCACACAGAATCCAATTTATATTGACATTCGGCGAACACTCGACGCTCACGATATTCCGTATTTATTTACCCTCAAGTTGATCAATATTATGATGACGTCACCCCTCGTTAACAGTTATAACTTATAAGGCAAAAATATATTCCATGAGTACATACTAGGAGTCAGTATAACCGGTAAATGATAACATAAACGCTGTACCTACTGCGGATTGTTTAGGTCGAGTGCACTATACGTACATTATTATTTAGTAGTTAAAGTAACGTTGCCGTATAAAGCGTAATGAAGACCTGGTATTATAGTACAGTAGTCACTAGCCCCCGAGTGCTGGAATAGATTCGTGAACAAATGGACTGCCACAAGATGCGGCTCCAGATTAAAAGCTGCACCGGGTAAACCACGTGAAAATCGTGCAAAAAGAGAAGTCACCCGCGGCATTAGCGGATGAGTGTTGGAGCCATTAGTGCTCGCTCCCTCATCCTCCCTCCCCCTCCCTCAGCCCACGCCGCCTCCCTCGCCCCCCCGCGGCTCAGCTACCTCTTTTATTTCTTGTCGGGGATGAACTCCTTAATGACAAACCTTACTATATCTTTTGTGAAGAGCCCGCAGAAGTACGTATTTTGCGGCCCTTTTGTAAGCTCTTTTTATTCCCGCACCGTTCACAACTGTTACGAGACGGCTATAGAAATAACTTTTATAATGGATAGATATACTCTTATATAACTAACTAACTTAGTTGCACGTACCTACATGTACTGGTGCTATTAATATGTATGGTAATATTTTGTTAATTCGCTACGCACACGATGTAATTAAAGACAATAAAACTTGTTATCAACGTTTATCTCGTGTTTCTTTTGCTTGTATGCGGTATTTAAATATTCAATTAAAGTTTCACTTTTTATATGGAACGTCTTTAATTATGCAAATAATTAAAATGTATTTGTATAGAAGTTGATCATGAATAAACATAGCTAGTATAAATGTTTCGTAGTTTTCTGACAAACATTTTTATTTGTATAATATGATATTGGTGCGATTTATCCTATATAATGAACATGTCGGCTCGGTGCATGTATAAACATTTAGAGTGGCGGATATTCCGCGTTGATAAAACTCCGCGCTGCGGTGTGGCGGCGGATGTAATGTAATTTGCGGTAATTCGGGCCTCGCGGCTTGTTCGCGTCACTTGCCCGCCTCCTCTACAAACGACAATATATTTATTTACGTTTCAAACGAATAGATTTCACGGTTATTTCACAATTTATAATTCGATGGTTCTTTATTAATACTCCGGTTCGTGTTTATTTATATTTTATGTATATTTTATATAGCCATTGATATACCCTCCGTCTTTATATCTGATATATATGTATGTATATATGATAATATATGTCCAATGTTGCCTATACGTTACATATAAATGAATATTCAAAAAGTTTCGTCATAAAATTTATATTATATTCAGTATTGAATGAAAAGTATAAATAAAGGCAGTGTTCGCGACAAACAGTCCATTTAGCCGGAATGAAAGTGCAATTTGTGGTCCGCGGCCGCTGTGGTGGTGCGCTTGTCGTTTACACACTACACTACACAGCCTTTTGTATTAACAGATCTTACATTCACTGTGACCAGTGTAGATTGGTCCCAAACCGACACTTGATTAGTTAATGATACTATAAAAGTTTCCACTGACTACAATGATCGCCTCACTTAATGTATTCCGTTCAGTGATTAGCTTCGTGTCTTCCATTAATATAATTCTGTACACGTTTTATAAACATCGATTATACAGCGGGGTGCTCACTCCCGAGGAGGTCGTGTGTCGTAAGACTGATAACAGATCGGTTCATATTCATAAAGCTCATTATGTTAATTCGTTCTCGATTCACTGCAAATCTGTGAATAAAATTAATGTGCATTTAAACGGAAAATACGTACAAAGCCAATAAATACGAAGCCGGCGCGGCGGGGCGATTTATCATTTAATTTGACCGCATGCATATTGTTTATTGTGTTAATTTTATTTGTTGCCGGCCAACTTATCGGTCGCTGTTATAAAACCCTATTATTGAATCCGATCGGCCGCCGGTACACCGTACAGGCTACAGCGGAATGTGGGAACATTTACAAATATCTATCTGTATGTAGAACGCGCTCAGCTGTTAGCGCTCGCTTCATAATTCATTATACCCTCTTTATTGAATTTTAATGTACCGTTTATTCATAGTTATTGGCTGCGGCCGATTTAACTTTTTGGTTTCAATTCATTTTATGATAACTGATACGTCTTATTCGTGGTACAGACTGTGTAAATTAACTGTTTTATATGAGTTTGGAACGTTAACACTTCAGTTTTACAGTTAACGATACAAAGTCATACTAATCTTATATTTATCTAATGTAATATAATTTGTGTTGCAGACGGAGATCGCAAAGAGATTAAATGCTATAATAGCTCAAATATTGCCATTCCTCTCTCAAGAGCACCAGCAGCAAGTGGCGTCGGCCGTGGAGAGGGCGAAGCAGGTCACGATGACTGAACTGAACGCTATTATTGGGGTTCGTATAACAACACTTACACTCACATAACCACTGTGAATAGAGCCTACTGACAACAGGAAATCATATACGTCACTAACATTTACCGTACAGCCGTGTTTATATAGCCGAGTATTTGCTCCGCTAAATCCTTTTATCTCGACAAAAATTCCACTCACTATACGATTATATACTCAAATTACCTACTATTTATACGTCACGTCCTATAGTAAAAGAGATTTAAGAATTAATATGAGAAATGTTGTAATCGTTTCGTTTGTATTGGACACGTGTTTGTACAGTTTTAATTCTAATATATATACATATGTATATATGTCATCATGTCATCTGTCCCAACAGAGCGCGTCATCAACATCACATATAATTATTTGGCTCATATTTTTTATGTTCAATATCAAAGCAAACGCCGGTTTCATTAACGGCAATTAGAAATTCAGACATTAATATAATAAGAGACTATTTTCAAGTTCAAGTGAACTTCAATTTAACTCATTTTATTTAACGAAAATATTATTAAAAGTAATTTATATTTTTAATATAGAGTTTCATTATGTATATAAAAAAAGAAGAAATAAGACATATTAGATGTATAAAAGTGTAATGGTTTAAGTATAAAGTGAGCGAGTACGTGTTAATTGTAAAGTGGTTCTGTGTAAGTGAGGGCGCGCGGTTCTCAACAGGTCTAAAGTTCGATGGTCGTTAATTAAACGATCTTAGGTCGGCTGGCCGCGCGCCAGCACCCAACACCCGACATACAAGAACAACGCGATTTAATAATACCACTCTCCACAATTATTCCTTACACATTACAATACAATCCACGCTACTCTTACAGGGGCTGTCTCATTGAAAACACTCACACTATTTATCCAAATACGTTTATTATACAATAATTGTCGTATATCAATGTTGTAATTTACAGCAATTTCTAAGAAGAGTTATAAAGAGTTTTTTCTAAATAATAAATTCATCAATATTTTAAAAATACCAACATATTTTCTGCATCGTTATCTAGAATATTTAATATATGTTATTGTATATAGTATAATTACTTTCAGTAGATATTATGTATTAAAATTAAAGACTTCACACCTTAATAGATCTATTTGTCCTTACCAATTAGTTGATTAATTGTATTCAATACAGCAGGTAGTTGCTCACTCGAGCTAATTCCATTATGTTTAATATCTATTATTTACATATACAAATTTCGACTCTGTAATTCAGCCATAAGATTCCGATCTCTCTGAGTGTAAACTCGCGTCTCTTATTCTCATCCCGTCCTCAAAATAAATCACTTCAAAGATAATGAGTTCAAAAATAAAGCGTTGAAACTCGGTCGGCTTTCATCAGCGGACGATAGACTGTTGTTAATCTCGAGTCTCGGGCAGGCGGCCAACGCGATTAGTACTCTCAAACACACGCTGACGACAATGTTTCCACCTCCGCTACATGAAAGACATGTTTTAAAGAAATTATACGCTCGTTTGATATACTATATATTATAATTATATATGAAATAGTTGGCAAAATATTGACACCGTACCTACACTAGCGAACGAACGTGATTTGTAACTTCTGGCCGTGAATCAACGATCTCATGAATTATTTAACGAGCTCTCAGGAATTCGTTGTGTTGTTAATAAGGTATTACATTTCTATTAAACGCTCTAATGTCGGAGTCCAAACTACTCTCTGTATAATAATAAACGTTATAGAACATCTGTGATTTATGTTAAGAGTTCATCGCCCTCCACAATTCTCCTATCTTTGTATATATTACCGAACAGCCCCCGAGAAACTGGCAAAACGCAATATAGCCCTCCCCTATAAAACACTCTAATTTAAATAAAAAAGCGGCGCCACCTTCCGTATGTTGGTCCTTTTTTATTAGGAACCTTTTTTATTTTCGGGTCAGCGAGAGATCAAAGGGATCTCCCTCGAGAGCTCCTCTCTTCGCTCGCCGCTCGTCCTTCGCCCCTCGTCTGATTTGCGATCGTTCCGCCGAGCGCCGATTTGTGAGGAGAGAATACTTCTCAAATTGGGGACTGTTTGCCCGTCTATTAAAATCACTTACCACTCGTAAGTGCCTCCGCCGACCGACTCGTGCTCCTTGACGCGTACAAATATGTTTTCATGTATTTTATAATCTCTGAAGGACTTTGAATATATTTTACAATATAAATTTATTACATTATTAACATATCGTAACAGCTGATATCAAAACTGTGAGCGAGTTAAGTATGAATGTTCAAGTTCCATAACAATAGATAAGACCCGTAGCGACTTTGTCGTCGCTCCGCCGAGTTCATCAAGCCTCGTTTAGATTTTATTCGTCATCTAACCGGAGGGTAGAGTGTAACCCTCGTCCGTGATATCTTTTCTATACAATCTCCTCGTAATGTTCACCCGTGACACAATTGTTCTCATTGAAACAATATCCACGTAGCGAATGATGTGAACACGCGGCCCCCTGTCACAGATACGCGCCACGAATCCGATAAGGAATTACACAAATAAGATGCATCTACACACTGTGGATTGTGGAAACTGTCACATGTGTGCTCTAAGACGGTTTTTTTTAAATAAACTTATTAAACGTATATATGAGCTAACAGTCTTCTGAATCGCCACTATCAGTTCCATACGAGGTAGCTTTATTAACAGACTGGTCGTGAACACATTTCTGTCTTAGTTCGTGAGATGTCTAATAAAAACGAGCGGAATAAATCACGAGTGGGTGGTGCGAGGGGTGAGGTTCTGTTCAGGGGGTGGGGGGTGGAGGGTGTCATGGTTACACATGAATTTGTCATTTTTTCCCAGGCACGTTCGCGGCCCGGTGATAAATATTGCATCGCAGACGTTCGACGTTTCCTCGGCCACTTAACTTCGACATCGAGCGCTTAGAATTAAGTTTGTCGTCTTTTTATATCTACGTTGTTACGCTGTTTATTATAATGACATTATATTTATGGCTCACATTTTCTTTTGCTTTTTAAAATATTACTTATAAACATATTCCTATTTTAAAGAGACATTTAAGTCCTTAAACCTGTTATCGTATCATAGATTCTCTTACTATAGGTACACTATTCTCATAACATAACAAACGGATCTACCGAGTCAGATTCCGTTAAGTTTGTTATCATTAACGTTAACTCCATCGGGTGTGTGGAGTATCTCCGTTTTTGGGATACACCGGATCAAATATCCAGGTATGTGTATGTGATTAGAAGCAATTATGTTGAAAGCTGATGTTGTAACAAGTGTCGGCGTCGCGTGTCAATGCCTCGGGCTCTGCTTAATGGTGCGTACCACCCCCTCACAATCTCTCCGACGACCTCCCCCCTCCTCCCGCGCCCCCCTCCTCAAGCTCACCCCTCAGACACCCTAACTTCTGGCTGATGTCCTCTAAGCGAACACAACGCTCCGTAATTTGATCAACTCCAATATAGAACCCGCTAAGTGACGACTTCTTTAATACGGTTTGTTTAGGTAATGCGATTTAAGAAAATTCAATTTTAAGTCGCATTACGACTTCAGCGTTCCGTTACATGGATTTATATGGAATGTTCCGACAATAGTATTTATACTGACGTACCTACGGAAAATATAAAAGTTGATTCTTTGTGTGATAAGTTAACAATACATTTATTAACATTCTAAAAAGCTCTTAACATTTTAACTGCTATTAATTTATTTAACGGCGTTCAAGTAGAACTTTCCTCCCGATGCTATTAAAGCTAACTAATTGTAGGTTAATGTTTAAATAGATTATTATGAGCCTACTTCGTCAGTAGCGGCTCGGTAATAATTACTTTGGAAATTAAGATAAATTATACGTTATCTGTTACATGTACTGACTTACTTATAGGTTATTTGTTGAGGCTCTTATTGTGTCCAGTTTATTTGAGGTCCGGGAGAAAAAAACTAACCTAAACTAAATTCCCTTGGCTTTGTCTGCTTGTTTAGATATTACGTGTATACGAATTATGAGACACTCATTGTGCCTAAAAAATTTGTACCTAATACAAGAATATCGTATAACTTACCTCGTTTAAGTATAACAGTTAATGATCAAAATTTACTACAAAAATATGAACATGACCAAAACAATAAGCACATTGTAGGTCGGTGTGAAGGTTACCGGAACTCAAACAACACGAGCAACCGACACATACAACAAATATTTGATTACCACCACTGAAACTAAAATTGAACGGATATTAAACGACTCGGATATTCAGGATACCACCCAATATATACATATACAATATATTTAATATAAATATTAAGCTCAAATCACCGCGTCCCCATTTATAAATGGTGAATTATCTGGTGTGTATAGTCGTTGGTAAATGTGCCGTGAAAACCGAAATGCGGTGTATTTTTCTCGCGACAAAAGCTTTCCACGCAATGCGTCCTCACTATAAAAGATCACATTACGTGGGCGTCTTTGTACAATATAGTTTCATATCACTGAGTGCTTCTTCATATTTTTTCGTATATACAAAAGTCACTTTTAATATTAAAATCATTTGTACGAATTTTTTTTAAAGATTTTAATGAAACAAAGAAGAAACCTCTGTACCACGTGCGAGCTATAGGTAGCTAAGTGATTGTTATCGTTTACAGTTTAAAACTTCCAATATTCAGTATCACAACTCCTTTGAATATTAAATATAAACTAATATTTAGTATCCGATCACAATATATAATTTTTGAGCGCCGTAATCTCGGTGGCGTGCAAACTTTAATTTGTAGTTAATATAAACCAAACGTTAGATAAGAAAACGGTTCGCAAACTCGTTAAGCGTAACGAGTTCCGATACCCGGGGGACATCGACGAGTCTGAGTGATTAAAAACACCCAAAGTAAATGCACTTTGAAAAAATATATCGCGGTGAGACTCACGAACATTATTGTCATTCATAATAACAAGCAAGAGGGTAAGGAAGTGCGGTGGAGGGTGGTAGGTGGTAGCTGTAGGTGTGGGGCGAGTCTCAATAGCTCGGCGCGTGTCACACCAGCCGCTCCGTAGCGTCGGCTTTGTTTAGATTCCTCTGGTTTCCCACCCGGCTTTTCAGCAACACCTTTAAACTTCAAGTGGATGCTCTCACCTTTAGCTTACACTGATTATATCAACTTCACATTTCAACATGGCTTCTGCTTACCTGAATTTAGGATACGGTGTTGGATTGTACATACAGGTCGACAATACTATTATTATTGCATTCCGACCGCAAATAAAGTCGTTCATATTGTGTGTTTAGAAAGATTATTTATTGTAATAACCATTATGATAATTAACGAAACTGCCTAATAATTGTTAAATTAAGTGAGCTCGTCACCTTCCCATGATAAATCACATCATAAGCATTCAAAACAAATTTCAACCCCAACCAATTAATTTTCAACTTCAAAAAAGACGACAAAGTAAATACATCGAGAGGCGGTAGCGGGAGCGTGGAGCTTCTGTGCTCTGTGCGAGCCACCTGGCCGTTTATAATAATAGCGTAAAAAGTGACGAAATAGAACGGGAAGCAGGGAAAAACGAGGGAATTTGAAAAGGGGAATAATGGAGAAGGAGTAATCAATTTCGCACAGTCGTCGCCGGCGGCAAAGCTCTCATTTAAATTTTAAAACACCGCGTCGTGGGTCCGTGGAGGAGTTTTTAATTTGCCTCTGGCCCGTTTTAAAAATGCACGCCGCTCTGCGGTGACACATCAATTCACTTTGACAGTCCGCCCGACACTCCCGACACTCATGACACTGCCGACACTCGCAGCTTAAATGTGGCGCAATTTATTCATCGCCATGAGCAACGTACACCTATATAGATAGATAGAGGTGTTAGATAAACTAATGTTGTGCTCCTTTAGATAATTAGATTTATGGAGATATTTATATTTCATTTTTATTTCGCTGAAGGTTAATTTATTAAAATTATATATCTTATAATATTTATGGACTATGCCTGATATCGATTACAGTTTAGAATATTGATTAATAAGAAAATGAAACAAGACTTTCAATACTTGTTATGACCTTCCAAGCTAACATCATCATATCTCTACAGCAACAGCGACCAGATCTGCCGCGTCTCCTGCAGCAGATGCATGCAGCACATCTGCCGGCACACGGAGCGCCGCCGCTGCCTCTCCTCAGCCAGGGAGCCCTGCCGCCCGCGGGGTTACTGGGCCTCGGAGTACCCCACCATCCTCTATCAGTGCTCGCCAAACCCCCCGACATACACCGCCCTGATGATAAGGGCAATGGTACGTACCAGATATATAACAAGATAGATATATGTATACACACTTATTGAAAATATCTTACTATCAGAAATATCTTCTAACTGACACATCAAAACGTTACGCTTACATATTTAGCTTGAGTATGACAAAGTACTTAAATAAGAGTGTATTTACAAAATTTATCTCGTTACGTTGTCTTTGCTATAAAGGAGCGAAGTAGGTGAAACACACATTTTATTTTATTAGCTTCTGTATAAAACATGCAATCCAAACATTCCGAGTAGATGGAGCATTACAGATCGATATACAAGATGAATATTTTAAGAGATATACCGTGTTTGTGTGCTCGTCTTGTTTGCCGTGTGCCACTCACTCGAGACTATTAGACCTCCCCCCGCCCCGCCCTCCCCCTCCCTCCCTCTCCCCTCGCGCCAGACGTCTCCGATCCACTTCTGTTTCAATATTTACCACCTTCGAGAGGCTTTTTGGTCCCACTGTTTGCGTGTTTTCGGATCGCTGAAGGCTATTGCTTCGCCGATATTACTTTGAGAGTACGTTTAAGTCACTCCGCATCGCTTGTACATATTTGATTTGTGTCCCTAAATAGCCGTCGATATCTTATTCTAAATTATATAAAGTATTTAATATATAACGTTACAAAAAGTTAGTTCAATGCTGCAGTGTAGCTTTGAAGTCGACGTTATCGCAAGACGTAAATTTAAGCTTCCCCAAACACAAAACTAAGTTAGAGCGTTAACAGAATATTGCGAGCTCGGAACAGGAGCGCGCCACAAATGAAAATGTAACACAGAAATGGATTTGGAAGCCGCCCGTCGCTACGGTTAATTACAAAAGCAAGCGGTAATCTGCGCCCTGGGATGTTCCGGCTTAGTGCCCCCCCGTCTCCCCGCTCCTCCGCCACTCCGCCACTCCGCCTGCCACTTCCCCGGCTAATTTGTGCCATTATCGGTGTACTGATGTAAGAGTTACCGTGCAGATGGCCCCCCCTCCCCTCCCCTCCCCTACCTTGCCCGCTCCCAATTAATTATTCGTGGCTGGTGTGAGCGTCGCGTGTTTTAGTCAATTAGTAACGTAATTTTGCGGGTGACTTGAGTGTTCGCTGTACGAGCGGCGAGCCCCGACGCGGACTCGAGCGTCTCCTTTTAACGCTCACTAAATTAAACATAGCCGGATTGTGATGATTAATGTTCGGCTTCACCGCCACACGGCCGCACGGTACACTACATAGGTAGTAGGTAGGTACATATAACAACACCGATCACATTACATGGAACATAGATTACGCGATCTAACTTTTGTTTAGAGATCAAAGATAAATGGAGAATAACATAATATGTGGTCCGTTGTTGCGGTGTGCCCGATCGCCCGATCACCGATACATACATACATACATACCGAACATGCGTGTGTCGGTAGATACGGAACATACTCTGTTATATTGGCAATAATTGAAGCCATTGCATTTAAATTAATTGAAGCAATGCATGCACTACGCCCTCTGCTATGTCGGCATTAATAACGTAATATGTACGCTATATATATACATTATAATAGACATATTGGAGCAGCTATCGCTCACTAGAATTAGCCGATAGATGGCGCCTTTGATGTAGCATATTAACATACACGGCCGTGTTCCGAGCTGATGTTATTATCACGTACTATGTAAACTTGGTTGTATCGTGTTTTATATCGATACCGAAGTCTGTTTCCTTCCTTAACGGCTTCATATCATGAATATTAATTTAGTAGAGAACGGAACGCGTGTGGAATGTCGTCGCTACTCCGACCCCCGCCGAGCACGGTCGAGCTAATCTTATTCGTTCGCATTAAATCGTAAATTAAGTATAGAGCGTTCGTGACGAAGCTCGATATATTACTGGGGCTAATTTGACTAGCTCCGAGCCACGGCCGGCTTAATGCTAAATTATAGTGACGTGTGTGCTGAATAATCTCGGTGTGTCCTAGCAATTACTATCACTTGATGCGGCAAATGGTAAGACAATATTGTTAGTGGTCGGGCGCATTTGTCACTATTGTGACCATATATTACACTGATGAATGTTTCTAACTCAACTTACATTATGTTAAAGTGACTACGAGTACATTTAATAGTATACGGATACTTTGTTTAATAGAAACGTTACACGTATAAGCCTTTCAAAAGTTTGTATCGTAAATTAAATTACTGTTCGTAGAGGCGTGACGCGCCGACAGCTCCTGCAATATTTATCTACCACCCCACCTGCCTATCGAACTACCACCTACCGTCAACTAGAAAAGACATTACGACCCGCACACATAAATAACATATCAGCTCACATCCATATATACGTATTATTAAATTAACATGTCGGCAGAACCTCTAATAATAGTCCTCCTATTGGTAAACCGCACATTGTTCTATATCTTAGTGTAATAAGTGTTGTTAATGTGGCATTCGTTCCTGTTTCCAGGTATCAGCTCGGCGGAAGAGCGACACGTGAGTACCAACAGAATTCCAATTTCGAAAAGTTAAAGTTGTTAAAAATTTCAATGACAAAATTTCGCTTTGAAAAATTCCGCCAGAGGTGCTCCGCTGGCTGGTGTTCAGCGTTTTTTCCATTTGTGAACGAGCGGAGTGTTGTGCTCGAACGCGTTGATTTCATAACACGACTCTCACTGGAACAAGTGGGTGGCGCAAGTGGCACACCCCGCCAGGGCTGCCACGGACATACGTACTATTAACATGCACTGTCCATACAAACAACGACACTCAATAAATTATTTGTTTTGTTACACATCACGCTGTTATATTTATTATCCGTAGTTAACCTTTAATATTTATTTTAAATAAAAAAATAATCTTTTATAGGTATTAGATTGTTTGAATACAATAATTTAGTAAAAAGAAATTTTGAAATGTAATTTTTTAATGTAAAACATCAATTCCTTGAAAATACAAAATAACTCGGTCATTATCAACCCTGTGCGGGAGTGAGTTCACGAGCGAATGCGTCGTTCGCGAGGTGTTGTGAATGTCGGCTATCGTGCCAGCGAGTGGCGTGGGAAGCGGGGTGGCAACCCTGTCACTGGCGTACCGAACAAATGTGGTACCACTACCACCACCACCACCACAACCACCACCACTACCACGCCAGAGAATTGCATACGAATCGATATCAAGCCCGCGCTTCATAACATTGTCTTTGTTGTCTAACCTAGTTCCTTTTTGTACCGCGTATTCCGTTTCGACATTTCAATTTATAACAATTGCTCCCTGTACTGTTAACTGGAGCTTGTTTTATTGTAGTTAGTGGAAAAAGCTTAGTTTAAAACTCAAACACTAAAACTAGTCATCTATTGAAATGGAAAAAGCAACAATAAATTGTGACAAATTGTTTCATTTTTATTATTACATATTAATTTACAGTAATTAATTACAATTTAAAAGAGTCTTCATTTTGGCAATAGATTTGTTATTGTACAAACGGATCTATAAAAGTAATATAAAAATAATTGAATGTTAGAACAGCTATCCATTCCACTAGCCGAGTAGATTTACACGAGAAATAGCTCAGAAAATAAAAAGGCGTTAAAGCCCCAGTGAATAGAGCGCGCTAAAAGAATCAGGGCGGTGTGAAACCGATAGGTGGCGGTGGCGATGTTAGCAGTCTGTTCGTGAAGAAGACGATTTGTGCAAACGCGCAGCTGAGTAATGCACCCGGCGTCTTACGGGGGCCGGGGGGGCCTCGCTGCGGGTGGGGGCCTTAATAAAGTTTACATAAACCGTCTTGGCTGCGGCTCGGCGAGGGGGCTTCGCGTTACAGTCGTTCGTGCCTCGCTAGTTTGTCCAGTGAAATGTTTTTACAGCAAATCACGCTCGCTACACTGTTGCTAACAATTGTTTATTCCACAACAAACTATGCCGGGCTGTTTGTACACCGGCTGCGTTTTGTTTTCTTAAATTTAATATACTTTCGCTCCGACCTGAACTATAAACAGCTAGTATTCGATAAACAAACATCACACTACCTTGAAATCGCTGCAATAAATACCTAACTAATTGCTATCTGTCACTCGGAGTCATCAAAGAATATTAAATCTTTTCTCATCCCTATTATTACGAGCGCCAATTTCCACCGACACCCAATCGAGGGCTGCCCTTTCCAGTATCTCGTGGAGCCTACATTACACCAGCGTAATAATTTTCTCCGTCAGCATCCATTCCGTCGTATCGGGTGTAATATTCAATTTAGTCCCCGACCACACAAAAACTGCTCGAGAGCCGGTTCATTACGCCGCACATCCCGGCTCTTCATCCTCCTTACCTTATCTAAGCCACTCTGAACGGCCCCCTCGTAACCCCTCCCGACCCCCGACCCCCGCCGCTCACCACTTGAAGTGCGAAGCTCAGGGCTCAGCCTTCTTTAGCATTCCACGCCACTTCTTTATTTAATAGATGCCCAGCGTTACTAGATCCGAATAAATTTGTGTATCTGAACGCCGCGGCCGCTTTGTGTTCCACCTCATCCGTCTCTTATTAAACAGCAGTACTTAACACTTATATTTATAATTTTATACATTCATTTATAAGTTTTCTTAACCGGCGGCGGTTTCAGATCGTGTTTAGTGTGTGTATGGTAGATACTGTTGGTAGGGGCTCTCTGTCTCTCGACCGTGCCAACCCTCGCAATTTATCGCTCGGGACTTTTCTTAATTGGAAAGAATGGCCACTTGTAATTATTAAGACGCCCTAAAGTGAAACAGATTGTGCGTTAGAATTCAGCGTCGTGTTTTTGTTTCTCTCCCCGTTATACAGATTGTAAGTGAAGGACGTTTTATGTCTTCTTCAATTTTATCTACAGCATTTTATTGGATGACTTTAATTTCATTGGGCTGTAATATATAAATCGACCGTCATTTATTTTGGTTATCGATACTTTTATTAACAGATTGTTATCGATAAATATGTCAATCACGTTATAGAACACGTCGTAACCTGACCTTTATGTATTGGGTGGTTGTCGGAGATATCTCGGTCACTCAAATAAAAAAAAAACGGCCGCGTCTCGTTTATTATTAAACGGTCAATATCATTTTACTATGTGTATAAAATCTATAACTTTTTGAATATAAAGAGTTAAGGTTACGACCTAAAATGCGGATCAAGTTTAGCATTCTGCGCCGTGTTAGCAAGGAGCCGCGTTTGTTTTATTTGAAATTCGAGAGCTTTCAAAAGTGTAGTTCGTGAGCCGCACGCCGCACGATCCAATACGTATGCAATGAGTAGGAGCCAGGAGGTATGCGGGTAGGTAGAGGTAGTGGCATACCTCGGGTAGAGGTAGCGTGCATCGTTCTCTTTGTTGCGAGCCGTATCGCATCGATTTATGCAGGCTGGATAGATCGCGCCCGCCGCCGTTATAACAATACCACCTCAACGTTGTACTTACGTGACAAAATTGATTATTGAATATTGCATTCCTGCGGGCTGCGGCCCCCGCACAGACTTCCGGGCCCAGTTGAATTTTCCTCACTATTGAAAATTTTAAACATTCTCGAAGCGAGCACTTTGATGGTATTCTAGTTTGGAATTCTTTAACATCCAGCTTTAATATTTGAGACGACATCGTCGGAGCGTAAAAACTGTACACTCTATAATTAAACACACTGATGTATTACAAAACGAATTGAAAATACACAATTTATAACCGGCAATAAAATCGAACAGTTTAAATTACAATCAACGCAATTCGGCATAAATGAAACACTAGTAATTGAAAACACGCTACGGTAAGTCTGACCTTTCGCGCTAAAATCCCATTTGTGAATGCAATCATGGCTTATCAATTCATTGTTTCGATGAATATCCGGCGAGCGGACCTGGCTCCCCACGCCGCACGCCGCCACCCCACGATTCAATATTACGATTCAATGTTCACTTACCGCTTCTACTGATTTAAATCAACATTTATATTTGTTGAGGTTCAATAAAATACTCACCGCTAGTGTTCTACTATAACAAATACGTCTGCGTTAAAAGTTTCACATTCAAATATACATTTATCATACATGGAATTCATAATTAGACGTACTATAATTTCCATATAAACATTTATTTATCGTATGTAAGATAAGAGTCGTAATTTTAAAGTCAATAAGCATGACGGATGTGGAAACATAAAATCCGTGAATACCAAACTAATGATCAGTGTTTACGTGGAGCGTGGAGCGTGGAGTCTCCTGTGTCAGTGTAACAATGTATGGAGTGCGGTGAGGACATGCGAGGAGAGGAAGGTTAATGAGCGTGCGAGGAGGACGCGGTCACTAGCCACCGGCCGTGGCGTGGAGACGACTTGTGGTCGGGGCGCACTGCGGGCGGACTACGTGTGAGGTCCGACCTCTATATATACAATATGTCATCCCACACACGTGCAGTGCGCGCACACCCTCAGCCTCACCCTCACACAACACGGCACAACATTAAAGCACGCCGTTCACAATAAACACGCCAGACCATCGGGATAATTGAAATCGCTGCAAGTAATTAGCAGTTAGGCGAGCGCGATAGCTCCCGGCCCCGCTCACGTCTTCATAATTTATCTCAATTAGTTGGCGGAGTAATGGGCGGAAGGGCGGCCGGCGCTCCTTCCCGCGCCTGCACTTTATGCACTATACCGAGAATAAATTAATGTTACCCTCCTTTGAATTTGTGACTTGTTTACGTTGTACCTTTACACTGATTTTATGGTATTATTGTTTCGTTTTAAACATTAAAGGCTCGGGGTCAGGATGTTCACTACTGATACTGGCTGTTTATGTCTTATTTATAAAGATGTAATTTAAATAATTTATAAAAAAAACTTAATGATTTAGCCAATGAAATTGATGTATCATTATAGTATGTGGTATTTGTGTGTTGCGGTTTCTACCGTACAGCACTTGGCGCATTCGATGATATTAGTTGGAGGCGACAAAGGCGTGAGAGCCGACCGCTCGCTGTGTGAGTGTGCTGCGGTTTAGGAGCCGTGTTTAACAATGCGGCGGCCGCGCGGTACACGTGCGGCAGGCGTGCGGCGTGCGGCCTCCAACACGCCGTCCTCTTCTTGCTTATCACATTTACATATGTTCAATCAGCTCACCGCTCGCCGGCCGCCTATCGGTCCACTATCCAAAATGTTCCATGAATAAATTTGTCAACCGATAGCTCGCCCGCCGATTGAACTGAACAAAGAAAACAATCTCCGGTCAGCTCGGATTAAAGACGACGGGTCGCATTAAAAATGTGCGAGTGGCAGCCCTTTTTAAGTTTTCTCGTTACTGGCTAAGACGAGAATCATTAGGAATTAAATTTCCCCTTTCATTAGTCCCTCAACCCTCGTATAATTCCGGACGCGGAGCAATAACAATATAAATCCCCCGTCGCGCCGGCCGGGGGATTAAGGCTTGTCTCGACCCTAATTTAGGGCTGCCCCCGCCCCGGATTAACGAAGTGGCGGAATCCGCTAGGGTTGTCGCTGCGCATAAACTTGTTACGTGTTTAATGTTTTATTGACGGGTGGCGAGGGAGCTCCCATTTAAATAATAGAGCTCCGAGAATCACCGGCCGCGATTGTCGGGGCCCCTGCTCTGGCGAACTTTACAATCGTGTCAAATGACACCGGCTCGATTGTGGGAGGCTTTCATGAAACGGTTCATTTTAAATGGCTGGATTTTTTTAAATTCATACGCCGTAAATTTACATAATTTAATCTTGATATATAAATCTACATGTAATGTTTGATGTGTCTCTCAATTTATAATAATACCCCGAATATATTTAACCATTAAACAAAAGAAAATCCAATCATCTCAAAAAATATAAGTCTAATTGAATGCCTCTCATAACGACTTACAAAACAAGCGTTCAAAAATCACCCTCGCCCTAGCAAATTAATTTTTCGTCGTATTATTTGATCGTAACGAATCGTCTGTAGAGGTGGAACGGATCCTTCGCCCCCTGTATTAAGCCGTGCCGTCGACGCACATATTGCCGACGCTGCTCACAGCCCCGAGGAATCTCCGAGGGATTGACGCGCCCCTCGCTCGAATCACTATTAAATGACTCCCTATTTGTCAACGCTATCCTGACTCGTGACACAGACAAACTACATATTTATATAAGGAAACTCTACCCGCGCACGGCCTGTGTATTTACGAATTTCTTTCCGCACCGACTGTTCCACTATATGAACCGTAAGCTCGTCACCACTCACCCTGTACGTAGTCTATTTATTTGTTAAACATCAATTTTCCAAACGAGTGACTCCGCGACACGGCGACGTAACTCGATTCCATGTAATTTATTTAAATAATTCGAACAGACCGAACCCGCGTACAATGTATTAAAATTTGCCTCGCGACCGCAAAGTAGACGCTAACACAGAATTAAAGTCGTCGACACTTAAGGGCTTCGTAGTTTAGGAGGGAGTTGTGTGAAATTTCACTCGGAATTTCGAAATGGTGGATGGGTTTCACAAGTCAACTCAATTATCGTTTTAATTAAGGCGCTGCCGTGCCACGTGACATTTGTTTGCGTGCCTGAAAGCGATCCTCTCCCCCCTCACCCCCCAACCCTCACCCCCAGGATCCCCTCGCGTTAATTGTGCTAATTACTCCCGAAATGGTGTAGGGTAGAGAGATTACTTATCGACGGCTTCCCTTGAATTTATTCCGTGTTACATTCACTTTCAGTTAATTATCGTCTCAGCGGGCACTTAACGTACTAATAGCTTTTTATAGCTCAACTATTGCGAGGAACATAATACATTTCTGATGGTTTTTGTGACACGTTAATACAATGGTAATGCTAGGATTATTTTGAGCTCTTCTATCTGAGACGATAACATCTGTTTTATAAACAGTTTAAACCGTCGTCCAGAACAAATAAACAAAGTGAAATAACAGTTAGTAATTGACATGTACTGTAGGTGGCAAGCTTCCAGCTCGTATAGAGCGCGGGGTCAGAGCAATCAACGTGTGGTGAGCACAAAGAGCGCTCTCTGGTGGCGGGAATAGGAACACGTCACCTCCACTGTGAACATCAGGCGATTCGGTTATTTTGAGTCCTACATAAAACGATCGAACCGAATGTAACGAACGTATAGCACTAAACGCAATCCGCCACTCGCCCGCGACTGTAAAGTTTACGAGTCACGTAAAAACACGCTCGGAATACCGACCGGCTAACATAAATTTATGTTAATGTATTCTTTATAGGAGTTTAATGTACATTCAAAAATTCCTTCATTATTTATGTATAAGAATGAACCGGTGGAGTTAATTTTAAAGTCGTGCCGATCTCCGCGGTTAACACGTCGGCTGGCAATCATTTTTATACGGTTCATGTTTATTACCTCGCTCCCGACTAATACCAGATGCATTTAATTATTTCCTCGGCCATATCAACGACTTTATTACTCCGAGCTCGACTCGTTTATTACATAGCTCCTCAGTGATCCCGGCCGAGGTCGAGGTGGCTAACTGCTAAGTTTCAGCGGTCCGATAACTAGTCATAAGATTCCTCGGCGATAAGTCGAAAGCGTCTCATGTAAATCACATAACTTTCGAAACTACCGTACTCGAAGTACAGTCCGAGCTCAATTCGTACATTTCCGAGCGGCGGGCGGTCTATTTATCTATTTCCCCACGCTTCCGCCCCCGGCCGTCCGGTTAACCGCCCCCCTTCCGGTTAACCGGCCGGCTCGGCGTGCGCGGCTAAACGGCTCGTCGCGTGACCGCAGACAATAAGCCCGGCGCGTTAACAGCGCGCCTGTGTGTTGCCACTTTATATAATGTTACGTCACCGGCCGCACGTCCACGATGCGATAAGTCGTGTGGTCGGACGGTCGGGAGGGTCGCCGCCTCTCCTACCCTTGTTAAGAGACCGTGTCGCGATCCTTTTCAAACTCCACAACCAATACACCGTTGCCTTTTTCTTGAGTCGACCCGGGTAATGGGATAAACTACAGATTAGCTCTATTCGCTTTTCCGACCAAATGTAAAAGGTTTTCACAACGATACCTCACACAATAAGGTATCTTATTTCAGTATAAAGCTTTGATCTTTATAAATATATTGAGCGACCTTTTAAAGTGCTATTGTTGCTATACAACCTCACGTTATTAAATACACTATTAGTCTAACCACGTGTCGTATCTCTTATACATACTGTTGAAGTCTTATCATCCGTCCACCTAATAACAATAGTAACCATAATTCGTGAACGATCAAAGTTTTAACGACAAGTCCTCCCCCCCCCCCCCCCCCCCTCCTCAGTGACACGTGAGGCTCCTATAAAATACATTCCATTGAATCCGACACGTCACTTTACTGCGCGCACTGTGACACTCGAAATAGCACTACTTGAAATTCGATATCAAATACCGTCAGATCGAGCGCTCGTAAAATTAGGGCTTCGGTCACACGCGTGCGGAGCGATAAACGACAACCTTTACCGTACGTACCTCACCCACCAAATATATTGGACGGAGTCACTCAACTTTATGTCCCTTTATCTTATCTTATAACAGATGATGCTCACTATAAAACGGAACAAGCTCGGGGATAAGTTTATTTGTCGTCAGCCAACTGTTATTAACTATAAATGTAAAGATGTGTAGGAAATTAATTTTGATTCTTTTTAGAACCTTACTTGATTTATTATGAACAAATAAATTTGTATAACAAAAGACGAAGGGCGGTATTCGTAAGTCAAATTGGGCGGCGACGGGTTGACAAATTAACAGCTTGCCGCTAGCTTCTAAGTTAGAGGCTCATAAAATTTCACCCTCGAGGCAACAGGCATAAACCAGGCCGCTGTAAGCCTCTGAGAATTTCAAATTAACTCTTGGCTATTTCTCATTCAAGGTCCACTAGGAACATAAGCGATTTAGCTTCGGATGTTCTGTGACCTACCATTGCTAATGTTACATACATACATACATATGTTGTATTTATTTATAGTTATAATACATCCTTAGTTATTTTGCGAGTAATCAAACAGTTGTTGATTTAGAAAATCGTATATCATAATAATGAATGCTTGAACAAAGAACTCCAAGTAGAAATCGTGTTCATCTATATTCGTATATAAATATATAAAATATTTCGCAATGTCAACATGAACTGAATCAGTAAGCGTGGCTGGTCTCTCAACACGTATATGATTATTTCATTAGTTCGTATTTGCTCACTCATCCGCCGACTCCTCACACCCTTCCCTGGTGGGCTGTGGGAGGAGGGAGGAGGAGGAGGGAGGTGGGGGGCGATGACCACTCCCGGAGCTAATCATGCGGTCAGTTTGTTCTGCCTCAGCGTGTTTTGATATTGATATTGACCGTAGCGCTCGCATCACTGCGAGCCGATTTATTTGCGAACAATGATCGATTGATTGCTATAGGAACGTAAGCGCGGCCGTAAACGCTTTGATTATGTTTACCAGATCTTATTTGAGGATCCGACATCACCGGATACATAACGCACCGTATATACACTGTATAACTCGTTAGCGGTCTTATACAGATATCGTAAAGATTCGTGTTTATTGTTGCAGAGAAATTCAATATCCCCGGGCGAGAGAGAGAAATATAGAACGAGGAGTCCCGCTGAACCGGACCACAAGAAACTAAAAAAGGAGGAAAAAGATATGGGACATGTAAGGACGGCTCGGAATATAACACGAACTTGTGTTCAGTTAACGGGCTCATTATGTATTAATTGTGATGATATTGCAGGAATTAGTTGTAGACGACGCCAGCGAAGAACCAACATCACCTCACAACGGGGCGCCGTCACCCAGAGAGAACGGTCTGGATAAACTGCAACCCAAGAAAGAACATCCACCTCACAGCCCGCGGTAAGGAGATACACAGCACTCCATTAAACACACACACACAATACAAATAAAATAATCCTTTAAAGGCGAACACCTCGCTGTAATCTTAATTGATTGTAATCCCTTCATCCGTTTAAGGGAAGCCGTAGTTGTAAACCGTCCGTTACATTTGTCGCCGAGGTAAAGGTCGTCGCACTATAATTGGACAGTCAAAAGTTAATCTCTGAATCTATAACGAAGTAACTCCGCTCCTGTTACAACGATATTAGACACGCTCCGATGGTCCGCCGATAGTAATCATAACGCAAACTTAAACCTTGATGAATATCGCCGTGGGAGATTAACAACTACTCGGTTTAAATTCACGTTACACACTCGACCCAAATGATTGACTTTAATTATACGTGAACGTTTTACTTGTTATAAATTCAGTATCATTCCGACTGTGCCGTGTAGTTTTTACAAACAAATTTTCCGTTATTGAGATAGTAATTAAGCCGGCAATTAAGAGGAGCACTCGTTTTCGATGGTACACATACGTGCTGGCCGCGCACTGAATACGCCATTTATATAACATCGCTGCGGCCGCGCTCACACACTTAGCCCTTTTAACCTTTTTAATGCGGACTATTGAAAGCTCGACCTCAATACGTTTTATAGCCATTAACAGGAACCGCCCGCGCCTGTTAAAAGACGAGTGGCGAGCTTTTTTGGTTTTATTAACTAATTGCTATGTTTTTATTTCAGGTCCGGAACGTCGAGTAACGCATCGACGCCTTCCACAAAAAAGTTAGATGAGAAACCGAGCACTCCGATTTCTAAACCCGTGACGCCGACTTCCGGCGCTAGTGGTGTAGGGTCAGCGGGGCCTCCTATGAAGGCGGCGGTGAAGCCTCCAGCATTACAGTACCCTTACCTGGGTAACGGAGCCCACGACGCGTACGGCCTGGCAGGATATTCAGCCAGAGCGGCCATGGCATATGAACCGCTACGTCCGCCGATTGGACCGGCCGCACTCGCACCCATACCTGGCGGAAAACCGTGAGTTGTTACAATCAATCAATTATTATTAATTAATATCACTCAATGTATAAAGAAAGAAAGAACATTTTTATTTGGAACCATACAAAAACGATGAAATAACAGTTATTTCAAAAAATAAGAAATAAAACAACAACAAAAAAAAAAAACAAACCAAAAAAACAACTTATAACTATTAAAAAAAAAATTAAAAGAAAGAAAGAAAGAAAAAGAATGCTATTACAATATACATATGTACATGACGTGTCCCAAATAGGTATACCATTCAGCAATTAATAGGCGTGGACAACTAATGCTGGTTTTTGATAACTACTGACGGGCGGTGACCAAGTTAAAATACAAATTAATAAATAAGAACAATATACATAATTATTAATAGTAATATAATCTATTTCCAGAGCGTATTCATTCCACGTGTCAGCCGAGGGCCAGATGCAGCCGGTTCCCTTTCCACCGGACGCCCTGATGGGTCCGGGTATTCCCCGCCACGCGCGCCAGGTGTCCGCGCTGGCCCACGGGGAGGTGGTGTGCGCGGTGACCGTGTCCTCGCCCACCAAGTACGTGTACACCGGTGGCAAGGGCTGCGTCAAGGTGTGGGACATCAGCCAGCCCAGCAAGGCGCCCGTCAGCCAGCTCGACTGTTTGGTGAGTCGGTAACTGTCGACTTGTGGCTCACACTAACACTAGCTAACTACTGATAAATAGTCACGAAAAAATATAAAATATGCAGAATAAAAGTTGGTTTTTCACAGTCTAAATATGACATATGTAAAAAACACATTCTAGACAGAAAATCGCGTAAATTAAAAATATGTAGTTACATATTAATCCGGGCCCTACTGATAATACTACGAGTAACACTGAAAGATTTAAGAGACCTAATTTCAGCAAAATATATGGTAGCTACTTAAATACTTACAAAGATTGAATAGCAACATGTGTGTATCTAAAATTATGATTAATTCCAATCCACCCAAACCTCCTCTAACCATCAATTTCATATTTTTCAGCAACGTGATAACTACATCCGGTCGGTGAAGTTACTTCCTGACGGCCGGACCTTGATAGTTGGCGGAGAAGCCTCCAACCTGTCTATATGGGACCTAGCCTCCCCCACTCCCCGCATTAAGGCGGAACTGACGTCATCAGCGCCCGCTTGTTACGCGCTAGCTATCAGCCCTGACTCTAAGGTACCGATTGACTTAATGAGTAACTTGAAAAGTAGACGAGAGTATTACAAGAATATTACGATTGAAAGTTGAGATGGAGATATAAGATAACGAAGATAGAAAGAGATAGCACATACATACAAGTCACACAAGTGAAGTTCGAGCGCACATATTCTATCTCTTCCACTCACATCTAGCTACCGTATCTCATATCATGCTATCTCTGTCAGGTGTGCTTCAGCTGTTGTTCGGACGGCAACATCGCGGTGTGGGACCTCCACAATCAGACCCTGGTGAGACAGTTCCAGGGACATACGGACGGTGCCTCGTGTATCGACATCTCCGCTGACGGGACCAAGCTGTGGACCGGCGGCCTTGATAATACTGTCAGGTATATAAATATAGACATGTATACATAATATGTATATATGTATGTATATACTAGCTTTCCGCCCGCAGCTTCTCCCACGTAGAGTTCGGTTATATCGCGTTTCCAAGAGAACCCTTTAAAAGTCTGGGATAAAAAACTATCCTATGTTCTTTTACTAGGTCAACTCTATATCTGTACCAAATTTCATTAAAATTAATTCAGTGGTTTAGGCGTGAAAGCGTAACAAGCAGACAGAGTTACTTTTGCATTTATAATATTAGTAAGGATGTATATGTATAGGAAAGTTGTGTTAATTACACTATTTATAAGTCAAAAACGGCTGTACGGGTTTAGTTGAAAATTGGCTGAGAGATAGCTTAGTTCCAGGAGAAGGACAAAGAATATTTAATCCTGTTCAATCGAAACAGTTTTTTTTTAAATATCCAATATCTGTTTATTTACTGCCTCAAAATCGAAACAGTTCGTGACCAAGCTATACATTTCTATTTGCGAATCTAACGCAGACGTAGTCGAGGTCAAAAACTAGCATATTTTCGGTTTAATCACCATTAATTAATTATCACTTATTCTTTCAGATCCTGGGATTTAAGAGAAGGAAGACAATTACAGCAACACGACTTCAGCTCACAGATATTCTCACTGGGATACTGTCCGACGGGTACTAATATATTATAATAATACTACTGTTAATAATAATTATATAATGAATATTATGGAATTTTGACTTTGTACTGTGATTAAAATTCCCTAAGACTCCCGAAATATACTTGTAACTTGCCAGTTATTTGTAACGAATTCTGTGCTGGTCTGGTCTACAAATAATACACCCTGTATTTTTTACTAGAATTAGAATTTGTTGAAAACATAAGAACGAAAAATTCATACACTTTATTATAAACATCCACATATATAATAATAAAATACATTTAAAATCTAATACAAATAACTAACAAAATATTAATATATTTCCAGGTGAATGGCTGGCCGTGGGTATGGAGAACAGTAACGTGGAAGTATTACACGCGGTGAAGCCTGACAAGTATCAGCTACACCTGCACGAGTCATGTGTACTATCGCTCAGGTTCGCCTCCTGCGGGAAGTGGTTCGTCTCCACCGGGAAGGACAACCTGCTCAACGCGTGGCGCACGCCCTACGGAGCGAGCATCTTCCAGGTATGATATATTGATATGCGATTATATACTTTATTACTGTATGATAAGGTGCAAATTACTATGTGACACAATACATACAGTAGAGGAAAAACAACCTCGTTTTACAGTGTAAGGTTTAAATTTCGAACTATTTTACATCAGTTCGATCCTACGGAGTGAGCATCTTCCAGATCGCATATATTGAAAAGCGAATATACACTTACTTGCTATATGATAAGGTGCAAATTGATATGTGATACATTTATTAGTGTCACCTATAGAAGAGTAATATACTTAGTATAGGAAAAACAACCTTATTTCATACAGTATAAGTTATTTAAATTTCGAACATCAATTCTGTTATAGAATTATTATGATCCATAGTAGAGCCCTATTCGGTATAGATAAAGGAAAAACAACCTTATGCATAATGTAACACGGTTTAAAGTACTCTGTATGACCAATATCAGATTGAATATAATGTTCGTTATATGAGCGCAATTTAGTTTTAAATTTAGAACTAAAATGACTAAGCACGATAAACACATTCATATTATGATTACTAGTCGTAAGGATTGCCACATACAAAATTGATTAAATATTATCAATATTTATTTTTTATTTAAATATTGTATATATTTCCAGTCTAAAGAGTCGTCGTCGGTGCTGAGCTGCGACATCTCATCGGACGACAAGTACATAGTGACGGGCTCGGGCGACAAGAAGGCCACAGTGTACGAAGTGATCTATTAAGACGGACAGACAGACTAGTGTAGTGACAGCGGGACGTTCCGCGCGCGAGTGATATGGCTTAGTGTATGTATAGTGTTGTATGAAGGCTGTATGTACTTATGCGACCTGTTTATATAGAGTTAGTGTACGCGGTCATGTTTATTTGTTGAGCGCCCGTAGTGTATGTTGGCGGCAGATCTCAAAATGATGATTTCGTTTCAATATTGTTGTAAATGGCTCATATTAAAGAAATGATATGCGCGAATTATATTTATATGGTTTCATTTTATACACACCCCTTTATCATTGTGGTATGATATGTATATTGTTCATAAAATGCCAAGTATGTATATTAAATCTTGAAGCATGTAACTAATTGATCGTTATAAAAATTTTCACTTCACTGACAACATAGTGAATATAAAAATGATTTAAAAAAATTCTATAAGGTACTATTAAACAGTCCAAACTGTAAATCTCTTCAGATATTATTTATTTAATATTTACCGTCATCTGTATCACAAATACAAAGCACTTGAACTTATAGAAATTATGTGAAATAATATTTAAAATAATCGCTCTGTATTTTAACATTTTCACGATTTTTCACAATAGTTTTATTACTTTAAAAATTACTGAATGACGTTATTATTAAGCATTTAATAGAAATCTATGTATTTAGATACCTAAAACTTCGCGTGTATTTATTTAAATAAAATTAATATTTTCGGATGTACTACGCCTTTTTTAATATTTTAACTACGTAATCCCGATGTTTTGATTACTTTTGCTGCAACTATGATCACGGGTAGAAGAGACGAAAATTTTGAACAAATAACATTGCGTGTAGTATATCTGAAAATCTTATTTCTATTTAAACTTAAAAGGAATCATTATTAAGGACTACATAAAAACGATGTAATTTTAAAAGCAATAATAATATAGTACACACAGATTTCTATATATTTTTAAAACATTTTACATACAGAAGTCTTAATATTTCTATAATTAAAGTTTTATATAGACCACTATATATTATACTAAAATTCCAATCACTTCTATCATTCATTGAAACATACATTAAAATAAATTCAGCCGTTACAGTTCAAAAACAAAGACAAACTGATGAATGCAGCTGAAACAAAATTATTATGAATTGTGTATGAATTGCCTGTATTGAACAAAAAAGGTTCAATACCATTAAATTTAATAGATACCTACATATGTCTTCTACGTGGCAATTTCCCAGCTTTAGCCAAAAAAAGTTGCTGTCTTCAATCATCCGAAGAACTTAGCATAACCACCATGATTTCATCACATATAATATGTATATTTTTAAGTGAACCCGTTGAATATAACTGTATTTAAGAAAATATGTACATACATCGACTTATGTTAAATCAGAGTGTGATAGATTCGAGGCCGAGGCCTTATAGTATTCAGGTTTCAGAAAAATGTATGATCAAAATGATTTACTTGTTAATTTATCAACAACGCCATCTGTCGTCTCTATCACGCAACATTTCCAAAACAACCCTCGTACCATACTCCCGCGGGTACTGCATCGTGTTTCAATATAAATTATAATAATCCATAGTCATTCCAATGAAAAATTATAAAAATCACCTCAGTAGTTTGTATGTGAAAGCAAAATATAAGGACACGTATGAAATATAAAAATGAAATTATAATAAGTGAAGAAATAATTATTACTACATATTTAGTATTGACAGAATAAGTTTTCAAAACAAAAGAAACAGTAAGTTTTCAAAACAAAATTGAGTCAAGGTTTTATTTTTGGACAAAATTAACAAAAAGTTTTACTGCCGCGCCGCGGTTTAAATTTTTAAAACTATTATATTATTCAATTAACAGATAGTGTGTAGATGTGTTAAATAAATCTTCATATTGCTATAATAGTTACGACATTAATTTTCGTTATCTGTATCACTCTCGACGGTTGTAATTTGACGCCAATTTTCGATCTGTACTTAGTGAATCTGTCCCTAACACGTGTATTATCGTGACGTTAAAAAACATAGTGTTCCGTCTGATAGAAAATTTGTCAATTATGATCTGGTTTTATTTGGGAACTAAAATATTTATGATTATATCATACTCTTAATTTCTGATAAGATTTTCATTTCTAAGAAAGCTTAGGAATTGTTAGCTTAGGAATTGCAATTCTATTCAGAAGTATCGTCAATTATTTATTTAAATATAAACACAATTTTGTCTTGACTGGAAGAGATCTCTTTTAAGAGATAAGTCCGCCTTTGTGTATGTTTTTTCTATTATGTTATTTTATGTCTTGTTTTAGTGCAATAAAGGATATATATATTTTGATGAAATTTTACTTCAATTTATAAAATAATAATAATAACCAAGGATGCCTAAAGTTCCAAAATAATTTATACAATATATTAAAATTAAAAAAAAATAATTGCCATCATAATTTTTAAATGCTTCATCGGATCTCTAAAATGGATATTTAAGTCGGAGAAATATAAACTATACTGAACCTACGTTGTACATTAATTAGTGTCACCTGTATTTGTTTTCTCAAAAAATAGAAAATACCTTTACTTTTTCTATAAACAGTCAACGAACTTTCTCGAAAATAATAAAAAAAAAACCTTTCTTATTTAATTTTAAATAATATCATTCCGAGGTTGAACCTTTGTTGAGGAGTTATTAAATTCTCAAAAAATAATTTATTTAAGATATTAGGAATAAAACAGGAATATTATAAAACCTTTGCATTTCTTATAGCTAACTCTTCAGTAAACAAATAATAGAAAAATCCATCAGAGCATAAGCTTAAGAAATTTCAAAGAATTCGTCATTCTTTCTTAAATATATAGATATGTTAAAATACATGACCATAAAAGGAATTTCAAAGAAAACTTCAATCAAAAAACAAAATGCCGGACTTATGGTACTTATTTGTGAAATCTAAAATCATTTATCCCCAGCATATAAAACCTTCTCAATAAATATATTGACCGGTAACTAACCCTTAATTGTTTCAGTTGTTTACCGTTCTCGACGTTATTTTCCATGATTGTTGTAGGAAAAACATTCAAATGAATACCACTACGTAATGTTCGTACAGACGCTGGCACCGCCAGCCACCGGACCTTATCGCTACATACTACGCATACGCTCGGCGTACGGTTGTATGCTAATGTGTACTTACACATGCAACAACCGTTTGAGATACATGACGTTAGAGCACGTTTAATAAATGCAATGCAATGCTCTTTACTATAAAAGGATTTTAATATATCTGTGGTGTTCATTCATAGGACTATGTTTTGGCTGACCATTCTTAAGGACGATTTTTGATATTTTTAAGGTTCCGTTAGTCAATGAAGACGGAAGTCTTGTAGGATATCTTTGTGGCTGTCCGTTTATGTTCTTATTTAACGATCTCCTGGAAATACATATTCCATTCTTAGGCACATTGTACCTTGATGCACGACACTTGAAAAAGACATACAAATTGTAATAGACATAAAAAAAGAACAGTTAATAATTTTATATTTATTCCACATCACATAATACTTACCTTTGCGATTAAAAGCTTATTTTCAGCTTATCAACTAACCACAATATTCTCCCTTAGAAGACTAAGAGACTGGAGAATATAAATTAATAAGTCGCTAATAATGTTGGGTTCAATTACTCCTCTAAATAAGGAGTTTAAAGTACTTCAAAATAGAGCAAAAACGTTTATTTTTTATCACGGAACCTTTATATAGCTGATCGAACTTTGTATTTATATTTATATTTAAAGCGTGTTATTTGTGTAATCTCGTAAACGATATGTAACTCTATCCGTAGTCCATCCCCAGCAGACGCCGGCCGTGCCAGCCTCTGACGTACTTTGTGTTACACTGAACTGCCTCACACAACATATGCTACATATTATTGTATACTCCGATTACAATAGATTAACGATTTACGTCCAACATTTGATTATTTACTATACAAATTATTATAATGACATCTGTTTTTGAAGCAGTTATCATAAACTTAGTTTCTATATAAAATTATCTTCATATATAATTGGTTCTAAGTATCTTATATAATATATTACTATGACTATAATATTAAACTATTTATCTGCGTACAGCGTTCTCCGTCTGCCTACATTACTTATAGCTGTGTCCGTCACTGTACGCGATCACTTCCGAAGAATGTTATCTGTAGTTATCAAGGGATGTTAGGATGTAATGCATTGCAAAAATAATATCAATTCCGTCCTAATCGGAATTTCCACTATTTGTCGGTTTTATAATTTCGCCCCACGTTCGTCATCACACTTGTTTGTCTATTGTTATTTAAAAATGTATTATCTATTAAAAACAACATGTATAAATTTTGTTTAGTATTATTTTAAAATGTACTCAATAAATTAACTGTCTACTAATTGATTTGTATGATTTATTTAGTATGCCATATAAATTAATATTTCATAACATAAATAAAAATAAACACATTACACGTCTGCATTCTGTAATCTTAGGTAAAGGAACTGTCCTTTGTGTCGGACGCGATAACTGACGATGAAAGTGAATGATCAATATATTGTAATGTTCATATAAACAAAGTTTTTAATTGATTAAATTATAGCGAGCCGTTTATCTTTATGCGCATAACCTTTTATGATGAAACTGTATACGTGATTAACGGACGTATAAAAATGCAATTACGTATCTAATTATGTTGATATTGATTATGTATGTGGATTATTGGTTGTATTGTACCGATGGTAGGTGGTAGATGGTGGATGGTGAGTGGTCGCTGGTCGCTGGTCGCAGATAATCGTCGATCGCTGTTATCATACGTCCGCAGCGTGTCCGCCGCCGGCCGCACTCGGCTCACAGAGCGCGGACCACGCAGTCAACACATACGTTATACAAAAAAATATTTACTAAACACATGTGCTGGGCGATTTGTAACATTATTTTGCATAATTTTTGTAAGTACATCTTAGTTTTTATATGAGTCTTTGTTATACGTAAATAACATATATTATAATATATATTTTTTTGCATATTTCAGTGTAACAATGTTCCGAGAGAACAGTTGGCTTCGTGATGAAGCGTTACTGAGTGACAGTTTACTGTTCGAGTACTCTCCCGCTGAAAGTCTCATCAATTTTGAACTACCAACGAATTTCAACACGGAACTCAACGACTGGCAACTCTGTGATTTGGATATTCCGTGTGATGATTTAGTTAATGGTTTGAACGACACGAACACGTCAAATTTAGAAGATAGTTCACCAGTGCTGTTCGACTTCGACGAATTAGACAAAAACATAGATTTGGACGACTATCTCCTCGAGGCATTAAGTTGTGACAAATCCAGTGACATTCAGACATCAGTGTCAGATGCGACGGAGAGCAGCAACGAGGGTGCTCTGGGACGACTGTCAGTGTTAGGGATCGACTTGGAATCAACGAATGTCCAAGACATTCAATACACACCGAGGGCTCACAAAAGAAACTGTGAAAAAGTGACAAGTGTACAGGAAACGAAAGTAAGGTCGTGGGGAGAGCCCACCTTCTGCTCGGAAGTAGGAGCCTTCCGTTGTCCTGTCGAGGACTGTGGTAAACTATACGCGAAGGCATCTCACGTTCGCGCTCATTTACGTCGTCACAGCGGCGAGAAGCCTTACAGGTGCACGTGGGGTGGTTGTAACTGGCGCTTCGCTAGATCCGACGAGTTAGCGCGACACCGGCGGAGTCACTCCGGCGATAAGCCTTACCGATGCCAAGAATGCGGGAAGAGATTCGCTAGATCGGACCATCTCGCCAAACACGGGCGCGTACACGCGAGGAGAGCAGCCGCCGCAGCAGCCGCCGCTAAGAGGACCAACGCTCATACATACAGAACTAGAAGACTCCTGTGAACTCACTAATACCTCCAAACCTACAATGTTAACTTAAGAACAGATCGCGCGGGCGCGAATATCTACGAGCTATATGCAATAATTTAACGTACTTAGATTTAATTTAGATAATAATAACTATCCAAAGAGTTTTTATAAGTACATTAATAATTAATTTATATTTATGCTTTGATTCATGAATCTCAGTGTGCTATGCAGTATAGTAGATAATGTAATGTCTGTTAAGTATGTCCTAGCTAGGTAATTGAACTTTTGTTTATAAATATTTTATACATAATGATATCTCGTACTTAGTGTGGCCATTACCGAGAAAAATAAGAACTTAGTGATAATATGAAATAAAAATAAATAATAAAACTTCCAACATTGTGCTTGAGTACGTCACGTTATTTTTATTTAATTTTCTCAGTACGTGAGCATCTCAAAGTTACTAAGCAATCTAACAAAATGAGAATAGACTTTAAAACTACAACAATTTATTTGAAATACTAAACAAATATCCTTTATATATATATATATATAAATGTACTAGCTTCCGCCCGCGGCTTCGCCCGCGTGGAGTTTTGATAAAAAGTAGCTTATGTTCTTTTTCAGATTTCAGACTATCCATATCCAATTTTGTAACAAACGGCTCAGCATATTAGCCGTGAAACAAACATTTACACAGTTATAGTAAATTTATTTGAATATTAAGGATTATTATAATAAAGGAACGGTATAGCATTTGTTTAAAAGAGAGTAGATATGTTTAAAAAAAATAAAAAATATCTGTTTATAGTAATAAGTATAAGGTATGTATTCCATTAAGTGGCAGCCCAGGAAAACTTAGTGGTTCCCTTATGTCCAAGAGACACTTCCTGGGGCCAGCGTCACGTTGTGTACAAAAATATTTTAAAATGACCTAATTTAAAACATTTTTGTACACAACGTTTGCTGTTTGCTTAGTATTTGTTAAAATGTGGAGATTGTTTGGACTCGACCCTCGCGAGCAGGCCACGTACAGTTGGCCATGCGAAAAACAGTTTTTCTCTAAATGGACACCTGCTACTTTAAGTGTTTGCCCTAGTGCTTTGTTAATGGTCATTGTGTAGGCGGGTTTGAGGAGAAACTGGATTCTTTTAAACTGAAAAGGTGAATCTGTAGGGATCATGGTTATGCGGGGAATTAAAACTTCTTCATCTTTAGCTATTCCTGTTATTATAATTGCTCTAATAATATTGCGTCCTAGCTGCGTAATTTGCAATCGAGTCCCGTGCATAGTCTCGGCGCTTCGAGGTTTCTCATTAACAAAACTGGAACCCCAACTTTCAGTCTCATCTTATTAGACGGCACTCCTGACAGCTCTAAAGAGTTGAGAAACTCTGTAGGATAAGATGTCACCTGTTCACTGTCCATGACAATATCTACAGACTAATATTCGACAACATCGCCTTGCACATGTGACAGCGTTCGTTTATTGGTCTGTTCCACGATTTCATTGGTCGGTGCTAATATAGCCCTTTCACACAGCCACTCTCTATTCCTTATGTTATATTTCAAACCGGAATAGACATTGTTTTTAAGATCTACCAAGTTGTGAACAGCATTACAAAATTCTTGATTGAATTTGGCCACGATCGCTGTTTTTTGTAATGTTACAAACTGTAATTTCCTTATGAGGTAAATTTAATGGGAGTTTAAGTACTGTGCCATGTATGTACTGTACATGTGAATGTGCCATGTGGCCTCCATCGAGCAGCGCCGCCGCAATGCCAGAGGAAGCTACGGCAACAGCTATTCTAAAGGGCTAAAAGTAAATTTATTGAAAAGTTTTCCCAGTGCCTCCTGGCGCATCTAAGAAAATTAATCCGCCCTCACCATTATTTGCAAAACAATATCATAAACTAATTTTTGTTCCGTGTCCAATCGAGGAACAGACTCTGATATTTGTTGCTGTAAAGAAGAGATATTGTAGTCCAGTTCTCTTATTAAACACTACTGACTTCTCCGATCCCTTGTGGCCGGTTCATTCCAAAATCTGATAATGTCTTCTCAGATACATATAACCATCACTTGGTCTTGAATCTTGAATTAGTTAGCTCCTCGTTATATACTAAATCCTTATATGTGACATTGGGATTATTTTGTTGTAGTCTGTGCAAAATATCGTCAGAAATATCATTTTGGTACTTTTTTCATAATATCTGAGGATTTGAAAGACCAGACGTCGCTATGAGAATGGCAAAAAAATCTCTCACCGTAGCTGCTGATCTACAATGTGCAGCCTCTGCTAATGTCGACTCCCAATGATTATCATTCTCTAACTTTCCTTATTATCGTCAATAAATTAATCAACTGTTAATCAGTAAATCTACTGTTAATAAATTAATCCACTGTTAGTAAATCCACTGTTAATAAATTAAGCAACTGTTAGTAAATCCACTGTTAATAAATTAATTAACTGTTAGTAAATCCACTGTTAATAAATTAATTAACTGTTAGTAAATCCACTGTTAATAAATTAATCAACTGTTAATCAGTAAATCTACTGTTAATAAATTAATCAACTGTTAGTAAATCCACTGTTAATAAATTAATCAACTGTTAGTAAATCCACTGTTAATAAATTAATCAACTGTTAGTAAATCCACTGTTAATAAGTTAATCAACTGTTAGTAAATCCACTGTTAATAAGTTAATCAACTGTTAGTAAATCCACTGTTAATAAATTAATCAACTGTTAGTAAATCCACTGTTAATAAATTAATCCACTGTTAGTAAATCCACTGTTAATAAGTTAATCAACTGTTAATCAGTAAATCTACTGTTAATAAATTAATCAACTGTTAGTAAATCCACTGTTAATAAATTAATCAACTGTTAGTAAATCCACTGTTAATAAATTAATCCACTGGTAGTAAATCCATTGTTAATAAATTAATCAACTGTTAGTAAATCCACTGTTAATAAATTAATCCACTGTTAGTAAATCCACTGTTAATAAATTAATCAACTGTTAGTAAATCCACTGTTAATAAATTAATCAACTGTTAATCAGTAAATCTACTGTTAATAAATTAATCAACTGTTAGTAAATCCACTGTTAATAAATTAATCAACTGTTAGTAAATCCACTGTTAATAAATTAATCAACTGTTAGTAAATCCACTGTTAATAAATTAATCAACTGTTAGTAAATCCACTGTTAATAAATTAATCAACTGTTAGTAAATCCACTGTTAATAAATTAATCAACTGTTAGTAAATCCACTGTTAATAAATTAATCAACTGTTAGTAAATCCACTGTTAATAAATTAATCAACTGTTAATCAGTAAATCTACTGTTAATAAATTAATCAACTGTTAGTAAATCCACTGTTAATAAATTAATCAACTGTTAGTAAATCCACTGTTAATAAATTAATCAACTGTTAGTAAATCCACTGTTAATAAATTAATCAACTGTTAGTAAATCCACTGTTAATAAATTAATCCACTGTTAGTAAATCCACTGTTAATAAATTAATCAACTGTTAGTAAATCCACTGTTAATAAATTAATCAACTGTTAGTAAATCCACTGTTAATAAATTAATCAACTGTAAGTAAATCCACTGTTAATAAATTAATCAACTGTTAATCAGTAAATCTACTGTTAATAAATTAATCCACTGTTAATAAGTTAATCCACTGTTAATAAATTAATCAACTGTTAGTAAATCCACTGTTAATAAATTAATCAACTGTTAGTAAATCCACTGTTAATAAATTAATCAACTGTTAATCAGTAAATCTACTGTTAATAAATTAATCAACTGTTAGTAAATCCACTGTTAATAAATTAATCAACTGTTAATCAGTAAATCTACTGTTAATAAATTAATCAACTGTTAATCAGTAAATCTACTGTTAATAAATTAATCAACTGTTAGTAAATCCACTGTTAATAAATTAATCAACTGTTAGTAAATCCACTGTTAATAAATTAATCAACTGTTAGTAAATCCACTGTTAATAAATTAATCAACTGTTAGTAAATCCACTGTTAATAAATTAATTAACTGTTAGTAAATCCATTGTTAATAAATTAATCAACTGTTAGTAAATCCACTGTTAATAAATTAATCAACTGTTAATCAGTAAATCTACTGTTAATAAATTAATCCACTGTTAATAAGTTAATCCACTGTTAATAAATTAATCCACTGTTAGTAAATCCACTGTTAATAAATTAATCCACTGTTAGTAAATCCACTGTTAATAAATTAATCAACTGTTAGTAAATCCACTGTTAATAAATTAATCAACTGTTAGTAAATCCACTGTTAATAAATTAATCAACTGTTAGTAAATCCACTGTTAATAAATTAATCAACTGTTAGTAAATCCACTGTTAATAAATTAATCAACTGTTAGTAAATCCACTGTTAATAAATTAATCAACTGTTAGTAAATCCACTGTTAATAAATTAATCAACTGTTAGTAAATCCACTGTTAATAAATTAATCAACTGTTAATCAGTAAATCTACTGTAATAAATTAATCCACTGTTTACTAAGTAACTAATTAAAACTTATTCACTTGTTCTGAGAAGTTAGAAAGACAAATGACAATATTTAATATTAATAAAATGGCAAAAAAATTATATGAACAGTTTACCGACCAATCACAGAGAGCCCCGTTTCATTAGTTAGTTGACAAATCTAATGTCAAAATTGTGAATCTAAACCATTCCCAGATCCCCTTGAACATACACAAAAAAATTTCATCAAAATCGGTCAAGTCGTTTGAGAGAAGTTCAGTGACATACACACTCACAGAAGAATTATATATATAGAGATACTTCGTTATATCTTTTGCCTGTGGCTCTACATATTTTTAAATAAAATCTTGTTTCTGTACCATTTTTAGTTTGCCTTGTGGTTTTTCTCTTATTTTCCATAAGCTGCAGCGTGAAAAGTAGTAAACACAAATGAGATCTGACATCTATAGTAACGTAATATTATATGATGATATTTAGAATAATTAATCATGTAATAATTGACCATTTATGTCTTATTCGTGTTAAGACATCAATCTAAAATATATCCTTAGCTTATAAAATAATTAAAAATCATGCATATAAGTGGTATGTGTATACATGTTTATAGACATGTAAGATCATTCCTGCATTCCTGTAGAGATAGAGAGACGAACTTTCTCATCATTAATGTATTCACCGTGCGGGTGCCGGATCCATCGCGTTGCAGGGCGAGGAACTTCAGCAGTGCCTGGGACTTGCGACCCAGGTGTAGGTTAAAGGGACCCCTGTCTAACGCGCATTAAGCGCTCTCCTCTACCATCCAAGCTCCTCTCTCTACCTAAACAAAATTACTTTATCGATAATAGTAATTATTTTTTAACATTTAGGATAAACTGATTATAAAAAAAACAATAGAACGTGAATAGGTCCAACAAAATTTAAAAACGAAGTTGTAGGTGCATAAAACTTTAAAAAATATTCTTCCTGACTGTTGTTTTATGAAATTTCAGTATTTTAAATTGTTTTTATACATCCATTCTGTATATTTCCATCTAGGAAACATTATGTATTTAGGCTGTTTGGAGCCACAAATAAGATCGTTTCAACCACGAAAAATGATACAATAAGTGCCTTTTGGAGTGCACAATGGCCTAGCGATGGTATAGTGTTGTACGATGTCGCCCTTATTTAAAAAACCCAGTGTAATTCTTGATAACTACAATCATTCAATTACTGAATCCTGTCCTTTTTAACCTCCAAAGAATTTTATCTAAAGGGAATTAAGTACATCCCGATAGTAAATACAACAAATCTGATCGTACTTTGCTTTTATTTTTGTATATTAAATTTAATCCTAAATTTCATTCGAAGGCTGCTTTCCAAAAAAATATAATTATTTCAATTAGACCCAAGTCTGCCTTAGCAAATAGCTTTAGCCACCTTTTACCCCTACGTCTATAAAATTCAGGTACCGGAATCACAATGCATTTCTCGTCCAAAATGGACTTTAGCTGTGTGAGATTTATAATCACTGATTAATATAGATTTTGATTTTTCGGCAAATTATATTCTTGAAGAGCCACGACTTAAGATCTTGTTCGGAATACTTCCTTACATAGGAACTATGGAAGAAAAAGCATGGATTGGTTTATATTTTTTTATTTCTTTCCTTTAGATATTTATTGATATGATGATGCCACGTCGGTTGCGGCACCAAGCTGTCATGGGAAGGTAGATATTTGTTTCAAACTTCCTGTATATGTTTTTAAAATATTATCCTTCCAACAAGAATCAACAACAAAGATATTCTAAAGCTCAATAATTTTAAAGATTTTCGCGGGTATTCATTTTTGTTTCTAAAATATTTTTCATCATTTTAGGATTCTGATATTCTGTCAAATAATGATAAAAATTATCTCATCAATAATTGTTGTCAAATAAAAATATGGGTTATAAAAAACTTAGAAACAAAAAAAGATCAAAGAATTTTATTTTAAAATATAGTAGGATAAAATGATTATATTATTAAAAGTAATAATAATATTCAACAAATTCATACTTGTCAATCAATAAGGTGTATTTGCATAAACGTATTGGAAAATAAACAATGACATATTAATCATATTTAATGACTAATAAAAGTAAATAAAAATTTATAATACATTTATCTGACAATTAAATAAATATTATGGATGTATGATTTTAGGCAATTGTTTCATAAACTTTACATTTATGATAGAAAAGAATATAGTCTATGGTAAGATATAACCCAGCTAAATTGTAGAGACCATATCGAATGTTTAGACAAGACAGAAGATTTAATGTTTTTAAAATAGTTGTATTATTAATAGATACACGACTCAATTCAACTTCTACACACAAATAAAAATGGTGGTCCTATTGCTTAAAAAACATTTTGTAATTTAAAATTAGTTTAGAAATCACTATATAACAATAACAGTAGTCTTCGATAGTTATAAATATTCCCATATCGTAAATTACATCTGGTGCCATTACGTGGTGCGTAAGCAAGTGTTGTGAATTGTGACAAATAACAGGTTGTTGAAGACACCGAAATCGTTGCGATTTTGTATACTTGCTATATTGTTCAGAATATCGAAGCGAATACAATTTAAATATCGATCGAGCCGACGTTTGTATAATAACGAGAGTTACAAGTAATGTCAACATCATATACATTGGCTAATACAAGCTGGACGTCTTTATTTCAATCAGCATGTGACCCACATCTGAGATTTCTCTTCCTTGTATATTGACGCTGAAGTTCTATTATCATTAACAAACAGAGATAATAAGCCGGCGAGACTGAATTGTTGATTTCAAATGATCAACACGTTGGATATGTCATGTTGTGGACTTGTCACGGTTGACTTAAACCTCAGCAGCTCTTGGGAGGTCAGACATGGTCCGCGGGGCTCCTTCAGACGTCGATGAAACCGGTCACTATTACTTGAAATAATTCAGCAAAATTATACAAACATAGTTTTATTTAATACTGTTTTAAAAGTAAATTTCGTAAATGTGTGAGTAAAGTTCTGTGGTGTATCAAAATGAGACTGAAAGGATATCCACCTATTACTCAAAACTGAAGGGTGAAGAATGAAGTAGGATGGCTCATGCTGAGAATCACCGGTATATTGTGCAGGTTGGTATATCAAGATTTTTATTATTTTCTTTCTAAAGAAACTTTAATTTATATTTTATAATACCATCTATATGAAACTCATACAGTATTTAAATGATAAAAGACTTTGAAAATGACCTTTGTTCTGTTTATCATTGTTTTTAATATTAAAGTATGTATCAGTAGCACAAACATTTTTATTAAATAATAATTAAATTACATTTATTGTTAAAATTATGTAGGTTAATGTAATATGCCTGTTTAAAAACTCTAAATAAATGTAATCCGTTTTACAACAATTTTTTAATGCTCATAAACAAAAAAAAATATACTAGTTTCACTATTTCATATCGACATGACTTTTAATGTGATTTATGTTTGAATCTATGAAAGAAAAAATATTAAAGAATCACAAGTTACCATATAATATTAAACATGTGTATACAATTTTGAAATATTGATGAATACTTTAAAAATACTTCTCATTTAGGATATACTGAATCATGCCGTTATTACAAATTTCTATATTGAATCCATTTATGACAATAGTACTTATACCAGTAATGTAATCCACTAACAAGATTACATGAGGTTACTACAGGAATTATTGTGCAAAATACTAAGGAGCTTCCCAGTTTATTATTAAATTATTGCCACCTTCTCATTGTAAAAAACACTTATATTTTTTTATACTTCACTTGAGATAACGAAATGATGTTTAGTTAAAAGTAAATGAATATTAGGAAAGTAATTAAAAGTAATTGCTTAACTATTAACCTAGTAAAGAAGTACATTTAAAGTACCACACATGCAATGAGTAATACATGAGTTTAAAACTATTATAAACATATAGCATTTCAATTCCCAAAGAGGATTGATGTCAGGCAGGCGGCCGGTCATAAAAACAATTAGCCAAGACTATATTTTATAACATGTAAGGCAGACCCTGGCTAAAGATGGTAAATTGCAAGGAAGAAGAAGAAGCATTTCAAATACAGTTTGAGGCAATAAGCTTATAAAGTTTAAAGACTAGCATTTTTTCCATAAATAATTTTTTTATGCCTTATTACAATGCATATCTATATTTTTAACCATTTAAAATTGAGATATTACATTTATTTTGATGTTCAAAGCTTCAACAAAATAATAAATTCATTTCAAGTAAAAAATGTTCTGCATTATATGAAACAGCTCATGTATATTGTATACCAACCGCAGCTATATATTTCTATAATTAAAGTTAATACACGCTTATATCCTTCTGTAGGGAAATTTTATTAAATATTAATTAATAAGAGGAAATATGCTTCATTAAGCATCCGTTTGAAATACAGTTTCCATGTTAGTGTTGAAATACTTGGCATATATCTATATGTATGTATAAAGAATATTTAATATAATGGAGACAATTTTATTTATTTGAGGTAATTTATGAAACTAATATTTTGGGATTATATTACTTAACTTTATTTTTGTTAAAAACTACGTACTCCTGATGTTTGGGCTACTTTTTAGCAACCACGATCATTATTTGAGGTAAATTTAAAGTATTCTAAAGATAGAAAGCGATTTAGCATTTGTATTGATTGTTATGATAGGTGTTTGTGGGAGCACTGTCTGCACAATATGAAGCATTGTCAGTGGAGGCATCAAAACAAACCAGCTCCGAGGAGATTGTATGCTGCATCGCTGAAAAACTCAAACTAAATGATGTAGTCGGAGGACCATACGAGCTGGCAGAGGTAGGTTTTGATCACAAACTAATAATTTTATCTCATACACATTCCACAATATATAAGGTTCTTACAAATAGCTAAAATAATTTTATATACATGGATATAAAATCCAACATCAATAATCACAAGTTGCATATAATTAATAACATATATTTAAATGCAATAGTTTCCTTAGATTGGTAGTTTTAAATGTCCATAAAAAGTATATTAGAAACGTGTTTTACTATAAACAATGGTAGTGGCACAGAATACTATGGGCTTAGTCACCATCATGATAAATACCATCAATTAATTTTTTGCTGATGTTGTGAGAATTCCATACAATTGTAACTTCCTTAGGTACTTTGAATACGTTTTGTTGTTTGAATGTGTAATATGTATGTTAAACTATTAGGTGGTCGGTGATATGGTTAGTGGGGAGTGTAAAGAAAGGAGGCTCGGACCGAACGAATCCCCAGTAGCCGTCATGATGCTTTGGCCTAACAACAACTCAGGACAATATTACAGGTAATATATATATGTGTGACCTTTAAACAGTAATTTGCTATAAATTCCTTTATCTAAAATTTTCCACACTAGGGCATCTGCGATCATTTATTTTGAGTGACGCTTTCAAAACAAACACGTCTCGGCGACCGACATCGCCGCACACTGACTAATATTCTTTTAAATCGTTCTAATATTTAATGCTTATTCACAATGCTTTATAAAAATGTTAAAGAATTCGCGTGACGTGTTATTTTGTTTGTATTTTATCTGTCTCAGTTCTTTAACTTCCGAATGAGTTAATGACTCACCCGGCAATGTCTCTTAATGTAATTGCTTACAAACGTTTGGCATTTATTGAATTTATCTTGTAAAAATATTTTTCCTCCAGCACGTAATTAATAACAGCAGCCGGCTGTATAATTATTTTAGTAGGAACGACACAGGTCTAACCTTGCTATATTTATTTACATTTTATATGTAAACGGTATCTTAACTTACATAAACACGATCGGTTATAACACAATACCTCGCTAGGACAAGTATAAAACACGACAAACAGAAAAAAATGCATTAAATAAAAATAATCTAAGCAAAATGTATATAACTTTTTAGTTCTTATATTTCAAGAATAACTATGTAATAATTTTTAATATATTCATTAAGTAATATATGTACTATGGCCTATTAAATAATTGAATATATACTTTGAACATATTGTATATAAATATGTCGCGTTTCTTATGATCCTGTTGTCTGAGTCTTTATAATATTTACGCAGTGATTCATATAATTATTTATGTTTCATAATATAATTACAACGGTAGTGCTGCGGACTTACTTGTAACCTAACAGACGATATATTTCCAAGTGTCTCATATAGCTATTGTATTTAAATATAGTTTTATTTATAACATATCTGAGATTGAATTGCGAGTTCGGTTTAATGAAGGGCCGTATTACGACAGCCGTTTGGGATATTGTTTGTGCGAATGAATCACTCTTCCTGCCGCCGCGCTGTGATAACAACCATCCTGCCAATCGGGCTCAAACTCAAAATTTGCCACACGGAGTAAACATGGCCTCATTAAACACAAACCAATGAGAAATATACAATCAAAATGACACAAACGTAATAATAACAAACATTTATTTATTGTTTTCGTGATGTGATTCTAAAGGTATGTTTATTTGCAGGTTTTACTTGCGCGAGAAGATACCAGATGAGCCGTGGATGGAAAACTTCTCAGTTGATCCTCAGCTCATAAAAGATTACTTCCAGAGGTTTCTATACCAACCCAAGGACCGCGAATATCCCGACCTGTGCCAGCTGCCAGAACTAAACGAGCAAACCTTACTCGACAACCTCAGAGCTAGATTCGCTGCTGGATATATTTACACATATGTGGGATCTATATTAATAGCTCTGAACCCTTTCAAGTTTTACCCGATATATAATCCGAAGTACGTGAAGCTCTACCAGAACAAGAGGATAGGGTCCAGCCTACCACCTCACATCTTCGCGGTCGCGGATGCTGCGTACCACTGTATGCTTCGAGAAAGAACTAACCAATGTATTGTAATAAGTGGAGAGAGTGGATCTGGTAAAACGGAGAGTACAAATTTCCTTCTTCATCATCTAACTGCATTGAGCCAGAAAGGTTCCCACGGTAGTGGCGTCGAACAAACTATATTGAGCGCCGGTCCCGTACTGGAGGCTTTCGGTAACGCTAAAACAGCTCACAATAACAATTCCAGTAGATTCGGAAAGTTCATACAAGTGAATTACAAAGAAAATGGCATGGTCCATGGTGCTGTGGTACAGAAATATCTTCTGGAGAAATCTAGAATATGCAGTCAAGGTCGCAATGAAAGGAACTATCATGTGTTTTACTATTTATTGGCTGGTGCATCGGAACAAGAGAAGGAACAGTTGCATCTGCTCAGTGTCGATAAATATAATTATCTATCAAAGACTGGTTGTAGTGTAGTGCCCGGTGTTGATGAACAGTATGAGTTTTCAAGACTGAAGCAATCCATGGATATGGTCGGCTTCACTATGGACAAACAGAGAAGACTGTTTGCAGTACTATCAGCTGTACTTCTATTAGGTAAGTTTAATATTTAATTAAACTATTTAAATAAAATATCATGATACTGATTCCATAAATTATATAAATTCTAAAAACAACTAATCTATTACTTATTATTCACTGATAACAAACAAAATGTTATCACACAAGAGTTAATTGACCCTTAATGAAAGTTTTTTATCATGTTACTTATCATGTATATATTTAGGTTTTTCTATTTTATAACATAGTTTGACATTTCTTTTAAGTACATAAATGTCATTGAATAAGTACTTTTAGTACAAACACATTACATTTTATAAGTCACCTAAAAATACATATGCAGAAAGATAGGTGAAAACATTAGTGAAGTATTATAATAGCTTTTCTCAAATTCAACATTTAATTTATAATGCTAAATGCTGATCATGAATATTATGTAATATCCAAAGCAAACTGCTTATTTGGTCATAATATAAATTTGTTTGTATTTCCTTGGCATCAAATTTAGGTTCTATTTATTTCACTGTGATTCAGTAAATTCAGCCAATGATAATAAACAACACTATTTCCTATATTACTGAAGGTAATTTATCATATTTATTAACAAAATACACTGTGCTTTTAGATTTTATTCACCACTCCAAATTCTTTAAGTTTATTTCATAGGTTTTAAGATACAATATATTTATTTATAAACATTAGTTTGTGAAACAATTAACAAAGTGCATATAAACATATCTAACTCATTTTAAAATTTATGTCTATTATGTGATAAAAAGTTATAATATAAATAAATCGTACTTAGGTTAGTTCCAAGTGTTTATGTGTGTGTTTGTGATATGTTAATTACAGAATCAGCTTATATTTCCTCTAAAATTTTTGCACTAGAACTATTTCTATTATATTTCTAAAGTGATGAATAATTTTTATTCAAATCTTTTATCATGGCAACCTAGGAGGTTGGAAAGAACATATCTCAGAATTTTTAATAGTGTAATTTATATTGCTTCAATGTTCAAGTCATATGAAGTGGCCTGAATTTCTATAATATGTACACAACATAACTTTTATAAAATTGTTTGATAGAATAATCAAAACAATAACTTTATTACTGTTACATATCCATATGTAAGTTTAGAGAATGTAAACAGGAAATATCAATTTCTCAGCTTTTCTTTGATACAGACCAGAAAATAATTATTTAATTTTTTTGACACTTACATATTTATAAATACACTGTCTTTATTTTAATTAGGCTATCATTATTTTATTTATTAATACAAAGCTTGATATTTACATAGACATATTTAAAAGGATTGTCTAGAAAAAAAAAGAATTTGAATTTATATTGTGTAAACAATTGTATTTGTCTTCCACAAAGTCATTTCCATATAAGGTGTCTATCATTATTTTTCATAAATCATAATATTTACCTCATTGAAGCAATACTTTATACAATCTTTTGTGTGACATCAATAAATTATTCTTTATAGTCTTGAACTGATTCAATACTGTTTATTGCAGGTAATGTTGAGTTCCACCCTCAGCGTAAGTCGTACCACCACGACGAGGCTGTTGGTGTACGGAACCCTGAAGTGGTGTCTCTTATATCATCACTGTTGAGGGTCAAACAGGAAACATTATTAGCCGCACTCACCTCCAAGAGGGCGCGGGCATCGGGGGAGACTCTAGTCATCAACTATCGGTGAGTGGATGGATGGATGGATGAATGAATGAATGGATGCATGAATGTATGGATGAATGCATGGATAGTTTTCAGCTTTGGTCCGATATACTATATTAGTCTAAGACAAATTCATACCTATTCATACTTAAAGAAGATTTTTTCGAATACATTAGAGAAGCTTTTCTCCTTGTAGTGAAATATATTTAACTATTTAACAATATTAATTTCGTTCCAGTCTTCCCGAAGCAATAGCAACTCGTGACGCAATGGCCAAGTGTCTGTACGGAGCCCTCTTCGACTGGATAGTGATGCAAGTCAACCACGCGTTGCTGTCCAAGAAAGACACGCTCCGAGACCATCAGGGTCACAGTATAGGTGAATATTACAAATTTTTGTCCTATGTTTTTGTTTGTAAAGGTTAAAAAACTCTTCATATTTGTTATAAATAAGTCTCCATGTTTCTCACACCACATGGTCACTCTACTCACATCAGCTGTCTACAATACCAGCGTTAATTCTGTACACTTGTTGATACTTTGTTTCCGTAGTATTGTTAGTGACGTCACGAGTGTATTATTAGACCTAGGATTCCTTTCCTTACCTTTTACGTCAAATCAAGGCTGTTAAGAATAGTATCAATGGCTTTTACCGATCGTTTATTTTATATTATATAAATACTTGTATGTAGTAAATCAACATCTCAGATCAAATCGTTTCTGTGTATGATTTAATGTAATATGAAATTCATATATGTTTGCAGTCAGATTTTACATATTTATATGTAATGTAATTAACACTACATTAACTAGTAATTATTAATTGAAACTTGTTATAAGGATAAAGGATATTAATTACATAGAAAACGAGGAATGGTTTTTCCTCAATATCAACTTACAAAACTCAATAATAGAAGTATTATATTCATATATTCTTAGGCTGAGTTTCCATTTGATCTTTAAGCGATTTTATTTTTAATATTTTGCAGTCTGTTCTTAAAATATTGTTAAGTTTGGAAAGATTAAGATAATGCATTTTTTACGGAAATTAGAATAATGTATTTTTAAAATTTTCTAATTCTCTCAGCATTTAAATATCAGAGAAGTTTACTTATAAATTGTATCGTTATAAAAAAAATAATGGATAATAAATTTTTGAATGACAAACAAATTCGAATATAATGTGGAGTATAACACGTGAAAACTGAATGATTCACTTTGGTTGGAATAAACCATACTCTTATTCATATAAAGTTTCAAAATAAAGTTCTTTATTGTATTAGTACAAGTCAATTAGAGATGCGTGCCCAAGCGGCTTCTCTTTTTATTTTATCTATATTTCTTAGTGAGAAATGTTTAAGAACTCCGGTATTATTCAGAAAAGAGGGTTGATGTCAGGCAGGCGGCCGGTGGTAAAACCAAATAGCCAAAACTATACACAACATGTAAGGCAAACCCTGGCTATAGCTGGGAAATTGCCAGGTAGAAGAAGAATTTACTGTGTTATTGTTTATATTTTTTATTACACTCAAGTGCTCTGTTTTTTTCGCCACTAAACTAAAAATAAAAAAATAACTGTATAACCAGGCGTCCTCGATATATTCGGGTTCGAGGACTTCGGTCCTAGCAACAGTTTCGAGCAGCTGTGCATCAACTACGCCAACGAGCACCTCCAGTACTACTTCAACCAGCACGTGTTCAAGTACGAGCAGGAGGAGTACCGGCGGGAGGGCATCCGGTGGACCGACATCGGCTTCTCCGACAACACGGGCTGCTTGCAGCTCATAGAGGGCAAGCCGGGCGGGCTGCTGTGTCTGTTGGATGATCAGTGCAAGTTAGTACCAGACTTTTACTAAGAAACTCATTCTACATCGTTTACTCACAGTGTCAGTGTAAGTCCTCTCCATCACACTCCTATAAAATCTCCATATTGACCAATTTAAAGACTAATTATTTCCAGGGTACCGTATTATTAAATACGGCTGAACTAGACAAATTCTTTAATTTCATAGTAATATCTTGTTAACAACAAAGCTAGATCGTATTTCACTATACAAATTTCTTTATAATTTTTAGTTTTCCATGGGCGACAAACGAGACGTTGCTTCAGAAGTTCAACTCAGTCCACGAAGATAATCCCTTCTACGAGAAACCGCAGCGGCGAGAACCTGCTTTTGTTGTTAGACATTACGCTGGCAGGGTTAAATATCAAGTATGTACAGATAACCTGAAAAATATACAATATTATATTAGGAAAAGTATATTTTAATATTACAATGACGTGTCCAAATATTGATGATATTTTGTTATTGCAGGTGACGGCCATGAGAGACAAAAATTTGGATCTCATGCGACAGGATATTGTAAGCGTTTTAAAGAATTCCTCATTGGCGTTCGTGCGGGAACTGGTAGGTGTCGATCCTGTAGCTGTGTTCCGATGGGCCATCGTGAGGGCGTTTTTTAGGTAGCACATTATTTCTCTATTCATTCTAAAATTATAACTGTATTTATACTCGTATTGTATGGGTTTTCTTGAATGTTTCAGAGGATACTTCGCATTTTTAGAAGCTGGTAGAAGACATCGGGTAAATAGAGTTGATGGAGCGTCCAGAGTACCCCGACCCTCCATCCAAGCGCCTAATGACAGCATCATAAGGTAAAAATTAAAAGTAAACAAAAATAAGCCGTCCGTCCTTTGTAATTGTGTCCAAATTGCATTGACAGTAAATAAAGAAACGCTTTTGTCTTCAGTTAACCTCTAGCCCGACAATGCGGCCCATTAACATGTACGAGGCATGACAATGCTCCTTATAATAGTTACAATAAAATATATATCCAAATGAACCGATCGATTATATCTTAAGCTTCGCTAATACTGTACTGTATTGTGACGTTCTGAATTGTCTTGTTGCTCAGCCAACTGGTGACAGTATCGTCAATCAATCTCGCAATCAACCGCATTGCGTAAGTCACTGTTTACGGCATGCTTTACGTTCTATGTGCACTGTACGCATGTCCATGTGTATTATGTATTTCGATTCACTTCCATCTAGTTTAATGTACTTGAGAGGCTGAGTTTAGGTCGCCATTCATATCTATATTAACTTCACATCTGAACATTTAACTGACAGTAGCATGGTGATGAAACACCTGAACACAGTCTCAATTCAGCTCCGGTTCCTATAATATAGAAGCCAGTAGTTGTCAAGGCAACTATAGGAACCGTGGATCGCTGTCGTAGTCCTATAGTGTCCGGTCCGTATAGTGTCCGGTGAGTGGTGAGTATGTTAACGGTGTTCTGTCCGGAGGGGGGTGACCCGCGGCGGGGGGTGTAGGGCGCGCGGCTACAGGCTGGCCGACACGCGCGCCAGGCGCCACGAGCGAGCCGACCGCCTCGACGACCACGACGTGCTGCAGCGGGCCAGCCTCATCGTCATGTACGTGCGCACCACCACCCACCACCCACCACCTGGCCTCCACAAGACCACGCGCCGCGGAGATACCGCGCATAAGTCACCTTGAAACTATATCGACGTCATAATAACACAAGAGTATTATCTCTATAAGTATTTGATGCGTGTCGTCGACGTAGTCTCGATCCCGCTCGGTACCTCCGCGGTGAAGTCTCCGGAGCCCTAATGCTTCCGTCTCTCTCTCTCTATCGCTCTGCCTCTCTCGCACACGCTTCTCCGAGCGCGGTGAGATGTCTGCGGCGGCTGTCTGGGGCGGATATGTGTTTTATATAATTAATTCACTTCACATACTCATGCATGTCGCTTATCAGGGTTTTCACTATAATTTGTTTTGATGTATTAGATATGTTACTATATTTTTCTTTTATGGTTTTCCGGTTGATACGGTGGTGGTCGGACGTTTATTAATTTTCGTTTAATTATCTGTTCTAACAATCATCACTCGGCTTTTGAAGGTTGGGTTTTAATTATATATTTAAATTTGTCGTTAAAACGCTTTTAATTGGGCCACTAGGCCTAGTGAAAGTCGCATGTAGTCAGCGGTGTTCGGGACGGTATTGTACTCGTATATTGAATGTAATCGGATTTAACAGGAAGAACAAGTCGTTCAGGCCACGGGAGCGCGCTAAGAAAGGTCTCAAGAACTTACAGAGTGTGAAGACGTTAGCGGGACGGACGGCGCCCGCCGGGAAAAGAAAGCAACCACTCACTGTAGCGGCGCAGTTCCAACACTCGCTGGCACAACTCATGGAGACGCTCAACCAAGCTAACCCGTTCTTCATCAGGTTCGATTATTTCTATACGTTTATACGCTATTCCCTTACCAATACTTCTACTGGAAGTTATAAGGGGCCGTTCAGGTATTACGTAAGCACTATGGAGGGTCGGGGGGGTCTTTGCTTTGCTTATTTTGGATGACATGGGGTGTGAGGGAGTCTAGGTGATGATTACGTCATCGGTAGTTATTTACTTTTTTATCGTCACATCGAGAAGATCCATAAAAAATATAATTATATTTTTTTTATTGATTTATATTAAAAAAAAACAATACAGTAATTGAAAATGTTTACGTAAGCATGGGGGGAGGGGGTAAGAGCTTTGCTTACTTTTGCTGACAAGGGGGATGGGGGGTAAATAATTGTAATAAATCTGCTTACGTAATACTTGAACGGCCCCTATGAATTCACTTCACATAAGCTATAATGAACATGATACACTTGCAGATGCATAAAATCCAATAGCGACAAAGTACCGAACGTGTTCGACGAGGAGACAGTGCAGCGGCAGTTGCGTTACACGGGCATGTTGGAGACGGTGCGCATCAGGCAGGCGGGCTACAACGTGCGGCTCACCTACGACGAGTTCATACAGCTGTACAGGATACTACTGCCCAAGGGGCTGCTCAGCTCACAGGCAGACGTGAGGCACTTCCTCGCGACACTCAACTTGGACAGGGATAACTATCAACTGGGTAACTTGAGTTTTATATATTAACTAGCTGACCCGGCGAACTTCGTATCGCCCTTTAATCAAGAAATATCAGTTACGTTTTTTTATTTATATTTTTGGAGTTTACCTATTAAAGCCATAATTATCCATGTTTTGAAGTGCGACAGAATGATTGGCATGTTAGTTAGTTGTCAAATCTAATGTCAAAAAAACGTTTGTATCAACAACTACTAATAAATTAAAAATTAATTAAAAAAACATTCTCCAACGGACAAAATTGTGAATCTAAACTATTCCCAGATCCCCTTGAACACACACAAAAAAATTCATCACAAACGATCCAGTCGTTTAAGAAAAGTTCAGTCACATACACACTCACAGTACAATTATATATATAAAGATGTATTCATGACTGTATATAGAATATTAGTTTTTAATATACTTTTAGTAATACTTCTATTAAAAAATTACTATGTTGGCCGTATGTCAAAAGTTGAATTGAAGATAAATTAAAATAGTACTGAATTGCCGTGTTTTCAAAAATAGTTACTAAACAATATAATGCAAAAATATATATTATCATACTATAATACAAATAAGATATCTAAAAATAAGTTAATTTTAATTATAATTACACTACCCATATATATTTATGACACTGAGGGTAACCTAATACTTGAAAAATAATATATTCCAGGCGCTACAAAGATCTTCATGCGTGAGAGCGAGCAGACCAAGTTGGAGTATCGTCTCCATCAACAGATCATGGCGTCCATCATCACTATACAGAGGTGGTTCAGGGCCGTGCTCGAGAGGAGGAGGTTCCTGGCGCTCAGGAGGGCCTCGCTCGTCATACAGACATACTGCAGGTACATTAGGTTTAGGTTAGGCTTAAAGAAGTTAATTTCCAAAAAGAACAAAGTTCGCTTGCAAAGGAAATTTGAAAAATTATAACTACAATTAAAATTACAAATAATAAATAGAAGTGATATTAGACAAGATCAGTGAAATCATCTAATATATGGGTTCTTTATCGTTTTTTAATATTTAGAGATTTTGAATTGATAACACTTAGAGGCAAAGAGTTATACAGCTGTGCTCCTTCAATTCAATATATATAAACACCAGCTGACCCCGCAAACGTTGTTTTGTCATATAAAATATAGGGATTGGTGATAAAAAAAGAAAAAATCAAGCTTGTATGTGCTTTTTGTTGAAACATTATAAAAAAAATTGACCAATAAGGTAAAAAAGTATTTAAGGGTGAACAACCCTCATCATTTAAGGGTATGAAATATAAATGTTGGCTGATTCTCAGACATACTCAATATGCTCACAAAATTTTATGACAATCGGTCAAGCCCTTACAGAGAAGTACGTGAACGAACGTTGTGACACGAGAATTTTATATATAAGATATTAGACAACTCTTTCTAGACAACTAGTAATTACTAGAAAAGAGTGATTATTCATTGTTAACATATCCATTTATTATGTATAGACAATGGCTGGTGATCCGTCAAGAGGCTGCAACACGTATCCAAGCGTATTTCCGCGGCAGTCGTGTGAGACGGTGGTACTTACGACTTAAGGAATCAGTCGTGGGCTTCCAAGCGGCGGCCAGGGGCTTCCTACTGAGGAACACGCTACCGGAACTAAGGAGACGACTACCCTTGAAGAACAAGGTACTAAAACATTGCTCATAAGTAAATAATACACATAACAGTCTAACAATCGTCTTAACAATCATCTATAACTCATTTGCCTGTACCGTTGTGTAATAAAGTGTTGTGAACACATGTGTTCGTGTTGTGTTGACAGCATGAGAGTAAAGCGGCTCTAGTACCGGAGACGGCCGTGTTCAAGAGTACGAGCATAGAGAAACTTAAGAATATCATTGACATTCAATTGTGAGTATTCATAGTTGTATACCTCGCTATACAGGGTGTTTATATATGATGTATAATTTACAAACTTCTTCTGTAAAGTATACTCTAATGAAAATCTTCGATCACAAGCTAAAACTTTTCATTGTATAATTTTTCTGTTTGAAATAGATTTTTTTAACTTATTTGTTTGACGTTTTATTTGCAGAAATATGCTTATACAAGAAGAAGCGGAGAAAACAAGACAACTACGAGCAACACAATCACTGCCCATAGCGAAGTAAATACTATAAAAATAAATAACAATTTTATCCATTATAAAATGCTTACGAGATTTTAATTACAGTTTAACGAAAAAACGAGATAACTTACTGGAGAACTCCACGGCGCATACTTACAATAAGAGAAGGGCGTTGAGGACGCTCAACATACAGGAGACGTCCAATAAAGAGAGCAATGCGAGGTATTGAAACAATAATATATATAGTACATAAAAAAGTATACATAATATGATAATCCTGTGTGCTTTTAACCACACTACTGAAGTAAAACTTCTTTCGCTTCATTTACAGTAGGACCTCGATTATCCGGACTAATTGTTGTCGGTAGGCATCCGGATAATTGAAAGTCGGATAATCCAATATGTGAAGAAAAACGGGCTTTTTGCATATGTACATATGTAGTCTGTACCATACATATGTAATGTTAGGTGTTTATTTAAAACAACAAATACATATGAGCGAGAATCAACGTTTATTAAGAAATTGTACATAATGTACGTATAAGTGGCGTGGCGTTATGCAAGTTCTGACATATTAATCTATCTATACATATAATAAAATTGTAGAAAAGTGCTGTCTGTACATTGACAGTAAAAATAAAAAAAAAAAACAGCGGTTATTGTTATGTCGATGTCGAACCCAAAAATGTAATAAACTTTTTTTGGTCTGTTTGTCTGTTCACGCTAATCTCAGAAACGGCTGATCCGAGTTGGATGCGGTTTTCACGAATATATTGTGGTATGCTTCAGTTATGCTTTAGTGTTTGTTTCATGTCAATCGGTTCATAAATAAAAAAGTTATGTCAAATTAAAGAACTGAAGAACTGCGTTCAATATTCGACCGGGTGTGTCAATTGTATGTGGCACTGTCCCGTGTTAGCAATCCCAGCAGCCTGTATGCTTTCACCCCCCCTGGCCATACGTCTAATATTGTATATAGAGAAGCATTACAGTAAAGTAGGTTTTTTAGCTACCCAAAATGACTGTGATTATGATCCAAAATAAAAATAAGTATATGTTTAAAAAAAACGCTGCTCATAGTCTCTATTCCACGCCGACGAAGTCGCGGGCACAGCTAGTGTTAGAATAAACTCGTCGCGATTGGCAGTCCGGATAATCGCGAATTCGGATAACCGAGGTCCGGATAATCGGGGTCCTACTGTATATGTAATTTATATATGTATATACACATTTTAATTTTGTACATAAATTTGAATTCATTATGGATTATCATTGATAAATTAATGGTTTTTTTAATAGATGTTTCTTTTTATTTATTATTTTTATTATATTCATCATCGGATATATCAGTAATTACTGTGATTGATTGTAAGACCGAAACAATAAGCATATGATATGATAAATAAGATACAAATGTTTTCGAATGAAGATTAAAAAGATATCTAAGGAAAACTAAAAACGTTGCCAGATCACACTTTTCGTAACGCTTTCGTTACGCATTCACTAGCTTACTTCCAAGTCAAACGTGCGTAAAGAAGTTTAACTTAAAAAAATATATATAAAATATATATGTATATCTAGATGATTAACTATTGTCTTTTTCAGCCTTCATCAAGAAACAAATGAATCGTCCCCAGAAGAAAGTTGGAACGTTAATTCAAGTAAATACCCTCAAGGTATAGTGGCCTGGTCCAACAAGATCACGCCCGAAGACTTGGCCAAGGAACTACTGTGGCTGAGGATCGACCAGAACTATCTGATAGCCGAAAAGAATAAGGTTCATATAACGAGAGGCGCTATTAGAAAAACATTTACTATATCTTTATAATCGAGATTGATATACGACTTATCTTTAAATTACATGTATATGTATTTCGGTTTCTTAGTCTTCTATTAATTATTTATTTTGTATTAATTTTCACTTTTTTAAGAGGAACTTGTCACTAGGATCATAAAAATCTTTAAAATTTTACAAATAACATATAGGATAAACCGTTTGTTGATCTACCTCTTCGGTAACATAAATGAAATATCTGTCATTGGGTCTATGTATGTATATGTCACTGAATAGCGAGAACGTGAGCTCGCGGAGTCTATAGCGAGCAGCAGTGAGGAGTATCTGAGACAAGTGGGAGATTGGAGTCCTGGGGAGAGCTCCGATACTACCAAGAGCAGCTCCAGGTAATAAATAGGGTTATTCTTATAAATAGGGTAATAGGGTAATAAGGACTTGTTAGGGGTAAAACGACATACTGACACAAACATACTACCTTCTATTCTGTCACTAAGTTGTATTTTACGAATGTTAATACAGATTTCTTTTACAATACTCTTATAACACAAACAGTTTTATTTCTGACCGTTTTTATGGATAATAATCTAATACATGGAACCCTTCATGTGCTAGTATGACTCGCAATTGATAGTTTATTACTATTCATACTTTTCACTTTACATGTATTGAAAGCTTATAAAATTTTAATATATGTAATATAAATTATAATAATATAATTTTGTGAACAGACGGACATCCCCTCAAGTTTACCAGCGTAGTTTATCGAGTACCACGTTAGAGCCGCCGTCGCGAGGCCTGCACAGTCTGCCGCCTGTCAGACGGGACCCGCGGGACAACAGGGACTCCAGGGATCAGAGGGACTCGCGACCTGACTCACAGGCAGATGCGGGTATGTATAACGTGTATTGACTGGGGCACGGGACTCCCTGCTATGTGATATGACCTCGTGGTTAGCACCAACTACTATTATCAGACTACACATAAAGATTTTCCCGATACTCAGTAAATAACCTCCGTTAATACTATAATGAGTGAAGATTTGTGAATGAAAAACTGTTAAAGCTATGTAGTCACGGTGCGATATCGTTGCTAGTATGTATATTATTATGTAAACTGTAAGCAATGAAAGGATTAATTATAGCCTGCGTGATAATGTGAGGTCATTATGTAAAATATGAAAAATAATCATCCTGACAAACATTCATATTAATAAGTAGGTTTGTAGATATGTTAAAGAAATAAGAATAGGACTATTACGCTTCCTCGTTATGTCAACAATAATTAACTGTGACGGCATTCGTTAATGTCATATAACGGCGCCTCACGGACTGCTACACTGTTTGATCTACACTAATGAGTCTGTGTGTTTGTTTGTTCAATTTGTTTTCAAATTTGTTAAACAATTTAGAAAATGTTCATTCCGTATTCACAATTTAGCCATGTGCTTGTTGTATGTAGACTCTGTCAGTAACTCCAGTGGTACTATAATTGTTGATAACTTTGAATGTAAATGTCTCCTGTGTTTTTTGGGAATATCTGTTTCGTTGTTATTAATGGGCTATTACAGCGTGTGTATACAATTAGTTACTTCGTATCATGGTACGTAGAAATAATGTTTTGGTCGTTATTATTTACATTTTTGTTTCATATTAAACTGTTATCCACATTGTACTCAAAAATATGGTATATACTTGATCTTCGACATTCATATTCTTGAGTATCACAGTGTTTTACAAACTTTCAATGAAATTTGAGAATTTTTTCAATAATGAAATCGTACTATTTTCTTACGTTAGGGTTCGCTATTAAAGCTTTTTATAATTTTGCAACAGTACACTTAAATATTATACAAAAAATAGAGCCATAAGTGTTATAAATGAAATTTATTCTAGAATTAAAGCTAAAGTGTGTATTTTGTACTACTTCAGGCTGCGTGTCTGTGTCTTCGGTGTCCCGCGAGCCTCCCCCCGCCCCGTCGGGGCCGGCGGTGCCCCCCGCGCCCCCCGTCCGCGCCGCCCGCCGGTCCCCGCGCCGGGCTGCCGGGGCCCCACAGATAACGCTGCCGAACACCGAACATGGAGACATCAAACGGTGAATATTGAACACGCTGTATATACATGAAGAATACTGTATGGTAATATGTCATATTAAAAAGATATGACAAATTAAATATCGATTTTAAACCTAGAATTGAGATGCACATGTCTGGATATAACTGACTAGCTTACATGTTAGTTGGAACAAACAACATTTATACGTATTTTGTCATAAGAGGCACGTATTAGTTATACTGTAATGAAAAATATAGTAAGACATAAGCTAAAATGTAAAATTTCATATATAGATATTAATATTATCCACTTGTATCATATATAACACTGTATTGTCCAGAGCTGCCTCGGAAGTGTCTGTGGGTGCAGGTGAAGCTCTCCGTCGTCGTAACTCAGACCCGGCGCCCGAGCCGCGCCCCCCCTCACAGGACTATATCGGACATACGGCCAATGGACTGTTCGGAATCGCTGGCCACAGGTCATTGAACTATTACATAAAGTCCTTATATATAATATATGAAAAATAATCTAACTATAGCTCTTAGACTACCTACTATTCAGGTATATTTATCCTTTTGTAATCGCTCGCGGGAATCTACTTTAGGCAGGGTCGCCATGTAATGTGGTGCCCTAAAAGAGAAATGAAAGCCCAGACTGCTGAATAGATACTGACTTTATTTTCAATATATCGTACATTAAATACGTACAAAATTAGCTTACGTAGTATATAATGGTTAATAAATATGTTTAGTTAATATAATCTATTCACTACATCTCACTTTTTTTGCCAACAAATCTAAAACATTCAAACTTCTCTGTTTGTTAGGATGTTATCTTAAACTTGAATCTATTTACAGGTTCCGCAAGGGCACGAGGTTCGCGAAAGGCGACAAATGTGTGTACTGTCACACAGCGATCGACGCGTTCGTGACCCAGGGCCAGAGGTGTATCGACTGTAAACAGTTGTACCATACGAAGTGTATTCAGAACAAGGGCGTTATCACCATGCCGTGCCCGAGCCCCGTCACAGTGGCTGTGCGGAACAGGAATAAACATAGAAAGAGGATAATGATGAAGGAGTCTCCATATAATTTAACGGGCGACCAGCCTAAAGCCCCCGCGGCCGGATCAAATTTCAGTCTGACCGGTACTTCAGAGTTCATTGACCGGACCGACAAGATCATATCCGACGCCAACGAGCTACAAGCCATGCAGAGCTTCATCACAAAGAAGATATACTTGATGGAGGCCTCCGAACATGAGAAACAATCAGAGGTAGTACACATCAAATCAAAATTTGTTTATTTCTGTAACTTATACCTAGATACAACAGATACAGCTAGGAAGCTCCTTTTAAGTAAAGGAATTAACTAGTGTTTAGTCCCCGCTCTTCCACAAACGGAATCAAGTATTATAATATTAATGAAAATGACATTGAAATTAAACTATTCCATTACCATCTAAAATTTTTTGTGATAATGATATATGGATTATAGCTCTGTTACATGTTTTTTGATATCGGAATTCTAGATTTAAGTTAATTCTTTAATTATATATCGATTTTTTTCTAAATGACGGTTAATATTTTACGTGATTTGATTTTTCTTTCAGGTTGATAGAGTGTTCAAACACGCCCTACGAGAATTTAAAGACAATTTAGTAGCTACGTACAGCGTGGTGGAGACTAGGGGATCGGCTTTGAAATACAAAGACTTGATCGGTAACTTCTTACACGTGATGGAAACGGTGTGTGCGAGAGAGGGATCCACGTTATCTATCACTATGGGAGTGAACGCGTTCAGAGGATTCATGGACGAATTCATGAGCCAACATGAAACTGATAAAGCTAGGACCAAGAGAAAAAAGGACAAAAAGAGAAAGGTACGTCTCAATAATATTTAATTTACACATAAAACACGAAATTTATATTAAAATAACGTTATAGAAGACACATATATAACTAACAAACTAATATGTACAAATGTATAGTAGGAGTTGCCAATATAAACCTTCAAATAAGTATAATAAAGTTTATATTCATTTGTCAATAAAATAAAGAAAGATTATTGACGATACGCGGTAGTACAACTCCTACTAAGCACATATATATAACTAATAGCCAGTAAACAGTTGTCCCTTCGCTTCCAGTTGGACGACCCCATCCAGTACAAGGGCCACAACTTCATACTGACCATGATCAACATACCGACCGAGTGCGAGATATGCAAGACGTTCTTCATGTGGCCCATTGAGAGGTCGCTCATCTGTCAGACGTGCCGCCTCGCCTCGCACAAGAAGTGCTACATGAAGGTATACTTACATTATATACCATTACAGATTCAATAGTGTTTGTATGCTTGAAAAATAATAATTCAACTTTTGTAAAAGAGATATGGGAAAAAAATCTGTAAACAAAATAAATTATTTAGAAAAAAAAATAGATGAACAACAGCTAGTTTGACTATTTAGACCAGTGCCGATAGCTTTAAAAACATAATCAAATTACCTAAAAGAGGGACTGTCTGGAGAACTTCCGGAGTACACAACTGTTAAAAATAAATTAGAAAGAGCATTTTCAAACCGATGTCAAGTGTCATTTCATTAAAAGAGACATGATTATTTTATGCAAAAATAGTACTGTAAGTAAGAAACTTATATTTTTTCTTCACCATCGGAAAATAGAGATTAACAAATTGAAATCATACCAAATTTTTAAAAATAGCTGATATTTAGACGGATGATTTTTCGATTGAAAATGAGGCTGATTTTTCGATATTTCTTCAAAATTATCTGAAAAAATAAATATTTCTAATCAAAAAAATTACAGTGTATTTGTAACATCAAAAGGAAAGTTTTCACCAAATTTCGTGACAAAATATTGTTTATTGTAAGAGATAAAAATAAAAAACCAAAAACTTGGTTTTTCGAACCCTTCACATAAATTTTGAGGTTATGTGAAAAAAATTTTAGTATAAAGATTTTAGGTCTTTTTATTTTTATTACCTACAACTTTGCTATACAACCTATTTCCGTAGGACTTTTAGTTTTGCCGGAAATTGGGAAAACCCATTTTTTACCCTTAAATACCCATCCCCATACCCTTCCCGTCTTCAGATTGCCCGTAAATTATTTTTCCTTTAACTTTTTATAATATTACCCTCTTTTTCTAATGAGTTTCATTCTACTGTAATTTATTTTCACTTTTCATTAATTTAAAAGGCTTCTGGACTGGCCTTATTACAAATGAGCCTAAAATATAAGAGAATTATACGAAAACGTTTTTGTTTATTATTATTCGGCACACATTAATTTGCGTTTTTTTATATATAAAACTATCGCGATGTATCAATTTTTTTTAAATATTAATTCCAGGTCTCGACTCATTGTCGTAAAGACGCGGGCACACCGTCGGCTGCCATCGTGGGCGCGGTGGACGCGGGGGGAAGGGAACAGTTCGGAGTACTACAGAGAGGGAAGGTACGATGATATACTGTTACTACAACTAGAGAAAATAATTAAACAATAGGTTCATTACATATCGTCGGGGATAGTGAAAATCCGCATAATAGTAATTAGTTAGTGTTTAATTTATTAGTAATTGTGATGTGAAAATATTAGCTTAAAAGTCGTTAATATAGAAAATATGTCAGCTTAAACATTATTCTGATAATCTGCTTCCAATGTAGATATACGGAGTCATCCAATGGTAGTTATGCAGATTTGCACTATCCCCGACGATATAGTATTTTGTAACCTCCTTCTTATTTCCTATAATTTTAAATTTTTAAGTTTATAGTCCCAACAATACTTATATTGTTTTATCATGGTTGTTATTCTTAACGACTTTTCAGAATTTCTTTCTAAATTAATGACAGTGTTCATACTAAGTGATCAATAAAGTATTAATAACATTATCATAATTTAAAGGTGTTTGGAGTGCCATTAAGTGACCTGCCAACCGGTGAGGGCAACATCCCCGTAGTAGTGGACCGCCTCATCACTACTATAGAGATGACTGGACTGTACACCGAAGGACTCTATAGGAAGAGTGGACTTAGTTCTAAGGTTGGTACACAAACTTGGAGGAATAATTATTGTCTTTATGTACTGAAATTGAAGGTTCATTATTGAGCAACTGCATATAATCGGAAAGTTTTTTTTTTATTTTAAACACACTTGCTATTATCTTCATCTTCTACCTGGCAATTTCCCAGGGTCTGCCTTACATGTTGTGCATAGTTTTGGCTATTTGTTTTTACGACCGGCCGCCTGCCTGACATAAACCCTCTTTTGGGAATCAACATTAATCAGTGATGTCTAAAAATTCTTAGAAAGTACATATGATTCGGAAAAATCACATTGGTACTTGCCCGGGCCAGGATCGAACCCGCGCCCTCGGCAAGGAGAGACGGGCCCTTTAACCACTGGGCCAACACTGTCTTATACACACTTGCTATTATATCATTTAGCAAATATTTAGTATTTGGTTTGATGTTTCGATTGATAAAATTATACACACAGTCTTCTACTTTGGTAATAGTTAGTGTCCGACCGAAGCTTCGGCTTCGGCTTGGGACCTTCAACCAAAAAAACCATCTTCGGCGAAACCTTCGGCTTCGGCCCAAAACCCGGCCGAAGCCGAAGGTTTCGTCAAAGATCCGAGCAACCGTCGGGATTGAACGAACTGTTACGAAAGACGAAGAAAGAAAGTAAAATAGAATATTATTCTTATAACTTGTTGTTGGCAAAACAGTCATTACTTGATTATTTATAACTATTGTTATTGTTACATTTATTTTGAATTTTCTAATATTTTCTAAACTGTGCATTTAATTGACCAACATTTAATTATTTATACAGAAATTGGTGTTTGTTCATTTTATTTATTAGTCTAGTTTCGGCTTAGTCGAGTAAACAAAGACTGATTGATTGGTCAGATTGTGATTTATGAATTACTTAATAAATAAATGATTATTTTTTAAAGAATAAATCACAAACTTTTTTTTGTCATCTTTGAATCCACTTTCCTATGAGACAGTCAATATAAACCTTCAATATTGAAGTTTCAAAATAATCTATAACATTAATTGTAGCTTGTAAACAATATTGAACAAAATTACTAAGAGCTTATAAACCCTCGGCTTCGGCCGAAAATAGACCTTCGGTCGGATACTAGTAATAGTAATAAGTGAAGCGAGATTATGAACTTACTATATTTTATATATATAAAAACATTTTATCAATTCGGTCTAAGCTTCGAAATTACTACTATTATAGACTATATTAGTTAATTTGAATTTAACTGTTGATTATTGTATCGAGCAATATTGTATAGAGGTTTCCGTACATAGTATTATTTCTATTTCCAGGTCCGTGAGCTCCGCCTTTTACTAGACGAGCGTCCGGAGGAGGGCGTGGAGCGTCTGGACTCGTACGCGGTGCACGTGCGCGCGTCCGTCCTCAAGAGCTTCTTCAGGGAGCTGCCCGAGCCGCTGCTGACCTTCGACCTCTACGACGACTTCATACTGGCCGCCGAGATCACGGACCCACAGGTCATAGAATAATATACATACATTACATACTGTTTATAATGATGGACCCTGAACATTATTATATTAATTATTGCCTTTGGACGCTGAAATGCAAACTTAGATTTAATACATACGTGAAGCAGTTAAGACTTTAGATCCTACCTGGTTGCAAAATTATTTTTTAAATTTTACAAGTTTATTTTAAATGTTACTGCTTTTTGAACGTTAAATTAATATTTTCAGGAACGAGTGTCAACAATTTTCACAATATTAAAGAAATTACCGAAACCTAATTATGATATGGTCGAGAGACTGATATTCCACTTGGCGAGGGTGGCGCTGGGAGAGGATCATAACAGGTAATGTATTAAAAATAATATGTAGATAGAAAATGTATTGCCTCGAGTTTTATATACTGGCAACATCGTCACTATTAGCACATAATGAATAAGTATTAAATACACAATAAACAATATTTCAATTTATTTCCAGAATGGGTCCGAACGCTTTAGCGATAGTTTTCGCGCCCTGCATTCTTCGTACTCACAAAGTACAACCGGCCCAGGACTCACTTCACGATATAGCGAGACAAACGGCCTGCCTTGAAGCCATACTCGTGGATAAGATTAACAATGTATGTATTAAGAAATATTATATTAACTATTGTTTAAAATAAAATGTAAATAAAATATTCAGACCTTGCAAACTGATCTATAACGCATTCATCCTTCAAAAATTTTGAATATTGATCGTAATACCAAGTTAATATCTCCATATGTATGACATTTTCTAAAATTGATGGATTTATGTGATTATGATTTACCCCACCTGTAATGTTTTTTACAAAACAGGCTAAGACGAAATGGAAAGCAAGAAAATAAATATTTTAAAAACATTTACTTACTCTCAGTTTCTGCTTTCTCATATTTACTAATACTCAATGAACACTACCAAAGTTTTTTTTTACTTCATATTGAGTAAATAGAGAAGTATAACATTAAATCCCTACTAATATTATAATTGCGAAAGTAATTCTGTCCGTCTGTCTGTTACACTTTCACGCCTAAACCACTGAACTGATTTTAATAAAATTTAGCACAGAGATATAATTGATCTTGAGAAAAAACAGGATAGTTTTAATCCCAGACTTTTGAAAGGTTCTCTTGGAAACGCGATATAACCGAACTCTATTAGTAGTCTAATCTAAACGCAAGTTATTCCGTACTTCTGTTAATATAGCTTTACTTATGTGTTGTGTTTCAGACTCGCGGTACGCTAGCGGACATCGCGACCTTAGACAAGGCGTGCGCGACCGCCTCCGACCGGCTCACGATGATGAGAAGGAGCGCCGCCTGCAGGCCCGAGGAGAGGATACTGGAGGGACACATACACGAGATACAGAAGGAAAAGGCCATACTCACATCAAACCTACCCTCGCTGTTCAGGTAGATATAATACACGAACAAAATACGACACACGAAGCTTTATACAACATGTACTCATATGTATATCAGTGAGGAATGGTGTGACCGCTCGAACCTCCTTTATGTATAACAGTTTTGTTGATGCTCTTCAGGTACTTGTATGTATATCAGTAAAGAATGATGTGACCTATCGAATTTGCTTTATGTATACATGTTTTGTTGATAAAATTTAATGATTTTTGTTTACAAATCAGGTGAATGCCCAAATAATGTAAATTCACCTACATATATAGTGTACAATAAAAGTAATATTATGAATGTTGGAAATGTACAAAGCACTTAGCATCTTCAGTACCTATATATCATATATCAGCATTATTATAATATAAATGTTTGATTATATTCAGAACGACGTCAGACGACGACCTTCTATCGACAACGGATCACGACGGAGAGTTCGGTAGTACCGACGACCTCAGTACGGGCGCCGCCTCACTCAGGTCGCAGAGACTACTGCACCGACAACTGTCATCTGACGACCCCATCATGGTGTAGAACAACATACAATACAAAACAAGATATAAAGAAACGCCTTCCAACATCTCAATACATCAGAAGGTTCAAGATATGGTGGTCGATTATTAATTATGCGTATTATTAGATCGTCACAATCATAGCCTCCTTCGATATGAATGTAGTTTATATTATTGTATAGCTTACTAGACACTCCCTGCGACGTCGCTTCCCTGTAACTTCTAAGCAATGTCTACATATTTTGCACATGTTCGTAGTGATGTAACGTTCTGGGAAGATCTAAATGTTATTATTAACTTCCTAAAATCTGAATTAGAACTATTATAGAACGTTCCGTACGGTGTATATGTTGATGGAAAAAAATGGATACACAATGTAGATAACTAAGATACGTATTGAAATCGTTGGTTTAATACAACGAGAAGCCATAACAACAACATCCTATTACTTCTACTGCCATAATCTGTACTGAGATATTATGTAGGCAGAGTTGATACATTTCTATACTATATGATTGATGTTTTTTTCCGAGAATGTTTGACTTTGATGTTTGTAAATTGAAAAATTATGTAAATATGTTAATTTTTTGTTATTGTTATTTAGTAAAACTTACATAAAAATTATCTTTACATAGTGAAAATCTAACATTTTTAATGTTATCCTTAATTTGTTAGAAATGGATATGAACACTTGTTATGGCACTATTTATACACCACGACGTTAGTCCCTAACATGATATTGATTTATATGATAAGGTTTTAGTTATGTTAGTAAATTGTTTCACGGATAATGTTATGTCACTTTAGTGGGAACGAGGCTGTTTAGTTGCAGATCTGTGTATAAAAAGAAGTTATTCCTTTATGTTGCTTTTCTTGAACAACAAAATAAAATATGTTGCCTAATAGTTGAAATCAGGATGAATAAAATGTACTTCAGCCTATAATGGGCAAATCTAAAATATGATGGTTCAAAGTCAAAACTAAGATATTTTACTGGATAAGAAACCATAGTGTCCATTTTTTAAATTGTCAACAGCTATATACTTATAGCTTTTATACAAAAATATAATGTACAAGATAGCTGATAAAATCAAGCCAAAATTACATGCCTGTACACACAAAGACTTTTACACTTTTCACAACGGAAACAGCAATTTTGAGGCCTAAACTAAGTTTTTTATGTGTACGTTTACAAAAAATACATCAATGGATGACATTGCCATTTTTTTAATTAACGAAACGAAACATTTTTTATTTGAAATTATTATAATTTTTAAAAATGTGATAAATAGAGATTTAAGGTTAAAGGGAATATCAACATAACATAATTTTACAATTAGTTACTAACAAGTACTTTATAATCAAAATAGAAGATGCGTCACCTTGCATTCCGCGGCCCGCCACAGCAATCATATGTTATGTGTTTGAGCAGGAGACGTTGTGTATAGACCTTACATTAGTGTTAGTGAGCATGTTCATTGTTTAGTATTGAATGTTACAAACATTTGGTACTTGTGGTATATCTGTTAGTGTTACCGATTGTACCTTGCTTATGTTTTATTCATTTCATAATCTAAAAGACTGTCTATTGTTAAGCTTTGAAATTTATTGTTAAGTCACAAAATGTTTTGTCTGCTTTTAATTATTTACTTACTATTCAGACAACGAATGTTTCTGTGAATTTGTAATTTTATGCATATTTTTTTAGTGTTACGTTTCGTTTTTGATATTTCGCTGTAATATTCGTGAAGTGAATATTATATTAAGAGGCCATTACTTTAGTAATTTTTTGGAATCTCGCATTTTTTTATTATTTTTGTAAATAAATCAAAAATGTTTGATATTGCTACTTCATCGAAACTATTGATTTTGTAATTTATTTTGGTGCCAATCAAACGAGTATGTTTAGTGAATGTTCGAAGCTGTTATTGTGGGTTGTGTCACAGTACATTACTGCTCTTTCTGTGCCTTCAACTTATTTGCTTTCTGTAAGCAGCGGTTCGTGTATTAAATGTTTAGATGTTATTATACTGTCCTGGATGTTGATACTTGCTATGTATGTGTAGTGGATCATAGAAACAATATTATTAGCTCCATACGACTAGTTATTATAAAAGTAATATTTTCTATATCATATATCTTTCAGGTGTTTTACTCTATATACGTGAAAACTTTGCTTAAAGTTGTAGGTTTTAAAAAATATATATTTGTGATCCCATTTTAATGTCATTGAAGTGCAAGTCTGTGTAGATAAAATAAGACGATGTGTAATTTTTTTTGTAAATAACAAGTTTGTATAATTTCTTTTAAGTTACTTCTGTATTAATTCTGAGAATTGTTTTATTTTAGGTGATGATACTTCTTAGGAATAGTAATATACTACTTTTTGATTAACGGTGTTTTAAATTTTTAACAGGTGCATCTAGTTCGATCCGAGATATTTACAAGGATTCTAAAAACTTTTTGTTATAAAGTTAAGCTTAATTTTATATATACAACTTTCATGAGACACCAACAAAACTCTTTATATACGATAAATATAAATAAAACAAGCTTTTATTTACACTTGACCATTGATTTTATTAATTATGAGTACAAATGTTACAAAATCACAAATATTTTTGGAGCTCCAATACAAAATAAATAAAAGCTTGTACAACACAAAAACTGCCACTTATTAAATATTTTATGATATTATCTTAATTTGATATTTTCTAATTAATGCAAAAAAAAACAGTATTTATTAAAATTTCAACACTAAGGAATACCTTTTAAGTAAATACAAGTTCTTTTAACAAATCTTACTGATGACTTGTAATATATTATTAATATGTATTATAATAATTTTGTTTTAGGAATCCTATAATAATTTGTCAATATAATGATTATAAAGAAATGTAACCAAAATATTATACAAATTATGATAAAAATAAACAATTGCTGTGGATAAATGCAGACTTTTATTGACATTTAATAATAATTATTAATTAATTTATATCTACATCCATTTGCTCAGCTGGTGTTTGTTGCCACGGCAATAAACCTATTGGGCAATTTGACCAAGCATGTTCATGAGAAGCTAAATTAAAAACTCCATATTTCTGTTTATTAACACATTTTGGTTTAACTTCTATGATTTCTTCTACAACATCCTTAGGGTTGTCATCAATCACAATAACACAATCATCTTTCATTGTATCACCATTCAAATTGATATCATCTACTGTGTATATTTTAGAGGGTCTTTTGATTTTCTTTGGTGATGATATTGCTTTCGCTAATTCACATAGCTTAATAACAACTGGTTGGGGTAATTGGGGTCTCACTAAATTCAAGAGATCCTTGATGAAACATGTTAGATATTCATTGTATGTAGAAATTATAGGTTGAATAAAGTTTATATTTGTCAAATCCTTCGGCACTGGTTTGTTTAAATCTAGTAATAGGTGACAGTTCCTTTCATTTGGAAACCAGTGATAAAATAGAGATTTTAAGTCTTTTGATCTAGATGTTGATTCCTTTGAAGCTTTCCTGAAATAAAAAACATAAATGAATAAAATATAATTAATTAATTACATATTAGAGAGATTCATAATTGTGAAGTACAGCCACTTACTTCATAACCTGTTCTTGAAATAGTTGAACTTTTCCTAAAGCCTTCAATATAACTGACACCCAAAGGGCAGCCAGTTTTCGTCTCTTATCACACATTTCATTACTTTGTACTCTCTTTATTAATTCAAGTAAGAAATCTTGTAGCAAATCATAAGTATGGAGAAATTGTAGAAGCATTTCAAAACATTGAACAAAGGCTTTATTGAGGTGTTTTTTCAGTCGGTAATTATATTTATCAAGTAGGACATATAGTTCTAATGACAAAAACAGAGAATTTTCAGACAATAATATCTTATTGACATAAGTACAGGCTGAGTCATGATAAAGTATTTTCTTTACTGTAGGTGTTAGGAAATGATGTAGATTTTTTATTGTGATAGTTTTTAAGTTGGAATAGTCAAAACTATCACCTATAATTTCTTTTGCATCATTCACTAAAGATTCTCTCAGAGTGGCATCGGGTACATCAGCAATGGTCCTAACATTGCATCCTGGATGTGAACAAATACTCAGAGATACACAAAAGTTTATAAGTGCTTCAATTTTGTTTTCCCTTTCATTCCTTTGCATTGCCACTTGACCTACAATATAATCTCCAATATATTCTTTATGTTTATCCCAATAATAATTTTTAAGCCATACCAAACTTAATGTACAGGCTTCTCGTAATAACTCAATCTGAGGGAGCTTATTACCATGAGCGGTGTCATGCCGCATATCTATTATCCATTCCGGGATATTTAAATTTTTTGCAGCCTGAAATAAACTCTGTCCCTTAGCTGTCTGTGTGTCTAGCATATGGTTCACAAAACGCATTAGTGCCGAGGAGTAGGCAAGACGAATTAGGTGATCGCTGTGCAATTGAATTAAACTACTTTTATCCTGTAGATGTACTTCAAGCAGAGTCAGTGTCGACTCCACTCCAGATGGCAAAGAAGGACATCTTGCTTTCCATATGAGTAAACAGTCCAAAGCCTTTTGTTTTGTAGCAAAAGTTGAGGTAAGCCCGTATAGGTCTTCATAGACTTCATGCCACTCTTTGATGTTATACCACGGAGCAATTTGAAAATTTTCACTCATGATTTCAAATTGTATTCACGTTTATTGCCGATCGAAAAATTTTATCACAATGCTTATTTTAAAACCTATTTTATATTACTGACTTAAATTATATTTTATTTCAACATATTCTTAATTCAAACAACATATATAATACGCACTAGTTATATTAATATATTTTATTAACTAGGTACTTGATCCGTACACACAAAATTGCTTTGAAAAACATAACCTAAAATGTGTTAAACTACTGTCAGTCTCACACTTAATATGTCAATATCAACTTCTTGACAGTGGACTAAGGCTGCATTCACACTAGAAACATACGATCGAAAAAAATATATAACAATAAAAAATTAAATTAAATAAAAATTTTAATGGCTTGTTTATAAATTGCAGAGTGAACAATTCCTATTTTAATAACCTTCAATAAATAATAATAAGACAGATAAATTACAATGAAATCCCAGATTTTGAAGCTTATACATTTGAATGAAATAATGATTTTAATTGAAATAGATCTCATTGACGTTTTTCATATTAAAATAGCGTTGGTTTAATGAAAGTTGATTTCTCAATATTAGTGGTTAATTCAGATACGGTCAAATGCAGTATTGGAATCTCGTCACTTTATGCCCAAAGTCGTAGAAATAAAAATGATCAATTTGTTAAAATGTGCAAGACCTGCGCCGCAAGGGAGCGAAAACTGGACAAAAAGGCTAAAAAAGACAGGTGCTTGACTCAAGGTGGAATCCGGATGTCAACATGGAACAATAATATAGTATTTTCACCATTCAAGATATTCTTCTGGGTAAAAGGTTAATTAAATACGCACTCACACACATACACAGATTATAGGAAAACAAAAAAAGAAAAACATTTGATAAGAGAGTAATTTTTTTATTAAAAATTGGATACCAAAGCAAATGTATAATGATAATGTATGCAGTTAAAATAACCCAAAACACTATTAATTCAAATTATAAACATTGCATTGATTGATTGTATTGATGAGTTCAGACTACGACTGGATCAAGTATACTTTGTTACTTATAAAGTTAATGAAACTTAAAATAATATTACATAACTGTTGACAAGTTCGTTAATGATAATTGTCATCATATTTTATTTTTGTGTTTATTTTAACCGCTCACTATATTGACAAATTTAAATGCACGTTTCACTAAAGTCATAGACACAGACGACAATAATTAAAAGCATAAAAAACATTAAGCTCATGTGAAGTAAACAAAAAAAAAATAAAAAAATAAAGTTCAGCTCTACCTCATAAGAACAAAATAAGCGACGGTTTCGGTAACAAAATTCTATCGTTACACGATATCTTACAAAAGTCGAACTGATCGTCTATACTCGATGGGCGGTGCATGCGGTAAACGGAACTACGTCCTCTACACATACAAAGGAACATTCGAAGTCAACTACCTTTTTCCGATATAAAAGAGTAATCTTAGCACGTACCATAATAAATATCTATCAATATATACTCTCAACAAATATAATTTAATATAGGCAATAATATAATACGAATCTTTAAATCTATCAACATTATCACAATACGAGTCGCGACGACATTATGCCGTCTATTAAAAAAATTACGTGTCGTTTGTAACCACAGAATATTTACAAACAATCATCACGATCACACAACGCGTCACACACACGTCCTTATAAGTCCACGGAGTCCAGGTCCTGCTTGGGCGCGCGGGGGGGGGGCGGCGGGGGGGGCGGGGGGGCGGGGGACACGGACGGCGGCGGCGTGCTCGCCCGCGGGTGGAACTTGCCCGGCAGAGACGCCAGCGCGGACAGCGCGGCGTCCGCGTGCGGGATGCGACGCATGATCTTGCCGGAGGTGATGAGCCGACCGAAGCCCTCCTGGTGGGCGAACGCGTATCCGGAGCGCACCGAGCGCCGCGCCCGGCGTGCTGACGGCGTGCGCGGCGCGGGCGCGGCGGCGGCGCGGCGCCAGCGGGTGCGGGCGCGGAGTCTCTCCGCCAGCGTGGGCCGCCGCCGCGAGCAGGCCAGCCGCCACGACACCACCGGCACCATGAGGATCATCATCTGGACGGACGGGCACGTTATTTCAATACGGCAATACTTATAATACCTACAACTATATATATACAAATGCTAAGAGCCACTGACAGTCAACACGGCCGTGAACCAGAACGTAGCCTGTGTGAGCGCGACCGTGAGAGACCCCACGTAGGGTCCGCCGATCACGTAGTTATAGAAGTAGTCCAACACGAAGTACGACACCAAGGAACCCCAGATGGTGATGTGATTGAACACGGTCCAGTACGTCGTGTCCAGGGCGATCTTTAACAAACGATTTCCATCACAGGATCAAATAAATTAAACACAAAAAGACAAACAAAGCGTTCAAAGTACACACTCACTTGTGTCGTGTTATCTATGATTAATATAGTGGCTACTACGCTTCCTAACAGCATGTGATCGGATAATATCTTGCCATCGGGCGCCAGACCATCCTTGTACGTTCCTAGAACATAACACGAACGTTTACAAAAGAAAGGATATAACGATCAATTGATTCATATTTATATAAACATTTTCACAGACCGTATGGTATAAGGAACAGTACGAGCGACGTGAAACATCCGTGTAGAGTGGACTTTATGAACTCCGTCTTATTGAACAGCTGGCTGGTGTGTCCGGGCGCGTACAGCTTCGGGAACTGTAAGGACGTGGTGTCCGACACGTCCTGCTCGAACACACCCAGAGCCAGCACAGGCAGAGACGTGTAGAACAAGTTGTATACTGAGATGAACATCTCATCGAACACCGTCTGGAAATATACATGATAAATTAACAAATTATAGATAACTAGCTTTCCGCCCGCAGCTTCGCCTACGTGGAGTTCGGTTACATCGAGTTTCCAAGAGAACCTTTCGAAAGCCTGGGATAAAAACTATCCTATGTTCTTTCTCAAAGTCAACTCTATATCTGTACTAAATTTCATTAAAATCAGTTCAGTGATAGCGACGTGAAAGCGTAACAGACAGACAGACAGAGTTACTTTCGCATTTATAATATTAGTAGGGATTGTTAAGCAAAATATCATAGTATATATATGAAACACACCTGTGCACTGAATCCACAGAAGAACGCGAACCAGAAATGACATACGGTGAAAGCAAAGTTCTTATAGAAGAAATATCTGAGGAACTTGCACATTCGGTAGTAGGACCATCGACCGTGGACCAACAGCAGCCGCTGTAGGAAACGGAACTGAGCTATCGAATAGTCTGAGGCCAACACAGCCTGCATGCCCTCCTGGCCTGATATACCCACACCAATGTGTGCCGCTGGAACAAAATAACAATACATACATAATATTTATAACACAATAATCATTTTTAATATGATACTAGACCGGACGAACTTCGTATCGTCCTATAATCAAGAAATATCTGTTACGTTTTTTATTTATATTTTTGGAGTTTACCTATTAAAACCATAAATCTCCGTGTTTTGAAGTGCGAAAGAATGATTGACATATTAGTTAGTTGCCTTATCTAATGTCAAAGAAACGTTTGTATCAACAACTACTAATAAATTAAAAATTAATTAAAAAAACATTGTCCAGCAGACAAAATTGTGAATCTAAACCATTCCCAGATCCCCTTGAACACACACAAAAAAAAAAAAATCGGTTCAGTCGTTTGAGAGAAGTTCAGTGACATAAACACTCACAGAAGAATTATATATATAAAGATTAATGTCTCTTAGACATATTAGTGAAATCAGAGTTAGGTCATCTCTTAGCTATTAACTGAACAGTTTACTTGGTGACATTAACGTTTCTTAAACATATTCGTAGTGGAATAAGAGTTATCTGATAGCTAGTAACAATGTATGTAATTATTTATTATTCCATCAATAATGTATGTATTCTAGTGTTACCTTTGATCATAGACACGTCGTTAGCGCCGTCCCCTATCGCGAGGGTGACCGCCTTCCGACTCTTCTTAATGAGCTCCACCACCATGGCCTTCTGTAGCGGCGTCACTCGACAACAGATCACGGAACGACACTTCAATACCACGTCTAAGAATCTGTTAATTACATGGAAATAATAACGATATTAGTTCTCAAAATTTTCTGAAGATGCCATCAATATAAACATTAATCCTCTCTTATTTAATTTAGTATTAAATCGATAAATAATATACGACCTACATAAGTAAGTTGTTTGAGATAAAATTTAAAATTTAATTTTTAACATATTTTAATGATTCATTTAAAAGATTCCTAATGACTTTTTTTTTGGGAAAAGATTTAGAATTATTATCTGAATTATTCCATATGATGATTGTATGTATAGATATATCCAAAATGGTCGTGGCTACATAGAAATTTTAGTTCAGTTCCCAGCACTACAAATAATCTCTGAGTACTAACTTCTCCTCCAGTTTGGGATGTAGACAGTGTACGAGTGAGTGTCCGTTAACAACTATAGCGAACCCGTTCGTGTCATCGTTGTGGTCACTGGCGTCCGTAGAATAGGGACCTCCGGATGCGTACTCATTACTAAAATAAAATATTATTTATAATCATAATAATATTACAAATCTAATTTCATAGCAATACAATATTTATACTATATTGATGTTGATCCTGTAATAAATTTATTATTTTATGTACATATATGAAACAGCAAATAGAAATCCAAGCTATAAGTTATATTATTTAATGTGCAATATTGTCATATTACATATAAATAAAGATATTTCTTAATTATAGCAATAAAAATCTAATTAGGCTCAAATCAGCAACACTATATAGACTAAATAAAATAAATTAACAGACAATTGAGAGGAGATCCAATATTACATTTCAAACTTTAACAAAATCTTTAACAAAAAATTTGTCTCTTAATTTATTTAGCTCAAAGCACATAAGTAACTAACTATAGACTATTTTAATTAATGTTAATTAGCTCACCAGAATAGTGTTTGTGTTTATTTGTGATAAGTGTTTTATAAACAGTACTGTGTTTATAAACTACAGTTAGAAATAGAAGAACAGAGTACACTTCATTAATGCACAGTGCACAATTAACTAAATACGTGATTTTATTTTCAAACTGTGTCTTATCTCAAAATCTAAACTGATTTTAATGAAAATTGGTACAGAGATAGAGTTGACCTTGAGGAAGAACAAAGGATAGTTTTTATCCCAGACTTTTGAAAGGTTCTCTTGGAAACGCGATATAACCGAACTCCGCGCGGGCGAAGCTGCGGGCGGAAAGCTAGTTATTTATAAAAATAACAACTTTATTTAATGTTGTCATATGCAATGTTAAATGGCACAGAGAATAACAACAGTAAAAGTGGCAAGATTCGAAGAAGCACACTCAAAAGTTACTAGTGAGTTGGTATTGTGACATAACTAGCAGGAGCTATTTTTTTATAATAAAACCATAGACAACAGTATTATCTGATGATACTAACTTTACAGATACATAGATTGGTGCAATAGTGTGGATAGGCATACAACAATACAAGAAGCACTACTACACTACACTGACACAGTCGGTAACACATAGAAGCACAAGTAAGATCTCCAACATAGCCATAGACACAGTTGTGAGCGGTGTTGGTGTGAATGCGTACAATGTGGATGTCTACCTGTGTGCTAAGCTTTGTTCCCACCTAAATGTGACGACGGACACGGCGGGCGCGTTCAGCTTCACGTTGGCAGCTCTGCCAGGGGACGGACGAGGAACGGCCCCGCCGTTAGCCTCCGAACTACAACTCTTTGGCTCCGAACCTAGAAATTCGAATTCAGGATATGTATTACTTACATTACATTTGATCTGCATTTTACAGAATAAATACCAAAGTTTCATAGCTATAACTTCGTTATAATGTAGTGATTTAGTCCCTTGAAAACTGTATTTTCTACAAATGTATTTCAAGCAAGTCAATAAAAACTGATAAACTTCCTAGATTTTGCCGCATGATATGTATTGTATGTATGAACTCAATGTTTATTTTATTCATATAATAATATAAACTTTTGCTATAATAACGTTAAGTAGTTTCTCATAACAGGTGTGACGTCACTCAATGCTGGTCCGTGGTTTAAAGTATTTTAATACATTTTTATTAAGTAATCATTGTTGAATGTGGCTTTTATTTCACATTTGTGTAATTTTTTACCATAAAATTTGCATATATTATATTTATATCTTCCCTATAAAATTCTTATACGTATTTTTTTACTACCCATGCATGATTTGTTGGAGTCCAGTCAAATAGACAATTAGTGCACAAAGTTTGTAAAAACATATAGCCCAAATAGAATACAAATTACGATTCTATTTTTGAAATTGTACAGCCATATCACAGATAAAAAATGACAACAGATAATGTAATCATAGCATAATATTATAATTTCGAAAGTTTGAGTGTGTGCGTATGTTTGTTACTTCTTCACGCTCAAACGGCCGAACCGATTTTGATAAAATTTTGTATACAGGAAGCTGACGTCCAGGAATAACACATACGCTACTTTACATCCCGGAAATCCTGGAAATCCCGGAAATCCGCGGGTAATACCGCGGGGCGCAGCTAGTAGTATAATAAGTGTATACCGTGCGGCAGGAAGGTGCTCACGACGTGTATGGAGTCCCTGCACTTGGCCAGTTGTCGCTCCACGTCGTCATGTGACACGCCATCTATGACGAACACCTCGGCCATGTCGTCCGTCAACAGCTGACAGGAATAACCGATGTTGATGGCCGTCTCTGGAATAATTCATTTATACACACGTTAATATGTATATAGGTAATAGCTTAGCATATGCAGGGTGACTGGTGAATTACTATCGATATTTGAGGACGTGATATTTGACGATAATATATGACAAAATAAAAATTAATATAACATAAATATTAATAAACTTCTAAGTAAAGTTAACCAAAAGTTATGTAATTAATTACGCATCGTGTGAACACCCTACAGATTAGGTATACACACACACACACACAGGCGTGCGGCGGCGTGGTGTTGTATCAGCACGCCGCCGCACGCGTCCACACTTGGAACACTGGAACGTGTCCACACTTTATGTATTTATACGGAAATTTGGTCAAAAATTAAGTACCTATTTTTTTTACATAATTCGAATGAGAATCATGTACCGAGTATTCTCCTTAAATATTGATAGTAATTCACCAGTCACCCTGTATATAGCACTATTTGAGTTCAAAATTCAAAAATTAAAAAATAATCTGGTACAAAGAATTATGTCCTATATTATAGGTATACCTTGTTTGTCTCCAGTCAATACCCATATCTTGATGCCGGCCATACTAAGGTTAGCTATTGTTTCCGGTACTCCGTCCTGTAACTTGTCTTCTATGGCTGTCACGCCTGAAATAAACATTACTGATATAAGGTACACGTCTTTTATACTTGTTAGCAGTATTGGGTTCTCGTGTTATAATTTTCTCATCACACCAAAAACAACTCAATTCCCAAATGCGCAGACATATCGTGATGGTATGTAAGTAATATATATTTTTTATCTATACTAATATTATAAAGCTGAAGAGTTTGTTTGTTTGTTTGTTTGAAAGCGCTAATCTCCGAAACTACTGGTTCGAATTGAATAATTCTTTTTGTGTTGGATAGTCCGATTATCGAGGAAGGCTGTGGGCTATATAACATCACGCTATGACCAATAGGAGCAAAGATATAGTGGTAAATGTGTAAAAAACGGGAGAAATTATTTCATCTTTGAAGCCTTCCGTTACGTGCGCCGTGAAAACGGTTCAAGATACACAAAAAATATGTATTAAAGAATAATAGCTCTTTTAATGATCTAAAAAACAGTCTGCGACAGTATATGTCTATCTTTTAAGATTAACTCACAAAAACCGTTTTTATGGTACCTAATTTGGTCGGAATAATTTGTTTAAGTTGTATCAACATAATGATATTAATCTTTATTCAAATAAACAAATCTTTATTCAAATAAACAAATAAATATGTTGTTGGTTAAGAGTACTTCATTGTGAAAAAAAAACAGGTTTTATCCTGAAAATTCTACGGAAACTCGACCATTCCGAAAACCCCGCAAGAACGGGAACTATGTGGGAAGAACCAACAATCTGCCGGAAGTCACTATTCCACGCGGACGGAGTCGCGGCAAAAGCTAGTAATTTATAAATAGTAAAAAACTGTAAGCTAGATTCTTTTTATATTTCTAATGTCTGTCTGTTCCTCTACAGTCAGTGAGTGTCATATCATATATGTATCATATGTACCGAGCAGCATGAGGTCAGTTTCTATCTCCTCGTATATAGCGTCGAGCCTCTCGTCCCTGTCCCGGAGCGCGAGGGCGGCGGCCTGGTGCCTCCTCTTCCACTCCGCGAAGCCCCGCTCCTCCAGGGGGCGCCACGCCAGCGCTAAAGTACGAAGCCCCTCGCCGGCGAATTTCTAAGTTACAAAGCATTATATTTAGTACAATTACATTACATAGAACATTAGAGGTCACCCTACGTGGCTGTTGACTCACATTTAAATGCTCCTGCGTCTTCAACCTGACCTCCTCCTGGCTGTTCCGTTTTAATCTGTCGTATATAACATTATCAGCACCTTTTGTATATAACCTAATTTCACCATCCTTCTTCAATATCACGGACATTCTTTTCCTAACATTATTAAAATCTAATATACATAACAACTCATACACCTGAAACGAAAAAAAAAAGAGAATTATGACCACCTTACATTAATATTTTGTGGGACGTTGGATGCTTTATTCGTACCTCCGTTTTACCCATAACTTCTATAGTAATTGTATTAGGCGAGCGTTCTCTGAACACAAAACCAAAATTCCTCGCCGCTGACACCAGAGCCGATTCGTCCGGCGATTGTGCCTAGGAAAGAATAATTAAACATTAAATCTTATTTAACATAATACAATGTATAAGTAACAAATATTATCTCTAAAATGTGTCCTCAATCACAACATCAATATACCTGATACTCCAATCTTCCGTTCTTCTGTTCGGGCATGACGGTGTGACAGAGGGCCAGCAGTCTGAAGAAGTCGAACACGTGTCGGTCTCCGCGGCGGACAGCCTTCAGCAGCTTTGAGTCGAAGAACTTGAACTCCGGCTCGTACTCCGGGTTGTCGGAGAAATCGAGCGGCTCAGTACTCTGTGGGGGTTATACGATCATTACTATATGTTAACAGATGGAACGAGAATGAATCGAGAAAAACATTCTAGATCGAGACAATAATTATGATCCTCGCGCTTATATTAGTATCCTGCTGATGTGTGTGAGCGATGAGAGAGATAATTATAATTTATATCTCTCTTATTTATAGATGTATATTAATACATTTATAAATAATCATTTTCATTTCCCTGGTTTATTTCTCAAAGAGGTTAAAGTCGGAAAGATATGACGAAGACTGTAGTACGATATGACGTCCTCTAATATTGCATAGATAGTAATCTATTCGGTCTCAGTTCTTTTATGCATATGAGAGTTCCGCTTTTGGTCTTCTTAAAATTTAACAACACCATAGCCATTAGCCAGTATCGACACTCAACTTTGTAAGACCTGAATTACCAGCAGTAACAATCTTACTACGGTCAGAGCCGATAGTCCTGTAAACTTGACTACTAATATAATTACATACTGATCTTTTGCTTGAGAAAAAACCGTGGAAGTTATATATAAAATCTTTCACATGTCACGATATTGGCGGACCAATCAGAGGATATTACCTGAAATGACTTGTATTTACCTCTGCCGTCCTTTCACTCACATATCTCAGAAGGTAATTAATATAAGCGTGAGTACTAGTAATCAAATAATAAAAATGGGTTCAAGAAAGGATAGTCTAAAGATAAACATTGGGTCTAATTGTGGAGAGCTAAAAGGGTACCGTAACTAAAAACTATTTTATTAAAAGCAAAAGAACAAGACACCAATTAATATCAGTTACGATTAAGTAGAACACTACATTACATACACATGCAAAGCGAACACATTCACAGAAGAATACAAGCAGTGCAGAGTGAGGTAGAGGACTCATGCTACTACTACTAATATACATACTTGATAATAGTAATTGTTAATAGACTTAATAATAATAATAAGAGAATTTACATTTTTGTTGTTAATGCTTCGTTTACGTTTCATATAAGTATTATTTGCTGTTTGGTTCACCATAAACCAATTTCCATGTGTTTTACAAGAAGGTATAAGTCAATAAAAATTATCAAGAAGAGAATTAAATTAAGAAATATAAAGATAATCTTTGTTATACCGAAAATTAGTTTTAAATAAATTTTTGTTATTGGAAATATTGAAAAAACACCTACTACAGATATCGAAGAGATCAAGCCAGAATCGTCACTAGGGCCTTGGGTGATATGAACTATATTAATACAATATTGTTATGTAACACGACGACTGTTATCGTCGGTCGTTCGTGACGGGTTCCTATAATCCAAGGCGGGAGTGTATGAAGGTGTGTGTGTGTGTGCGTACGTGTGGCCGTGTGGTGGCGCCGGGCGTGCTGCGGCCCTGCTCGTGCTCGAGGTCCAGTAGTCGCGCGCGAGGCCCCCCCGCCCCCGCCGGGCCCCCGCCGCCGGCCCCCGCCGGGCCCCCCGCCGCTCCTCCGAGGGGGCCCGCCGCCCGCGCTCCTCCCCCGCCGGTCCGCTTGCGCTGCGCCACAGTCGCGTCACACACAACCCTACAGGCCCCACACGCGACGCAACTTAACTTGCGATCACATACACGTGCGGGCCGTGTTATACATAATGTGTGAACGTTCGAATATCATGTGGATCGAACAAATCATCAATTTATAAAGCCAATACCGATGTAAACAATTATCGATAGGATATAATTAATGTGTGTGCACATGCGATGCTATTCCTGATTCTATGATCTACTTGCAGTATAAAATATTATAGGTTCGGTATAAATTATCTGTATAATTGCGTCGTAAAAGAAAGTGACATATATTCCAACACCACAAAAACAATGGGAAATGAATGCAAAACGCCACAAAACAGTGAGAGTGAACGAGTCGTCGAAATGTATAATTCGTGCCAGCAAAACAAACTAGTCAAAACTGTCAAACATACAAATTTACAAATCAGAAAAATTTCCATTATAAAATATGAAACTATGGATAAATGGAAAATAATAATATTAATATAAATCTCAATCATTGATATTAAAATGTTCACAGCATGCATATGATGTTTCAATAACGTGCTGTATGTTCGCATGTATCATGTCGCAGCCTACATGCGCGGCGTCAAAAGTGCTCTCTACTATGATGTGAGGTGTGTGTGTGTGTGTGTGTGATGTATCACACGTGTCGTGTGCGTGTGTGTGTGTGATGTGCTCACGTCTGTCAGTTCGATGGTCTCGCCGGTGTTCTCGTCCACCACGTCTCCATAACACACGCCAGCTATGGAACACTTGTTGAAGGTCATTATGTTCTGTGTCAATGTACCCGTCTTGTCTGAGAATATGTACTGTATCTGACCTGGAACATATATTCTAATGTTAATACATATTTATAACATAATTATTCTGAGCGGATTATAGACAAGCTATGTTTACAATTATATCAATTAAATATTATCCAGCCTTTATTATACTGTCTACATTCATATGCAAATTAAAGTTAAGGGAATATTTTTTATTATTAAAGGTACATACTTATATCTGTTAATATTTTAAACAAAAGACTGAACTATCTGTAATATAAATTGGTTTGCTATCTTATTATGAAACTTTTGTGTGTAATTTTAAGGTCCATTGATCATGAACACTCACCCAGTTCCTCGTTCAGCGTCGTAGTCCTCGCCTTAGCAGCTGTTCCAGTCTTTTCGTAATACATGTTCTCATCCCAATTTATAAGAAAACTTTGTGCAAATCTTATGACCTGAAAATATTAATTGTTTATATACAGGGTGACTGGTGAATTACTATCGATATTTGAGGACGTGATATTTGACGATCATATATGACAAAATAAAAATTAATATAACATAAATATTAATAAACTTCTAAGTAAAGTTAACCAAAAGTTATGTAATTAATTACGCATCGTATGAACACCCTACAGATTAGGTATACACACACACTCACACAGACGCGGCGGCGGCGTAGTGTTGTATCAGCACGCCGCCGCACGCGTCCACACTTTAACACTTGGAACGTGTACACACTTTATTTATTTATACGGAAATTTTGTCAAAAATTAAGTACTTATTTTTTTTACATAATTCGAATGAGAATCATGTACCGAGTATGCTCCTTAAATATTGATAGTAATTCACCAGTCACCCTGTATATCGGCGCTACCAGCTTTAATAACGGATGCGACATGAAAATATTTTGAGGCTGTCATCAATTCTTATTAAAACTCATTAGTATTTATGATTATTGTTAAAAGTAAAACGAAATCAAAGGTTGTTTAATAGGAGAATATAACTATGTTTAAATCTTGGTATAACGTCTGGACGCACGACGGCAGAATTCAGAGTTCAGTGAGTGCGTATCATTGAAATATGTTATTATGAAGAACCTTCGAGAAATACAGGAGCATTAAGAACAATTGAAGTTTCATTTTAAAATATCATGGAACGCTCTAGAAGAAGTGACATTAGTTACGTCAGCGAGGCTGGCGTCTCTCTTTTTTAAAACAACGAATTTGTAATTAATCCGAATTCCGATATATATAATATGGAACTTCACTTCTTGAATTACTTAAAACTTGACATTTCTCTGACGAAAGCCCATGAATTTCACCAAATCAATTTTATTGCTCACACCTAATACGATTGTTCGTAACTAAATGCTTTTATAGAGAATTCTTTTAATTACATTTTTTGCTTATATAATATCATGTTTAACCAACCTCAACGGAGACGTATAAAGATATGGGCACAACAGTGTTCATGACTATAGCATATGAGAAGAACACTAGCAGCGCTATAACTAATGCACCCGGCGCCGGCTCCGCTGGTACTAGCGTGTCCCAGGGCAGGTAGGACTGGAAGTAGCGACCAATCAGCCACTCCCACACACCGCACGCGCACGTACAGAACACACACATCGACAACAGGAACAACACTATCTGAAACATCGACAACACACTGTTTGATAATCGATTTAAAATCAATGATATGTTGTTCATTAATTAGCACTAACATCTTGCAAAATATTGAAAATAAATCAAATAATATTATAAAAAAAAGATTAGTCAAAGTTTAATTTTATCTTTTGGGATCCCTACTAACATTATAAATGCGAAAGTAACTCTGTCTGTCTGTCTGTTACGCTTTCACGCCGAAACCACTTAACTGATTTTAATGAAATTTGGTACAGAGATAGAGTTGACCTTGAGAAAGAACATAGGATAGTTTTTATCCCAGACTATTGAAAAGTTATCTTGGAAAGGCGATATTACCGAACTCCACGCGGGCGAAGCTGCGGGCGGAAAGCTAGTACTTATATAAAAATTAAAACTAGGTGTCTATAATTTGATTATTCCTGTTACTTTTTAACAACTCTCTATTTAGGTTATTTTTTATGCTGTATCACTTTAATGTCTATAATTTTTGTAATTCATATAAGTACTGATAGTCTAAAGTTGTAAGCATACCCCTATAATAAGGAAGTTGAGTAGTCGGTCAATGCTGGTCCTCTTGAACTTGGTCTTCCCCGAGTTCTGCATGAGTTTTGTATCTTTGCCCGCGAACACGACCACTCCGTAGCACCACGACGTGTTCCGCAGTACACAGCCGCGGAGCAGTATCTTATCATTGTCCAAAGAGAAGTGCTGTTCACGCCAACTCAATGTACCTACGGACATTTTTTTAACTTATAACTAATATCAAATTATCTATATAATATGCATATATACACTTCTGATCTGTCTTTTTTGTCGATCTAGTGCTATTAATCATATTGGATTTGACGTTAAAGGAGATGATATTTTTTCGTGTTTTTAATGTGCTCTGGTGCATTGTTTGGTGCATTGCATGATATAGTGCTTAGTGCACATGGTTCGGTCGCGTTTTGCGCAAGTTTTGGTACAAGATTCTTCTTTTATTGAGAAGAAAACAAGGTACTACTAAATAAGTTTTCACAAAATAATAGTTTCTTATTTTTTAAAAAGAAAATATATACAGTCGTATGAAAAAAATATTCCATAAAATATGTACCTAACGGTATTGATATTTAAAAAAAAATAATGTAAATAATTAATAGACATAATAATGTGTTACTAATGATATAAGAAACAGTTCAAACAGTTATGACCATATTGCAGTTGTATAAATGATAAAAGATAAATGAACCGAGAGGAACTACTTATTGATGTATTGACAGAAACACACGAGAAGATCCGACTGCATACACTAGTGTTATAAATGTATACTGAGTATTATATTTATAGAAGTAATAAATATGAATAAAATAATTAAGTATAATGTGACATTATAAAATAAATTTTCCGTATCAATAAGAATTTCATAATAACATACTGAAAATAGTTTTCTAGTAATTAGGCTTAGTTAAATTTATAGGAAAAAAAATATAATTTAACAATACTAAAACAGGATTGTCATCTATACAAGTAAAATTAAATGTAATAAGACATGTAATATGAAATTACTTTTGAAGATGTGTTAGTGTTTCAGAAAGACTCATAAAGGCGTTTCCAGACCGGTATAAAGTATTGGTTGTAAATTTAACTCCATATAAGGGTACCTTCAAACTTATTTAGAAGGTTGTTAGGCGTCTCACAGACGATCTCTCCATCGAACGCTCCCAGCTGAGCGTCGTCTTGACCCATAGCGGCCGTCTCCAGAAGACATTGACGACATTTTAAATTCGTCTCCCTGGAAATGATCAGATAAATTAATTTAATAACATAATTTGTTTACTAGCTGGGGTCATCAACCCAAGTAATAATGTGAAAAAAAATTACTTAAATTGTGAAAATATTACCATCGAATACGTTTAAAGAAAAATTTGTGTCACGAGCTGTTATTATTTAACCAATGTTATTATTACAATGACTTTGGATATATTTTGGTTTTGTTTGCAAGAAACATTCTATGCCCAGACACGCACATCCACATGCACACTTGCGTACGTACGCAAGAACGCACATACACACACATAAACACTATATAAGACTACTTACTAGTACTAGTATTTCATCCTAGCTATTAGTAGCTTATGTTTATTTATTTAACTAATTAGTCAACCTAATTATATTTTTAAAATATCCCTACTAATATCATATATGCGAAAGTAACTCTATCTGTCTGTCTGTCTGTTACGCTTTCACGCCGAAACCACTGAACTGATTTTAATGAAATTTGGTACAGAGATAGAGTTGACCTTGAGAAAGAACATAGGACAGTTTTTATCCCAGACTTTTGAAAGGTTCTCTTGGAAACGCGATATAACCGAACTCCACGCGGGCGAAGCTGCGGGCGGAAAGCTAGGTATACATAATTATTATTTTAATAAAATGTATGTTATATTTCATTATAGAAAAACCTATTTTCCACTATCAAGTTAATATAGAAGTATAAATTGGGTCATTAGTTAGTGTAGGCACAATATAACAGATAATAATTGTCACATTAGTGTATTTGTTATTAATTGAGTTAGTATATGGTTTCATTATAATAGCTTTGTTTCATTAATGCTTATATACCTACTGTAAAGCTTTATATTATTTGGGTGAAGTCAAATGGTTATAATATATAGGAGACTAATTGATATGTATTAATATATGTATATAAGTATAGAAAATTTTCTTTTATAGCTCACGTTAGATGTTTTGATAAGAACGATTTGTCAGTAAAGGGGAAATATTTTTTATTTTTAATTTAATGCTTCATATTTTCTTTGTGATTTTTATTAATAAATAAAACTGAATAAAGAGCGTCATACAAATAAGTTAGTATGCTTATCCCAAGTTTGAATTGTAAAGTTATATAACGTTTCCTGTTTCTAATATAATAATAATCTATATTAATAATATAATTTGCTTAAAACGGATGAAAAACTGTTAACGCTCCGTATGTGGTTACGATGAGAACTCGGGCTAAGCGTACGGATATTAAAATCTTACTAAACGAGACGTTTGTCAGTAAGTCTACTTTGTACTTTGTATCTCAATGTCTTTTTTTGTTTTATTACTATTTCACGATGCACATACAAAATTAAACATTGAGTAGACTGTTCAATTATTCATGAAGCAAACGACTAGTTCACTCTTTAAGGAATATTTTCTTTCAGCTTCTTTTAGTGACAAGTAATTTTATATATTTTCCGCTAAACTTGGCAACACTACGATGATAACTTCATTAAGTACGAGGGGAGGTCAAAAAGTTCGCGGAATGGAGGGGATGGAGGGGGTTGATTTACTCGTCCAGGTAGTAACTTGTTCAACACCTCATTAATAGTATATATACCAAGTTTGAACCAAATCGGGTCATTAACTTTTGAGTTGTTGACCTGCAAACAAGTGAATCGGGAAGAAGTCAGTGAGTATGGAGAAAATTGAACACCGCGCCGTTATTAAGTTCCTCACCAAGCAAGGAAAATCCGCTCAGATAATTTTTGAAGAGCTGTTATCAGTTTACGCGATCTCTGCCCCTGGTAAAACCATGGTTTACAAGTGGCATGGACTTTTTAAACAAGGAAGAGAGTCCATTGAAGATGACGCCCGCTCCGGACGACCGATTGAGGCCACCACACCGAAAATCGTCGCAAAAGTAGAAAAACTTATATTGGAAGATGCCTGGTTGAAGAAGAAACGGCTTGGAGCAATGGTTAGAGTATCTGAAAAAAGCATTTTTAATATCCTACATCATCATCTTGGGATGACTAAGGTCAGTGCAAGATGGATTCCAAGAATGCTCACGCCACTTCAAAAGAGCGATCGTGTCGAGTGTTCTCGCCAGTTTTTGAAGCTCTGTGGAGAGAATAAGGACGAAGTTATGGACCGGATTTTTACTGGTGACGAAACCTAGGTTCACCACTATGAACCTGAATCGAAGCAAGAATCGATACAGTGGCATAAAAAAGGCACAGCTCCTCCAAAGAAGTTTAAAGTGTCACAATCGGCCGGAAAGATCATGGCGACTGTCTTTTGGAATACAGAAGGTATTTTGCTGATCAATTATAAAGATCGTGGTGTGACTATAACGGGACAGTACTACGCTTCTTTATTAGATAGATTGAAAGAAGCTATCAAGGAAAAAAGAAGAGGAAAGCTGTCAAAAGGTGTGCTCCTTTTGCACGACAACGCAACAGTCCACACGTGCCATGTTGCGACGGCTGCCATTCACCGATGCGGACTCGAAAAACTACACCACCCACCTTACAGTCTAGACTTAGTCCCCAGCGACTATTATTTGTTTTCAAAAATGAAAAAAAAGCTGCGGTGAAAAATATTTGAGAAGTCAAGTCCGCAATTTCGGCCTATTTTGATAGCCAAGATAAATAATTTTTTTCGAATGTATTAATAAATTATTTGTGAGATCCGAAAAATGTATTAAGGTTAAGGGAGACTATATTGAAAAGGAAAAATAGTTTCGTGTTAAATTTCAACCCCCTTCCCGCTCATTCCGCGAACTTATTGACCTCCCCTCGTACATCTCGAATTATAGCTTTTAAACACTTAATAATAATATTACATACTATAATAATAATCTTAATAATATCTTTTTTGTAAAGATTAATACATATCTATTTAAATAATTTGTTTTTAAAACGGTTCTGAACGGTAACTTGGATTTTTTACATCGTCGAGCACACCTTAACACGTGCTTTTTAACGTTTTCCATTCCTAAGTTACGGCATGTCAATAGTATCAACATAGGTCTCCATGTCTAATATTAAAAAACTGCATACCGTCTGTTTTTAGTATCACACAAACTTGTAGTAAGTGTACAGAACAAGTGTATGAGTACACTCATGATTCATTCAGTGATAACGTACTATCCGGATTAGTCACTTTACAGTCAAATCTCATAGTGTAGCTATCATGAATTTTTTACATTACAAACCAACTTCATACATAGCATTATGTAATTTATTTTATTATATGGTTTAACTGACTCATAAAGGATATGATAGCTATTTATTTATGAACAAATTAAATGATAATAGCTATTCATATTATGTAGAGTTGATGATAAACTTTTGCAAGTGGAATTCAGCCTATAAATTACGTTCGTCAGGAGTTAATAATAATGCTCACCCGTCCAACTCAGCTGTTTCTATGTAGCAAAGTCCGTTAGGCTCCGAACTGCTGAGCAATAGGATGTCTGCGGCGACAAACTGGTCATTTTCCAGTCGTATCACATCCCCAACTTGAACTGACGCCCATTTCTCTTCAACTAGCTTACCGTTCCTCAATGTTTTAGCGCGCCTGTGGTTCACTTGTGAGTCGTTCTGATGACGTTGCTGTTTAGAAAAAAGTACGTTTAGTTGTAAATTAAATTGACTTTAATATAATACAATTTAAGTTCATTTTATTAAAAATTTCATTTAAATATTTATGTAGTTGCGATTTGAAAATGTTTATGGACAACGAAATATGTTTATGGAGAATATTTATAATTTTCTATAAGTAACTTTATAAATAGGATATAATAATCTATTTACATAATTCATTATGTGTAATTAAAATAAAAAGAAGCTCATTGTTTATAATTATCAAACACAAACAGAACATTTGTCATAAAATTTAACAAAGTAATTTCGTGTAATATGATTCACATATAACTAAAATGTATCACTATTCTTAGAAATTATCCTAAAAAAATATACCATATTTAAATTTCCTTATAAAAGTTATAGAGAAATTATTTTGATACTAAATATAAAAGAAAAATCTATATTTTTCGACATATACTGATATTAAACAAAACACAATATATTTGATATAAGAAAATTATTATGAATATCTTTACAATCCCTACTAATATTATAAATGCGAAAGTAACTTTGTCTGTCTGTCTGTCTGTTACGCTTTCACGCCTAAACACTGAACTGACATTAATGACATTTGGTACAGAGATGGAGTTGACTTTGAGAAAGAACATAGGATAGTTTTTATCCCAGACTTTTGAAAGGTTCTTTTGGAAACACGATATAACCGAACTCCACGCGGGCGAAGCTGCGGGCGGAAAGCTAGTTATTGAATATTGTATAGTGAACAATTATAATCAACATTTTATTAATGAAAGTAATTTAATTAGATACTATCACTAATTGGATAGCTGCTTGCGAATGATTACTTATTGGCATTTCCCATTACCCACAGTGATTGGTACATGCCGTCTGTGATGTTGGTAAAGAACAAATTGTACATTCTATTAATAGTATTGCATGCCGTGCCATCAGTGGCCTTGTAACTAAGGATAGCCTTGGTGCTGACTGTACATCATTGACGGATTAATTATTATTTGTTTTTTATAAGACTCATTGTTTGTATCATAACTGACAATATACGTTATTAATATTATAGACACGAAAGTCTCTTTATTTGTATGTATGCGTGTATGTGTGTGTGTGTGTGTGTTTTATTAGTCCAATTCATAAAGGTTTATGATAAAAATAATATTTAATGGCGACATAACACTGGAATAAAAGACAGTTTTTGAGTTTATATTGTGTGTCATTAATAATCTTTCGATTATGTATTATTTATACTATTATTATTTTTAATAAGCAAAACAATGACACGCACAATAAATTTATTCATATGATTACAATGCTGTAGGTTATTAAGAAGATCCCTTTTTATTATTCACAAGCCGTGAAGCAATTGATGATATAGTGCTGACTTCTTTTTATTTTCTAAATAGATTTTTTATAAATATGATCTTACCATTATTTTAGAAACGTGAAACATAACATAGTTTCTACATATTCGTATAAGCAACTGCACACATGATAGTATTTCCAAATCTTTCTTGTATTCCTGTCTGTTTTATATGTATATGAACTTAAGAACAATTCAACATATAAAACATAAGAAAGGATAAAAACTAAATGTTTTGTGCAACTCTGAGCTGGCTGTGGAAAAATAAGAATCTTATTTTCTTATGTTTGCCCAACTATATATGTATTTTTCAAATCCTCAAAGCTTAGCTAACAGAAAATGCACGTTAGCAACAACTTCTCTTTTGTGCATTTTTCTACATAAAATGCAAAAAATAAATACAGATCTAAACATTTTCAATTCGCTTACGTATTTTGCAAACTAAAGGAGACATTTTCAAATAAAAGTAACTGTCTATTCTCTATACCTTAGGTAATAAAGGAATACGTTATATATAAGATTGCTAATCTATATATAAAAATGAATTTCTGTTCGTTAGTCTCACTAAAACTTGAGAACGGCTGAATGGATTTATCTTATCTTAGTCTTGAAATGTTCGTAGAGGTTCAGGGAAGGTTTAAAAGCTGAAAAAAATTATTAATTTCCGGGTAAACCCTAAAAACAGCGCTTTTCTATTTCCCATACAAACGTTTTTTTGACATTAGATTTGACTTACTAATATGTCAATCATTCTATCGCACTTCAGAACACGGAGACGTATGGCTGAAAGGTAAACTCCAAAAAAATAATTAAGAAATTATTTATTTATCGATTGAGGCAATATGAAGTCTGCCGGGTCAGCTGGTTTTATATAATTTACTATGAGACAATTTCAAGTTCATTAATTAGATTATCACATGATCGTGAATGTTTTTTATGTATCAAGACTTTAAATTTTAAGTGTTAAGTTTAAAATAACAACACCGTGGTAGCCTTCGACTTTCTTTTTAATAATAAACATATATTCAACTTCATTTGTGACCAACATAGTTTTTTTTATGTTGTGTTCTGGTTACGATATTAAACAAATTTAGTACTTCTTTAGAATGGTTTGACTATTTTAAATTACTACCCAAGAACGTACCGTACTATTTGTTAAATGCTTTGTTTACTCTCCTTTAACTTTTGTACCATTGCATGTTCAAACTTAGATTTATATAAAAAATGAAATAAACCATATGAATTCACTCAAACACATTTACAGCACACAAAAATATATGTACATTACTTTAAATAATGTAGAGTGTAGTACGTTCAATTTATTGAATCAATTATCTTTGCCTCCTTGTAATTTATCTCGGGTTACGAGACGTTTTATTCTATCAAGACCGAAATGATGCTATTAGTATTTTAAGACGAAATTCGTTCGCTATTATTATGTGTAGTTTTCTTTTAATTATTTTAGAATTAATTAGTTAGAACCTTCAAGAGAACATCATATTAAAATTTAAATAATTGCTTAAATACCGTACAAATGCTTGTACTACTAATTATTTTATTAACGACTTTATAGTTAGTATTATTGTTAAAGTATTAGTAGGTTAAAAATTTAAACTCTTAAAGTTATAACTAATTCATAGTAATGAATGTCTTCGCCTCACCTTAAACTTGCTAACACGGTAACAGTTAGGGTTGACCCGTATTTTATAATAAATTTTGTATGTACTCTAACAACTAATATAATATACGAATATAAAAGTACCGAAAGATATACAAACGTTTATCAATTTTGGGAGAACCGAACATTATCGATGGATTCGCAAACAGAAACAATCGCTAAATAAGCGTTTTTCAAATGATTTCCAACAACTCCTTATTCGTATCGACTAAAGCGGTTTGAATTCAATATTATATAATAAATGTAAATATTTTTTTTATTTTTTATTAAGTGACAACCCTAGTTAGATACTCTATTAGATGACCTTACAGAGTTCAAGATGCAAGTACAATGACTCTTATTATATATTTAAAAAAAAAATTCAAACATTCACAATCGCTATGTTTAATACTGCATGACTATGAACACTGGCCGCGATACTTGTCAATGTGCCAGAGAAAAATCGATGAGTACTTTGGAAGAAAGCTTCCATTTTTGATACTGATTATTAAGCAGTCTAGATTCCAACATTTATAACTCATTTGTATGATTAATGTAGAATTTATTATATATATTATAAGTATTGAGATTTGTCTTAAGAATTCAGAAAACAAATATCTCAATGGAAACTAACTTAGAAATGTTATAATCAAAATGTAATTCATCTATTTGTGTATAGTCTTACTAGAACTTTTAAGTACCTTATCTCTTCTTTCAAGTATCTTTTTTTCCTTTTAATATACTAATTTTTCTCCTTTTTTTTTCGGGGAGAAATCCATTGCAGATTGCCCACTGCCCTGGCACGACAGTGAGATTTGGGTGGGGGGTCGCCCAGAGCTTGATGGTGTTGGCCCTGGGAATACCCACTAAAACTCCCCGTCTTCCCTTCCTGCCCGTATTGGGGGCGATTTGGGGTCTGCTAGAGCAATTCACCAATTCACACCCGGAATATATTTATTCTCCTAAAGTACTTACAAAGTCGTCATAGGCGTCCTTAACAGCTGTTAGCGCGAGCACACCTATCAGTGGTATAGCGGTGGTGATGGGCGTCAACGATGATATGGCAGGTATCAGTTGTAACACCAGCAGGCAGAGGAAGTAGAAGTTCGCCAACCGCTGGAACTGCTCCAGAAGATTCAATGGCAGGAACGTTATTATTGAATACTTTGATGTCTTGATGTAGTTGTTCTGGAACAAGAGTATTTCAGCTTGACAAATGGCTTGTAGACATTTTTATATACATATTATATAAGCAAAATTATGGGAGAAAAAGTAGAATATTTTTTAAATCTATAAGGCTAACAAATCATTATGACGCTGTTCGGTGAGGACTATAAGAATTTTTCTGATAAATTGTAGCCTATATCATGTGCTGATTTTTTGGTTACATTACATTAAAGTTTCATTCTAGTCGGCTAATTATTTTTTATGTGAAAGAGTACACAAACATCCAATTTCCTTTTCGGCATTTCGGCTACTTTTCAGCAACCGTGATCACGGGCACATCTCGTCTGTCTGAAACGTCGGGAGTATGTAGTTTATACTCAAAAATAAAAACGTTAAGCAATCCGAAAATATTAGTTACATTTAAATGAAAATATATTTGTAAATATTAAAATGAAAATTAAGGAAATGTATTAGTAAAATTAAAATTGTAAGTAATTTGATTATAATCACATATAATAATTATTATTTCTCGTTCATTCAATACTATAAACATATTATGTAACTCCACTGTTTAGATCCACTGTTAATTACATTAAAATGGCTATCAGAACGTTTAGAAAATTGAGCTTGTTTTTAATTCATATTAACCTAAATTGTTTGTATTTCAAATAATTTCTAAACAAAACAACAACAACATTAAAAGTTTCGTTAAAGTGAGTTTTATTATTTTAATCATTATACCATTTTATTAATTGTTTAAAATTTCATTTAATGACAACGGACATTAACGAATAAAACTGATAAAGGATGGTTTTGTCAATCTTCTATATATATAAAAATGGATTGCTGTTCCTTAGTCTCGCTAAAACTCGAGAACAGCGGAACGGATTTATCTTATCTTAGTCTTGAAATGTTTGTGGAGGTTCAGGGAAGGTATAAAAGCTGAAAAAATTGATTCATTACTGGGAAAACCATAAAAACAGCCCTTTTCTATTTCCCATACAAACGTTTTCTTTGACATTAGATTTGACAACTAACTAATATGTCAATCATTCTGTCGCATTTCAAAACACGGAGATTTATGGCTTACAGGTAAAATCCAAAAATATAAATAAAAAAACGTAATAGATATTTCTTGATTATAGGGCGATACGAAGTTTGCCAGGTCTCCTAGTCTTTTATATAAAAGTATATCATACAGAAAAATCAGTGGTGGCCTAGTGGTTAAAGAGTCGTGCATGAGGGCGCGTGTTCGATCCTGACAAGTACCAATGTGATTTTTCCGAGTCATATGTACTTTCTAAGAATATTTAGACACCACTGACTGATGAAGGAAGAAAGAAAAGAAGAAACCTGGACTTTTAATTTCACAATTATACGTTTGAAATCACCAAACCGTCTTGAGCAAGCGTGGTGATTAATGCTCAAACCTTCTCCATGTGAGAAAGAGGCCTTTGCTCAGCAGTGGGCTCTGATAGGCTGATGACGAATATTATACGAATACAGTATGCTCAAATGTATAATGACCTATATACGGAACACACTCAGTATGCAATAATTATACAAATTAGTAATTTCCGTCATTAACACTTTAAAAAAATATGATCTCATTAACAAATAATTTTTGGCATAAATATACATAGATCGATGTAAAACGAGACAGGAATACGATACATACTCTTGTCCGCGACTTCCTCCGCTGGGACTTTGTAAGTAGGCTCATAGACATATGTATAAAGTGTGTTAAAACAATAGATATATGCAAAACAATTGGCAGCGACAGCTACAGTTCGTGTCATACAACTTCATACACAATACATCTATTATACCTTAATCTCCAAGGAACTATGGTTCCTTATATTGAATCCGGGATTTCCATCATCCAGGTATGGATACTTCATGTCTTATCCTGATGTCTAATCTACATACTGTCACGTTAAATCAAAATCCGTTAAAGAGTTTTTGTGATTATCCAAACATAAATACATGCAATAACTTTCGCCTTTATAAAGTTAGTGGAATAGGAAACCAAGATTTATTTTATGATACATATACCTGTGTTTTATTTACGGAGAACGATAATTTAAAAACTATAGGATGTGCACAATAAAAAGAGCTGTAAAAAATATAAATAGAACATAACGTATAATGAGAAAATTATATGCAATTTTTATTGTTTTTATTATTTTGTTTAATTGTTATTGATCATAACAACACACTGGTTTATTTATATAATTTCCAGTTACTTTAGAAACAGCTGGCTTCAAGAACGTTGAGTATTTCATAAATTGAGATATTTTTTTAATATGAAAGTTTGTTACTCTGTTACACAGAAACTCCTGAATGGATTTTAATATAATATGACTTAATAAAAACTGACTCAAGTATATGTAATATATATTGTTTGAAATTTATAAATTATCCTAAATTAAACTATAAGTGGCACATTATCTTCCTGTGCGTGGGCGGAACCTCGGACCAACTTATGAATAACTGGCTCGTTTTCAATGAGAGAAGATTGTCATATATTAGGTTATTAAAACTATACTAATATTATAAATACGAAATAAAAAAATGCATTGATGACTGAAGAAATGTTTTAGTATCTGAATAGTAAGTAAATTGCATAAAAATTAATAAAATTATAAAGGGACAGGTATAAATTTGATATTTCGTGTCAATATAGCAGAGTCAGAGTAACGCAAGAATTTAAACATTCATACTATTTTGAATTGTAGGATAACCATGATATAGAAATATAATCAGAACATGTTAACTCATTGCACTAAAAAGACTATAAGAAAGGAAGAAAAAAAGGAATAAAATATTTAATAATATAAGAAGCGGGTACATTCAAAAATCAAAATACATAACTGAATCCCATCTTGTTATCATAATATTATCTTGGGGCTAACAAAAGTATTAAATCATTTTTAAAGTAAATTTATACACGTATGTTATATCCGACTTAATTTTTTTCACGGCAAAGTGTCAATTTCTTTAATGTGTTCACACCTTAGCAATACGACTGAACGTCACGTAATGTTATTAAGGATGTAGAAAGTCTGAGTTCAAATACGGAACCATAACATTTTAATTGTCCTATAAAAAAAAGTAAAACAAGGCTGAATAGCGGTATGCAAAAAATTATAATAGAAACTACTTTATCGAATAATAAAAAAACAAACACCGTATTAAAATGACTATGATTATGGTCATTAGATAAGATTTAATATAAGGCTACAGTGATCTTTAGTTCATAGTTATATATAATTATACATTTATATAACATTATATTTAAAACAGAAAACACAAAAAAGTATCTATATCTTTTATTTAAATTAATTTATTATATGAGTATATATGTCAAAAACTACAAAATATGTGATAAGGGTAAATAGAAGGTGATAATAGCTGTACTGATCTTTATTATTATAAAATATTATTATAGATGTATATATGTATACATGTGTGTGTATGTGTTTGTGTGTGCGTATATATTATAATATAACTATATATACATAATATGAAGGATTAAATGTTAACAAACTTACGGCATATCTGAACTGAGCGTTGTACTCCCTGTTGTTCGCTTTAATTCTCCGTTCATTCTCTGTAACAAAAAACAGTCCAAGCTTAAGAGTCGTTACTTTATGTAACTGAAAATGTCAGTTTAAATTCACTCTCAATGAAACTATACAACACATTTTATTCCCATTACGTCGTGTTGCACACGATTTGCTTTGTGTAATGGATATTAGAAGATGATGCTTGACAGTAGTCGGTAACAATAAATAGAATATAGAGAGAAACACAGTTGATAACATAACAATTTTATATTTAATATCATTTCCTAGTGACATTATAAAGAAGGAGTTTTTTAAAATGAATTGAGATTTTTCTTTGTTTATTACTATGTATATTATGATAATATTATGTTACGTATTCCATTCAAAAAATCCTGATCTTGATTGTTACATATTCCGAATTTCTCGTCTCATATGAATACGATTTTAAGCGAATAATAACAACATTTCAGACTAAAGTTTAACTGTAATCAGTGGTGGCCTAGCGGTTAAAAGCCCCGCCTCTAATGCACGAGGGCGCGGGTTCGATCCTGGCCCTAGCAAGCACCAATGTGATTTTTCCGAGTCATACCTATGTACTCTCTAACAGTATTTAGACATCACTGATTACTGCATTGCCAAAGAGGGTTGTTGTCAGGCAGGCGGCCGGTCGTAAAAACAATTAGCCAAAACTATTCATAACATGTAAGGCAGACCCTGGCTAAAGTCGGGAAAAATTGCCAGGGAGAAGAATAACAACATTTCAGAATAAAATAAATACAAAATACTTTATAATGTTGTTACAATATAAATGCATTAGCTGTTTTATAGTACGGTATTGTAAATTCAAGTTACACGGCTTCACAACCCGACTTGTGCAAGTCATATCATACCATTGTTCTCGTGTCATACTTATTGTGCGAATAATGACTGTTACACGATATAATTGGTAGCTATTGATCACACTTACATAATATACTAAATAAAATCTACGACACTGATTTTATAGTTATAGAAAACAAACCAATTATTTATTTTATGATATAGACATTTAAATAATAAAAGTATTTTTTATTAGAGACGATAAATTATGTTAATATTTTTGAATCATTAGCCAATAAAAAAGATTTTTAAATTTTAACAAAAAAGTACGTAAATTTCTAAAGCAATTGATTACAATGGCGTCTGAATCTAGAAGTGATTGAGAAACATTCGTTTTAAAAATCATAATTCAAACAAATTTTTATTAAAATTCAAAATAACTGCAACCAGTTTTTTAGCTTTTCATAGTTAAAATATTGTACGAAATTAATTTTGTACATCGGCAAGTGAAACCTCAAATATAGTTCGGAGCTATTTTGACCCTTTGTGAAGTCCATTCGGACGAAAAAACAGACAAAAACCAGTCTTACGTACCTATATAAAATAAATTATGCTCCATTAATTCGTCTTCAATGACATAACTTTAGTTCGCTTTATTATAATAATAAAATTATTTTTAAATTAATCGTTAAATTACTATAAAAAAAGAATCCAAAGCAATTGTTAATACTGTATACAGTATAGATATCTATTATATATCAAAATTATATTTTTTTAAATTGAAGACATCTAAAAATATTTCAACACTACATACTTGCTCGTATTAAAAATATTGTTATGAAAAAAATCAATACTATATAAACAATTTGCTTTATTCTGAAACTTTGATAGGCTCAAGGATATATAATATTTAATTTTCAAAAAATTTATACTGATTCTTCAATTGGCTACGAACACAAAAATATATATAACTATCAAAACATCACATACTTGATAAATTCATTGTAAAATCGTATGGTTCATCAGTGTGATTACCCTATGTTTGCATCGCTATACGAAATACGGAGTTTGATAAGTATTCATTCGTAAATCATCGCATCGAATAGTATAACAGTGGTTTATTGTATAAGAAACGAGAAACTATTGATAAGCAAACAGATAGTTATTGAAAAGATACAAATAATTAGACCTGTGTATGAAGAGGAAAGATAAATGAAATTCTATTCAATGCACTCAACATTGATAAAGGAATTATTTTATTCAGACTAAGTTTTATATGACACATAAACCACGGATGGTACAGTTAAAAATTACACAAATCTGAAAATCTCATGGAAAAATACGGCAAATATTTATTAGTAAATATTATGATATTAACATACATACTTTAAATGAAGCAAATATTTCAAAGATTTTTAATAAGCTTAAAAATATAAAAGAGCATTCAGATAAACGAAATTTATAATACATCAGTTATTAATTATAACTTATATAAACATAATATTAATTTATTGCATGTATAAATAAAGTCATTCTTTGAAACAAAAAATATCAAAAAAATTGCAAGTAATTATAAAACCATTACTTTGATTTAAAATTTCCATTAAGATATTATTTGTCAAAGTAAATTATACGACAGTGGAATTCTACGACAGTGGAATTTTATGAGCATACTGGCTCTACCAAACCAACAACTGCAAAACGTAAAAAATAGATATAAGACTTGACTTGATTTGAGGTCAAAAATATACGGAATATTATAAAACTCTGGGATTAGGGATGCACGTAATACGAGAAGTGGAAGATTTATTCCACGACGGATAATTAATAAATCGATTATATCGATTTCGCTCTCTTTGACAAAATTTGAATTAGTGGACCAACACTAGACGATAAAGGAAAATAATAACCTAAACTAATTTCAGTCCCTTTTAGTTGCAAATAATTTAATACAATTGAATTATAATAAAATTTTTAGCAACTGAATTACATCAAATTAATTTGAATAACGGAAATTTTGTAACAGGAAAGAAAGTAGGTTCTTTTAGATAATTTCATTTTATAAATTGGTAAAACATTATGTAAATAATACATAAATTGTTCTTTATCCAAAATATTCTTTTTTTACGTCACTTACGTAACCACTTTAACAGAAAGTTACATTTTAATTTATGGACAATACGGAGGTCGTTGACCTTTATGAGCTAGGACGTGAGTTTCTAAAAGCCACCCTCTCTCATATTACCACTCGACTATAATAGAGCTGCTATCTTAAGGAAGCGTACCAAAATCCTTTCTCAATGACAATAGCATCCAGCCATATAACTATGATGGCTATCCTATACAATATTAATGACAAACAGGAACGATCCTGTTTTTTGTAACCACATATCGTTACAATACATATATTTACATAGTTTATGTAAATTACAATACATATATACAACCAATCGCAGTCAATCACATATGTGAAAGGCGAGCTCAAAAAGAAATACCCATTAATAATTAGGTTATGAGGCCATACAAAGTATCTTATCTAGCGCGCACTCAGCAGTCCAAGATTATCGTGACTTACTTACTTATAAAACAATATAATCCTAGGCAGGAAAAGTGATCCTAAACAAGATGGGTATTACAAATGAGCTGTTCATGTTATAATACACTTAGGAAATAAAAAAATTTAATCTTTCCTCAAATCATGCTGAGACTTTATGTAATTAATCCTGTTTAAATATCTTAACATTGTAATTCTGTCAAAGTTAATTCAGAACCACATATGTACATAACAATAAGACTTTTATTATGTGATACATTGTGAAACAGTATTAAATGTAAACAAATAACAAATAATTACTTAGACGGAAAAATCTCACAGCTGTATTTTCTCGGTGTAAAGTAATAAATAATATTAATTGCCACGGCACGATCCACGGACAGAAGGCGACCGTGATTGGATAACGTCTAACTTTGAAATATAAATTGAATTTGCATGAACAGAATTAGAAATGCAGATCAGAATAAGCCGCAGGAGATTATTGTAAGAGATAAAACTCTCGATTATAATGTATGATAAACGATGTATTAATATAATCAAAACGTGCCCACGCTCTCAGCATCGAGATAAAGAAGATCTCGAGCAACGACTCACTTAGTTACCGACACTTACTCTAAAGAATACTTAAGAATAAATTAAACGGCTGTCAGTTATAATAACAATGAATAAAATATATTTTACATACAAATAATATAATGTGAAACTAATTTTTCAATTGGTCAAAGGAAACGACTGTATCCGTGATTCACGCCGACAGTCACTTAATGTGTTACATATATATCAAATATTTACCAAGATAAGAAAAATCATGTATGAACCAAGACGAAACCCATACGTCACAAGTTTTGCATACGATCAACGTATTTCATTGTAGAGTGGAGATTACGAATTAAACATACAAGATATGTATTATACAAAGTAGTATATAAAGCTTAATAATTATGATTTATTTGAAATATCACTGCATAATTCGTATATACTTATATATAATACTAAAGCATATATTCTCACATACAATTCCGATTCCGGACCAACCCAATGTTTTGCTTGTTTTATAGGATTTAAATTAAAGAATAACAATAAAGTCTAGTTTATAACCCATAATGTGAACATCGTTTGCAATTGATAAGCGATTTTACTGCATTATATACAACTAGATTTTTTAAAGACTAGACACACATACATACACACACATATATAAAAGTATGATTAACACTTATCTTTCACAACGTCATAAAGATTCTGAGATTTCCGGATTATATGAAGCTATTGTCATATTAAAATATAACACAAACAGACTGTAATGGAATTGTTATGTTAAGTACATTTTATATCTCATTTAAAAATTTCCATTCAATTCTACTATATGTTTTACTTGAACGAACACAGACTTGGCAATAAAACAGTAAGGGTCGGTTCTAAATGTATACTGCGATTGTTGAGATTAGAAGTGCCCCTTTAAACTTAACCTAAGTTCGCATCGTCAAATTTAAAATACGTAGCTTTGGCAGTTTTCATTCATAAATCGTACGTTTTAGTTTGAACGTACATAGGTTATTGAATGAGAAACGCGATACTCTTCGTATTTAGTGTGACGGTTCGAACTTGTGCTAAGCATAATATTCTGACGACGTCGTCTCGGGGATTCCGATCGATTTCAAAAGTCTAAACTGATGTAGATTATAATTTCTGAATTAAAACTTTTAAATAATATCCTAATTTTTAATATTTCACAATAGATTTATATTACGCACTCGAGTAATTGCATCGAACGCTCTGTTTGATATAATCAATACACCTTCATATAGGAACTATTACAGTTATTAGATTAGCAATGGCATTGCATTGCGTGAAGTATTACGTCATGTACAACCGAGCTGTAACCCTTTGTAAATTTTACATGTGCCTCATTCATATTAAATTCAAAACTATTATTGGAAATATAATAATGTTATGATTACATTATAATAATATACGACGAGACTTAAAAATTCAACACTAATGTTTACAAAATCACGCACGCAATTCAATTAGAACGTAATATTTTGATTCCGATAAATCAATGTTTCTATAATATTCGTTTTTTAACAATAATATGCATCGGAGTGCATTCAATATAAACAGTTTTAAATATAGCTTAAGACTTTGGCACACAAACACAAACCAACTATAAATTCTTGCTTATTCATTCATTAATGCCTGCGTGATAGAGTAAAAAGCGAAATCACTTTAATATTCAAAGAAAAAAGTTGATTGTGTGAAAATATAGGTGGGACTGTCCCAGTTACCTTCACATTATGAAAATTAATATTAAAATTATAAGGACTATATACAATAAATTGTGAAATTTTATCAATTTATTTACATTATTATGAAATATTTATCCTTATAAGATGATCTGCTAAGCCCTTTAAATATTGTAGATAAGATTTAATAAATACATTTAAATTCAAGCATTTTACAATAATAAACTTCCATCTATCGAGATGAAGACTAATTCGTTACACCAGGCGTTTGTTAAATTGCGACTGTCACTAGTGTTCTGCCTTGAACATTGTGAAAAATATGACAACGTTATACAGGGTGACTGGTGAATTACTATCAATATTTGAGGACGTGATATTTGACGATCATATATGACAAAATAAAAATTAATATAACATAAATATTAATAAACTTCTAAGTAAAGTTAACCAAAAGTTATGTAATTAATTACGCATCGTGTGAACACCCTACAGATTAGGTATACACACACACACACATACGCGTGCGGCGGCGTGGTGTTGTATCAGCACGCGGCCGAACGCGTCCACACTTCGAACACTTGGAACGGGTCCACACTTTATTTATTTATACGGAAATTTGGTCAAAAATTAAGTACCTATTTTTTTACATAATTCGAATGAGAATCATGTACCGAGTATTCTCCTTAAATATTGATAGTAATTCACCAGACACCCTGTATATTGAAGAAAAAAAATTTTATTCCGCTTACAATGTAAATAGAAATTTTAGGGTGACTCAGTTATACGCCCACGACGTCTGAACTGTTTACATAGTGTAACACGAAAAGAATATCACAAAATATAAACATAGTGTTATGAGTCATAATGTTTTTATATTTTTCATTAATCAAATAGAAACTTCGTGTTCACTCTTGTGAACTGATTTTAAATGAAAATTTATTTTAAAAACATTACATTAGAGCTTATTCGGGATCACCAAAACGTAATTAATATGATTTTTTAACTATGTTAATTACGCTTTGCTGACTTTTAAGTTTAATTCGTACGAAATTTAGGTAAATAGTTAACACGTTACACACAGGCAAACATTCACAAATTTATATGCAATGAAAAACATCGTTTGATTTTAATAAATTTTAAACCACAATAACAAAGTAATTCAAAGACAAAGTGGTAACAAAAGTCACTGTATATAACAAAATTTCATTTGTTTTAACTTCAATAGTAATAAATTTTATCAATGTTTTTTACATTAAATGTATGATATGTAATGTAATCTATGAATAACATAAAATTCTTAGGACATTTAACTGGCTATCAAAGACAATCACATAGTTCGTTAAAGCAGTTTAGTCGTAAAACAACATAGTAAATAATATGCATACTGACATATCGTTTAAAGTACATACTAAGAGTTCTTTTTAAATACATAATACCATTTTAAAATTCTGCATTCACTGAGTTTTCAATTAAGCGCAAAAAAATTCATAGTCGTTTTATGTGTTTTCTTATCACTAACATTTTTAAAGGAAAGTATTTGTATTTCAATTGATTACGATTTTTATACTTAAACCTTTTTTATTGAAAAATAACTAATATACAGAAGTACATATGTTTAACATTTGGAATTAAATAACAGAGACAAATACATTTTACATAATATATATGATTCCATATTCTTTACATATATGAAAGTATGTATATATATAAACGACACTAAATCACCATATAAACGTTTACAAGCTATAAAAGAATCTGTGTTTATTCCTTTGCGATTTAATCAAAAAAGATAAAACTATCTTTACGACTAAACGAGTGATCTTTAGCCATTCAATTAGATACACAAACTAGATTGAATCAATTATAATCTCTACCTTGTAAAGTGGTAACAATTTGAAATCATATATGTATGTCATAAGTTTTAACTGAATCAATATCTTCCTATATATTTGTATATCACGATTCGCAACTGATGTTCCATATAATATGTCAATGTTGCAGAACGCAATCTCCCACGGGTAAAAAGCAAAAACGCCGAGTCAAACACATTTCGTAATGGGTACGACGTATATTTTATAACACACACGCACATAGTAACGGCCATAGTAATTGTGTGCGTGTAACGGTCAGAATCACGCAAATAGATATATATCAAATGTACCCATGGACTACATGAACTACAACCTTAATGCGACAAAACAATGGCATGGTGAGTACACGGTATAATTAGAGCTCGATCTAAATATTTGGCATTGTGACTTCGATATTTATAATTCTTTACTCTTTTTTGTTATTTAGCCTAAAACAAAGAGTTGTGTTATTGATTAAAGATTTATTTTTAATTCAGCTGCACACCAAGGTCGGACGATCTTACCAAAACAAATTGAAATATGCTGAAAACGCAATTCATTAAATTAAAAATAAACCGTTGTCTTTGGTCGCGTCTAACGATGCTCTTCTGAAGACACAGCGAACTCAAACGATCGATCTTTTCATCGATGACTGTTTTAAGATGATATATTTAAGTAAAGATCAAAAGGAGAGAAAAATATTGACAGATAATCAATAAAAAGCGAACACGCGGGGTCATACGCGAGGTGTTAGAGCGCCGTCGCCCCGGACGTTGACCGAGCGGGGGCGCGGCGCCTCCGACCTTGGGCATTGTGCAATTTTTCAGGATATTATTCGAATAAAGCTTTCAACACGAACTAACATTTACTCCAAACCTTGAGATCGTAACCTAAAAACGCGCCATGATTCATACAATATATTTAGGTACGCACGTTATAAAAAGTGTCTTCGACGTGACATAATGTGTACATATTGTAAACATAGGAGGGAACGGAGAATCTAATAGATACCATACATTATGTGTGTGTGGGTATAGTATAATATTACGGACCGCAGGCAACGAAGGTACGGAAACGATGGTTGTGCCTGTTGCGGCGGCGCGGCGCGGCGGGCTGGTCTCGTCGCACCAGCTTGCCGAACAGCTCGAGGAGGGAGAGCCGCAGGGGTCGCGGAGGCAGACGGATCTCGCCCTCCGCGCCCAGCACCTCCAGCTCCACGGCCTCCGAGCGCGCGCACATCCGCGCCGCTACCGCCGCGCCATGCCGCGCTCCTCGCCCGGCCACCCCGAGATGTGAGCACGCAGCACGCGATACAACGCGCGCTCCCTCTGAACGCGGCCGCGCCGACGACACTCCACACCGGCACTCACTAGCGCCATGCCAGCGGCGCGCGCATCACTACGGTGTTGCCTTACACATGACAGTGTTTACAGCACACAGAAATATATCCTTCCAAACACGGATTTAATATTAACTATGGTAAAATTTACATAATGATACAACATCATAGAAATATACAATAAGAAAAAAATATTAAAACGTAGCATTCAAACAGGCGTGTTATCAAAGCAAAAAAATATAGGTGTGTAAGACAATTTACTAAGGCGTTTTACATAATATATTGACATTGAATGTTGTAAGCCTTTCGTCGTTTTAGTTAAATATAATGCCATAAAGTATACCTGTAACACGGGGATTATAACACCTACGTATGTTTTACGTAGTACCTACATGTAATAAAGTTATCATCATTGAAATCATGCAAATATAATAATGATTAACCGTGACTTATTGTTACTACAAATCCTGTCTCGATAAAGTCAAAGAAAATAATAAACATTACTACTTTTATATAAGGATTATATTTTTTTATATAAACAAAGCAATATAGTAACGAAAATCATATTTTTTGTAGTTTTAGCGGTACTAGTGACGTTTATATATATAATAATCAATGCATGTTGATGTGAGTATATTAAACTAACTCAGCAACTTACTTGTCCTAAACACTTACATTTTAAATAACAAGTCACAATATCACTTATCAAGTTACTAGAAATGTGATAAGCATTAAGTCTAGTGATGCACCGAATTGCAATCCATATCCGCATTCACCCAAAGAAGAGATATTTTCTTGTCATTAATTCTCAATAATTAAGATCCTTATCAAAGATACCAAAAATATTTATCCGTGGATACATTCACGGCGATCAGACCCATCTCTAATCAAAACTATAGCAACTTAATCTTATAATTATGTTATTCCTTTCACAATTTCCTTAGCCTTCAGACGTGGTCCCCGTCTGTTCGACCTTCGAGCCAGTATGTTATTATACACGTATATAACTCACCTTGGCCATGTGTTCTCGCCGAGGATTTTCCCATGTCGGCCGCACCATCGACACACATAAACCCACACGCACACAAAAAAAAAAAGAAACACTAACACTTCGCACCTTATATTATAATAGGTCGGTGTAAAACTGGCGTACAAAAGTTACACTTTAATAATTAACTAAGGCCACTTGGTTAAGATAGGTCTCGTCAGGTGTCGCTGGTGTTGATGTCTATGCGGTGTAACGTGCGGTGGACCGCTCGGTGTGACAGTCATCCTGCGATCTAACTTTGCACTTTATTCTGTAACAACAAAACCGATATACATGTTATTATTTAATTTTAGAGCTATATATTGACGATATCTTTATCTACATCTATTTATAAGTATCTATGAATACTTGAAGTGTTCTTTCCGAACGCTGACAGGTAATGTCGTTATAAGTGGTGTTTGATAAATATGATATTATATTCATTACAAATAAATTGCATTTAAATGACTAAAATATTACTTCACTTGTATTCCGTTAGAAATTAATTGGTTCACTTATACTTTATTACACGACGATACGATTCACCAATCTGATAGATAAACCTTAAAAATATGTATTTTGATGAGAAAAAAAAAACAACAAAATTCCCAACTTATTTAAACATCTTGTTTCAGAGGACATTAAAAAGCTTTTATATTGAACCTCCGTAGTACATTAAAATATAGAATTTTCCGAACTGAGTTTAAAGAGAAAAACTTTGTAGATAAATTAAGTATTGCAATTTGATACCTATGGACAAACCAATCAGGATATTCAGTTAAAGAATTTTAAGAGATATTGCTTACATAGACAGATACAAAAGAGAATATTTAAATGGTAAAAAAAAAAATATATATTTAAACTTGTTTTTCAATAACATTTTCATTGACAATATGGAAAAAATAAATCTTTAAAAGAACAAAATAACAGTTAACAATACAAAATCATACTATTTTAAATATTTCTAACTCTGTAATATATGTAATTGATATTATTTTACAACATATGTATATGTGCATGTATATATGTATCTTTTTCTTCTACCTGGCAATTTACCAGCTATAGCCAGGGTCTGCCTTTTATGTTGTGAATAGTTTTGGCTAATTGTTTTTACGACCGGCCGCCTTCCTGACGTCAACCGTCTTTGGGAATGCGTTAATCAGTGGTGTCTAAATACTTTTAGAAAGTACATATGACTGAAAAATCACAGTGGTACTTGCCAGGGCCAGGGTCGAACCAGCGTCCTCTTGCATGAGAGGCGGCCCTTTTAACCACTAGGCCACCACTGTATGTATATATGTATATCACACATAAATTATAAAGGTTTAAAAAAATCAATATGTATTTTGTAAGTATTGTTTATTTCAAAATAAACAAAATAAAATGAAAAAAATTCGAACGGATTTTGCTGTAGTAGATTTTGTCGTTGAACTTCAAACATAAACATATATATACATATATAATATAAGCTTTATATATATGTTTGTCTGCTACATGTTCACTAATGAATAGTTATTAAACTCAATTGATGTAATCGACATGCGTTATGAAACCCGATGTCGTGTTCTTTGAGTGCTCTTCACGAAATTAAAACGCAATTGAAACGAACAAGATTCCTCATATAATAATAAAAAAAATAATTTTTAAAATTATGGCTAGGGATAGAGCTTTTGTTGTCTTACTTGCATCAGACATACTTGCACTATTAATGGAACAATACAAATTTTTATATACTTTTAACATTCGAAATTTTATACAGCGGCGTATTTGTGCTCGATTACTTTAATGAACTTCCTTAAAATTGATACGAAAACATTATTAATATTATATTATAAATTAATATATTATCACCTTAATTGTATCGTCAATTAACTTCTTCTTAATGTCACTGATAAGAATATACGGTATTAATAACCCAATTTATCTACATATAAATTTTTATTTAATTTATCGGAAGATTATGTCACATTAAAAACATTATATTTATTATTTCATTTTATCTTAAACTATGCATAGTGTAAATTGATAAAGTTATGATATAAAACATTTTAGTTAAAACAAACTATGAAACTACGAAAGTGAAGTCCGTCGCATGTCCGGACTTTGAATAGCATGCTTAATACATAAATAATAAACTCATTTCACATAATGTCTTTACCTTTTGGCCTTAAATATAAAATAATATCAATTACATACGTGTTTGTGTTTACGTTTTTTACCTCATTTTTTACCTAATGGTCTATAATTATACAGTTCTCTGTGAAAGTTTATACGTGAAAGAAACCTTAGTACATCTTTAGTATTTATCTGAATTCAAAGCATTTAAATAACTACCGATATAAGAATCAAAGAGCGATTCATACATTACGTTGTAAACTTGAGAATCGCAAATCAAAGTATTTAGTGCTAATCAAGGATGTTCGGTATTCCGCAATGACATCACACTCCAAGGTCGTGACACCGAAGTCTTAGTATACAGGCGTTTTCGTTATAGTAACGTTTTACGATACGCATGAGCATTAAAAGGTTTTACCGACTGCGAACTGACAAAAACAGTGTAGTACTTAAACGCTCTAAAATTAATGAGATTTAAATGTATGACGTAAACTTTATATGTAAGCAGATATAATGTCCAAATAGCTTTTGTGAAGATTAAAACCTTAAACCTAATTAAAACCTGTGTTTAATAGAATGTAAATCGAGGAAATTCTGTTTTTTTACAGTAGTACACCCATTTTTGATGTATAGTAGATAAAAAAAGTGCGGTTAAAATCTACTTGAGATTATTGCAAGGAAACAGTCGAAGATTCTTTCTTAAGGTGATAAAAATATCGACGTGCCCGTGAAATTGTAATCACAAAGTTGTAGAAAAATACAAAATACTATCATGGGCTTTTGCTTAGAAAATAAGTGTTATTTATTTTTATGTTACTCATTCATGTTAACTATATTGCTTTCAGTTTACACCGAAAACATATAGATGAAATATAATATTGTTAATAACTAATCCTAATGATAAAAAAATATCATATTATATTAAACTATACATATACATATACATTGTAATATTTATATAATATCTTTTGCTTCGTTTGGTCAAGTCTTTGATAATAATCCGATTGAAAGCCGTGTAAGTTCTTAAAAACTCAATGTTCCTTAAAAAATCTATACAATACGTACACGAATGAACGAAGAACTAATCTATAACACAATAAAGCACAAAATTTTGCATTATTTTTTTAACTACTGTGATTAATGAATCTATAAACTTTCACACACATGATACTCCACAACGTGTTTATGGAATGAACTATTAATCAACATTATATGCTAAAGATAATTATTCATATTAATATAAAACAATTTCATTTTATTTATTTTAGGAAATATTTGATATCTATTGGACTGTGCACGTAATTTTTTCTCGAGTTCGCGACTAACTTTGTGATTTATGAGATGATTTTGTTTGATTTTTGTAAGATCGAAAAATGGGACATAGTACGAAAAACTTTTAAACATCGTTTAGTGTACATACTTTTAAGAAATTTTATACTAAAGAACATTAAAATTCATATTAAACAAAATCAAATCAATTTACCCTCTATTAGGAGCAATAATTTAGAAAAAATATAAATTCTCCTATTTCTTCTTCTTTTGTTAGTGGCGTTTAATTCTCCTATTTCACAAATGTTATGATTCACGTAACTTTTATATATATAGATAACTTGTCTTAACAGTAGACATATCAACACTGAGATGCTCAAATATATGACCATATACTTGAGCTTACACGTATAAAATAATCGATACCTAATTATTTTCATAATGAAATATATACGCAAAAATCAAAACAAAATACGAATGATAATCAGAAAAAATACGCTCCATTCAAATAATGCAACGTGATAATTTTAAGCTATTGCAAATATTTATAGATAATATGCAAATTAGATGTTTAGAAACTTCTCATTCAAATAGAATCACTCAGAAGTAATAAAAATATAAATCAGGGACGGATACATTTTAAAATAATTTCCATGATTTTAAGACTGTAATATTTTTGTTTATTTTAAACTAGTAAACCTGGCGAACTCCGTTTCGGCTCCAGAAGGCTTTGTTTTGTGTAACATTTCGTTTGGTGATTAAAAGATAAAGAATTATTATTTTTTGTTTTATATTTGAAAAGGAAAATTTTTATTTCATTTTACAACAGTAATGAATTCATTTCGATTACAAAAATGAAGTGTTATTTAGTTAAACTTCTCTAAGTAAATGAAAGTGAATCCAAAGTAAATACCGAATCGAAGCGTTATACGTGTCCGCAAATTATCCGTCGCATTGAAGTGCTCCTTTGTAAACCACATTTTTTGTTTTTTGGGCTAACGTTAACACAAATAAAGCGGAAGGTTTCCCAACTCGTGAAGACACAAACTATAACTGCCTATGTGAAAAACAATTATTTTCTAAATTTATCCCGCAAATACTAAATTACATATCTGTCATTATACGTCAATTGCATAGCTGTCAATTGTGTTTCGTTATTCCACGTTTTATAGTGACTGACCTGATCCTATTGCATTTTCGTGGCTCTAAACTACCTCCCTGCCAATTTTCAGCTAAATTGGTTCAGCCGTTCTTGAGTTATAAGTGGAGTAACTAACACGACTTTCTTTTATATATATAGATTAAGTATATAAATGTTATAAGTATTTGCGAGGCAAGCTTTACGTCGCTCCAAGCTTCCATCTTTAGCTGCTTTGGTTTGTGATTGTTATGCTTCCAATGTTTTCCTGTTCATACAACTGGTACGACAAAACTTTCCGCCTTCATATCCTCAAGGCTCCATTGTTGTATGGGTGACATAATCATGTTCTAGATTGTTCTTTAACGTAACGGGATATACTTTTATCGCTTAACATATCTTAATTTATCTAAAATTAATATTATTTGTTACTAATACAGAATATAAATTGATATTATGTTTTAATTAAGATCCCGGTTTGAATTTTTCATAGACTTCAAACGATTAGTATATTCATTTCGATTATATATGTATGTCAGTGTTAGTAATATATATCTTAAATAAAATTTGATTTACATAACTACATATACAGGGTGACTGGTGAATTACTATCAATATTTAAGGAGCATACTCGGTACATGATTCTCATTCGAATTATGTAAAAAAAATAGGTACTTAATTTTTGACCAAATTTCCGTATAAATAAGTAAAGTGTTGACACGT